TTAAAGGATCGTTCGATCTAAGTACAATAAGAGTACAGTCGATTAATAATGAATAGTGTAACTTGAAATTTGAATGAATATGAAAACGATATAACATTATTATGAAATATACTTATATACGGCGCCCCCCCGTGACCACGGCTGCTACAAAACACCCGAAACGTCGGGTTGTAGTTAAAATAAGTTCAACTATATATTTAGAGTATGAAACCGTTAAAGGTGTTTTAATAATATTTACTATTTGCACACTACAGACTGGTTTTGAATATAGAATGCCGGAGAATAAAAGGCATTATAAAAAACTTGAATCCTTATGAAGTTAAAGATAATCTGATCTGACTGATGAAAATAGTATTTATATTTTGAAAAAACTAGACCCTCAAAATTCAAACAGACATAAACGAATTATCTAAAATCTCCGCTAAAATACAACCATCTGCCTCCAAACTTTTAATGCAAAGGGTGACATTAAAATATCATCACGTCATTATGTAGAATAATTACATTTTTCTCAACGCCGACGCTCTGGACTGAGCGCTATTAACAAAAATACAGTAGTGATCGTGCGATATTGACCCTCGCACCCCGGAAAAGCATCGGACCCAATACGTCCCCCTGTCGCGTTCATTAAACCATGGGTCATTCGTCAGATGAAAATTAACACTATAGAATCAATCACACTACGACCACCAGAGGTTTGCAGTTTCCACTTTCCAGACTAAGTAATTAGTTTCCTTTGTGGCAAGTTGTTTATTATGTTAGTTACGAAGATATATTTACTATGTTTTAAATACTTCGAAATAACAAAAATATAATAAAAAAAGACTAACAGTTGTAAGATATATGGTAGCTAGTGTCGTAACGCATTACATAACGAAGCTTACATTAAACGTTGTGACTAAACAAAAAAATTGTAAGTAACTAACAAAGTATTTATTTAAGAAATATGTAATTTAAAAATCGAAAAAAAAATTCGACTCGGGCAGGACTTAAACCGGCATTGCCAGTGTTCCGTGCTGTTGCTCTACCAATTGAGCTACCGAGTATCGTACATATCAAGTATTTACTATATTTTTTATGATAGAGGAGGTCAAACAATGGTTTACTTGATTGAAAGTGAAATAACCTAGTCATATAATATCTCGACAAGATGTCAACCTTCATTGGCTTTTGAATATTCGAAAACATTCATACATCATACATTCAAAATATGTATGTTTAAACTGTCAATAACTAAACACAATAAAAAGAAAACGCTTTTTATGTTGGTTAGAACATTTAGGCATCTATAAAACATCGCGCTGTGACTAGCAGGAGTGAGTTTTCACTCCTGCTAGTGCGGGAATCGTGGAGAAAACGTGGAAAACGCCTCAAGATAGTCAAAAAATTATGAAATAATTGTTCCCCTTTAAATTAACAAAAAAATTGACCGCGACACTATACTATAATAATAATATTATATACTATCTTTTAAAATTAACTTGCAAGAGTGACGGGACACAACCGACGTCGTGGGGAACAGCTTCTAGCGATCCCCACCATGCCCAAATGTTTCTAATTTTTCAATTTACATTTTTTCTGAAACATTCTGGACTTCGTCTGGAGACCTGGATATTAAACGGGTGGTAGGAATATAGACATTTCGTCCGGGCCACAGATGAAAAAGTCGTGAAGCTTCAGCGCGTTTCGGTTTCAGACTGTGGATTTCCGAATATCCAAAGCCAGAATAGTTCGACAGTGCATCTTGTTCAGATGCTGGGGTATATCACCTACCATCAGATGAACCCCGTGCCATGTCTGTCCTCAACTATCATTGAAAAAAAAATTTTTTTTTGAAAGACATATTTGTATTTATCATGGCCGAAAGATGTTATATTTGCGAAAAGGTAATTTATAATCCAATATATCATGGTGTAGGAGTAAGGATAAAATGTATTACTTTAGGAGCGTCCTCGAGGCGATAATTTCATTCTGGTTGGCATCTCAATTATAGGACAGGTGGGATGGCGATAACAAATTCAACCTTGTTACATTTCTGCTGGCCAAGGGCAATTTTTTACTTGCAAACCATATGCGGCTGGAGCACATCTGAGCACGGAAGTAATATTTAACTAATTATATATTAAACTTATTTAAACATTATTTTAACTACGGCCCGACGTTTCATACCGGCAAACGCAAAGACAGCGAACCAAGGAACGTCCAGTGTCACTAAATACAGTCTACAACGGGACAGGTGGCGCTAGCGTAGTAGTTTTTACTTTGACATTAGAGACACCACCTTACGTTTCCCCGTGACCATGCATCCGAAACGTCGGGCCGTTATTACTACTAATGTATTTCGAATTTTAAACTGTTCAAATGTTTTCTAGAAATGTGTACTACTCGCGTAAACGACTAAAAACTATTTAATATTTAAGAAAAAATGTTCGTCTGTCGATCATGTCAGGTGATCAGGTGGACTGCAGCTAAATGTTTACTTTTATACAAAACAAATCAAATCAATCATATACTAATGAAATAGTGTAAATGTTAAACATTTTAAGGTAACACTGGATTAAAAAAAAAACAATCTATAATTTTACCTGACCCTGATTCGAACCCTGGTCCTGGTCCAAAGAGGAAGTTAAATAGTTACGTATGCATTATTAAATATATATAGATATTACATATATAACCGATATATATCTATACTTAATATATAAAGCAGAAGAGTTTGTATGTGTCTGGGAAAATTATTCATCCTTGAATGATTAAAAAAAACTTCGCGACAATATATATCCATCTTGTAACATTAACTTGCAAGAACGACGTCGTGAGTAACAGATTAAATTTATAGAGCTGAACAGGAGGTTTGCAAATACAAAAATGTATACCCAAAATAGCTGTTCTACGCTGACTCAGCTAGTCAATATATACGTGAAGCCATTATTGAATAGATTAAACAGCGCACGAAACAAATCTGAAACTAAACCTCGCGGTTGCTTCAAAAGCATTCCGCTAACTGAAGAGCTACTCCTACGATGAACAGTTTCAATAGACGAATGTTGTACGAGCCGAGAACTGTACAATACCTAGTGTTAATTAAATGAAGAACACCATTCAGCGCTCACTTCGACTTCATCTATTCAACTCGAACTAAAATCATTAGCGAGAGCGGCGGAAGATAAACTCAATTGTTCTTAATATTATTAGCTGGGTTTTTTTTACCTTCCTGTATAATATTATAAAACAGAAGAGTTTGTTTGTTAGACGCGGTAATCTCAGGCGCTCCTGGTTCGAATTTTAATTTAGTTTAGACCATTTGGAACCAATTAAAATATGGAGGAAACGGAGAAAATTTTACTCATCTTTGACGGGTTTTGTTGTACGCTTAAAGTTAAAAAGCGTTTATAAAATTAATTTTCTAAACACTTTCTGTTCTTTCCACCCTATTCCTAAAACTTCTAGATTAATTGTGACGAGATGTAAGATAATTTATATTTGTAACAGTAACTCAAACTTATAACGACACTCTAACATAGAAATTTCTACATAAATAATTAAAATGAGACTGACCTTTAAAACAATCGACAATATTTACTTTTAACAGTTTAAAACGCGGAATGTATTATTGAAACTTATTAACAAATTATTTTAACTGCGATCCGACGTCTTTGATGCTTTGCAGCAGCCGCGATCAGGGGGAGACTGATATCGAAGGTTCTCCCTAATGTCACAGTAAAATCGCCTACGCTAGCGCCATCTGTATCGTCGTGGCGCAAAAAATATATAATATGTCAAATTCGCGCTTTTAACTGTTAAAAGTGTTTTATTTAAACGTGTACGTCTCGAATAAACTAGAGAATTCTCAATTAACATTAAAATGAAGTGTGAATTAGAATAATAAACGTTATAAGAAAACGTTCGTTACGAGAAATGTGTGTGACACTGTCTTTTACTGAATTCGTTTATTTCGAGCGCCCTTTGTTCCCTATATACAGTCAATTGCTCAACACTGATTGTATATTCTGAATTAAACCTAATAACCCGATTCGAAATAAAACGCTTTCAATTGTTTCACTGAGTTTCCTAATTGAATGAATAATTAAATAATATTACATACAAAATACTGTCTTTAGTTTACGCGAGTAGTACACATTTAAATAAAACACTTTAACGGTTTAAAACGCGATATATTAGTTAAAATTAATTGAAAATGATTTTTAACTTCGGCCCGACGTTTCGGATGCTTTGCAGCAGCAGGTCCTTTTACATACATTCAAGATTCAAGAAGGTAAACCCTTTTAAAAAAATAAAAATAATTTCATCAGGTAAAAAAAAATCTCCAAAACACTAAGCATTACATTTTGGTTAACTTTTCTTTCATTAATATAATTAATTTTATGAACGATATTTAAATTTACTTTTTTAAGATGATTACACGACTGGACGTTGAACCCACGATCAACAGTATAACATGTTTCAGTTTAGCTAGCGTGCTACTAGCTCGTGTTATAATATAAGAATGAATCGTTTATTTAAAGTTTATTAAATTGTGTGTCTTTAACTATCTTAACAGTTGTTATGTGAACACATAAACGGTGTTATAATAAATATATATGAGGCCAGAGAAGCCTAACAGAAAATTTTATGACTTTACTTATTTATATATATATAGTCGAACAGTCTTAATGTACAAGAGAACAGCGACCTAATTCTTACACAAAGAATAGTACCTACAAATAAATTTTCTTTTTATTTTCGTCCTTATTGAAAATCATGTTTTTGTTATTTGGCCACTCTGCCACTAGCAGCCTCATATGTATGTAGTTAAGCTTTCAGAATATGTTTGTGAGAAAACAATGATTCGAGAATCATAAATGTCGTGAAAAGTTAATTAAATGGTAACGTGTAAAATTAAATTCTGTTAGAACACAGCATTGCAATTTGACAAGCCCATCTAAGTTTGCGAGACGAAACGGCGTAACTTGAAAGCGCTCCTCCTTAAGTATTCATGAATGAATCCATTCTCTTTTAATTCCTATTTCGTGCAGATTATCGCTGAAGTGGAAAAGAATCAGAGTGATCCCAGCGAAAGACTCCTCAAAATAAAATCTCCGTTTCACGCCCCAGTTAGTCGTTCGGAAGATTTGCCATTCATTCCCTTCACATGTTTACCGTTATGCGGTTCAAAACGGAGATGTCTCGAGGATTTTACGATTATCCACAGATTACACACATAGAATAGCTTGATTATATAAACATAAGCAACATTTAAATAAAACACTTTGATAATTAATCACTTTAATCATAACTTTTGAGGGTATAAATGTGAAGTGTTAGTTTAATATTTTATAATTAAACATTAGTTTAATTTTTTTAACTATGATATGACGTTTCAAATACTTTGCAGCAGCAATGGTCTAACTACAACCCTATACTTAATAAAAATTAAAAATCATTTAAATAATATTAAAGCGTGTCGTGAAAAGTGTTTTATTTAATTTTGTACTACTATTAATGTTTTATTTAATAACCCAAAGAAAGGGGGTGGTTTACAAAGTCTTTTCTGACCTCAGAATCGAACCCGGGCCTGTGAGTCCCAAACAATAATCAATAAGTCAATAAGCCACGGAGGCTACTATATTATGATCTTGGTCTTAGATAGAAACCAAATTAAATGACAGGTGAATGAACGCTAACATAGAATCCTAAAGTAATCAGCGTGTCCCAATAATCTCATAGTTAGAATATAGAGGTCACGAATACAATAAGGTAAAATGTCATAAGCGATAGCGGAGCGATAATAGTTGTAACATCTTGTAAGACATATTTTTAAACTATCTATAACTTAACTAAGAGACGGAACAGTTTAAAACGATATTTATGATTTAAAAGTTCCCTCTCCCTTCTCGGGGAAGGGGGAGCGGTATATCACCTTTTTTCCACTTCCACTTTAGCGGGTCTTAACTCTAAACCCCTTTTAAAGAGGAGCACTGTGTTTAGCAGTAGACCGGATAGTATAAGAGAATTTACTCAAAAGTTATCTCACGTAAGGGCAAAATAAAGAGCTTAGTCGTTGACAGTGTTTCCGCTGCCGCTATAGCCTGGTGGGTTAGCCAGATTCGTTTTCATGCGATTTCGTCGGAAATTACAGGCGGCACCGTTCCGATTGTGATTTGTAGTCAAAATTCAAATGACCTGGGACTAGTTGCTGTAGCTTTTGGATTTTGTCGTACTCCGAGCTTGCATGTAAATTCGCCCCCAGAAGTTCATTGGTCATACACCTTATTGTGTCCGAAATAGAGATCATTTTTCTCTGAATCCAAAAACCAGTGCTATTTTTTTCTTCTTAACTGGCGAGATCGCGTTCTGTCTGACCATAATATACCACTAGTCGGTGAAGTACTGTAAGTAGTTTACGCGAGTAGTTCACGTTTTAATAAAACACATCTAACGGTTTAAAACGCGAAAGACGGAGAAAACTTCAGGCTGATAGTTGAATTGAAAAAGAGGCAGAGCGGCCTAATAACAAAACGCATGATTTTCGCGAAAATCGAGCGTGTACTGTATTATTTGTGTAAGAATTATGTTAACAATCGGTAATGGTGCTTTTGTAGGCATATTTTTATAACCTACAAAAGCAATAGGTCAAGTTATAAAATTCTGGCTCCAGCGGCGTCATATATAGTTATATAAAACAGTAAATATAAAAATAAATTTCTTTTAAACCCAAAATATTTATTTTTATTCAAAACAATGTTAATTGTGGTGATTCGGTGTCACTTAATTTGCATCACTTGAATAAAGATCCCTTTGTTTTCCTGAGCATATAAATAAAGACATTATCTCGTATCAATCAGTTTGTTTTGAATTGTGGTAAGTTGAACTGTCTTTGTAATCTTTAAATCTACGCGATTAAAACTTAGTCATAATTAAATGAAAATCCTTTAATGCCTTTAATATTTTCATGACGTCACTGTAAGTATAAATTAAAAATCGAAAAAAAATTACGACTGGGGCAGAATTTGAACCGCCATCCTCAGTGTTTCGTGTAAATTTTTAAATTTATTTTCGATTTTTTTTTATCCCTTATTCAGTTATATCAACAGTGAAAAGTGAAAAGCATGGGGCGACCACATTTCTGTGTCCGTTACACTGATCCGTTCTTTTAACCGGCAAGTAATTGATCAGACATCTGTGCTATGCCCGACCGAAACAATTTTATGTTTCCCTGGGATTCGAATCCAGGACCTCTCCTCGCGCTTAACGCAATGCTAGGCAATACGTTTAACCGTTTGGATACAGAGGCAGTATATCAACAGTAATTATTATTTTATTATCTTGTATTCGATAGTCTTCACTTCAGTTTTCATTACTTCAATTTTGAAGGTTCTTAATTATTGAGGTGATTTTTTTGTAAAACTTATTAATAGTAACATTATTTTACAGATAATGCCACCACAATCTGAACCAACTCCCAGCGGTGTGGTGTTCGAATCCGACACCCAAACATCAGACTTGGGTCTAGCGAAAGACGTGTCCGGCCTCAAGAACGCTGCCCCAAAGAAATACGAATATGTCTGGGTTAACATATTCTGGTTTTTGTTTCTGCATATCGGGTCTGCGTATGGGATTTACTTAGGGTTGACTTCAGCAAAATGGCAGACAAACGTTTTTGGTAAGTAATTTATTGAGATTTTTTTCGACTTGAATCGGCATCCATGCGATACGTGCTGCTCAAACCAATTGAGCTAGTACATCGATTTTTAATGTAAGTAATTTACTTTATGTAGTTGTTTCGAGTGGTACATATTAAATGAAATATTGTATAGGTTTCAAACGAGAAGTAGATTAATTTATTTTCGCAGAATAGTAAAAATGGTGAGCGTACCTAGTGTCAAATTTATATTATTTTCGTTTGCAACTTAAAAATGTTTTATTTAAGTTAATTTATAAGAAATGTATTTAAGAATTATTTGCTGCATGGTAAACAAGACACGAAAAAAACCTAGCTACTACATTAAATAGTGACCTTAAACACAATGTACCTTTATTAGGGTTTAAATATTGATTTTCTTATGTTATTTAAGTTATAGTTATTTTAAAATATCAACCATAAATACGACTTTTACTTCATTACAGCGTTTCTTGTCCATCTCATGTGCGCTATTGGTATTGGTGCCGGATCTCATAGGCTTTGGACACATCGTTGCTTCAAAGCGAAGACACCACTACGTATTGTACTAATGATTTGGCAAACAATGGGATTTCAGGTAAATCGCTTTTAATACATTGTACTTGTAAGTTATAATTGAAGTTTTATATTTTTTACATTTAAAGTTAACAGTGTATTTCATAAGAATATGACTTCAGAAGCTCGAACATTAATATAAACAAATGAAATTTAAACATACCATCATATAAATTCTCTAATTCGATGCGATAAATATCTAATTTAAGTTGAATTATTTAAAGTTAATCGTAAAAGGGAAGAAAGACATATAGTGTCGCGGACATTTTTTCAGATTATTTTTAAGAGGAATCGCCTTTCTCGATAAATGCTCTCAATTCGAACCCATAGTTCCTGAGATTAGCGCGTTCAAACAAACAAACAAACTCTTTAGCTCTACATATTATATATTAGTACCTATAGATTACTTCTTTTAGGTTTTGAAGTACAAGTTTCGCGACGTCGACATACTTTTTTTATTATTAAAAAACAATTAACGGCAGGAACATGCATAATTTAGAATTATTACATTCGAAAATCAAAACTTAACCCGCAGTGACCAACTAGCATACTATGCATATAAAACTTATCTCTTGTACCAGGATAGTATATTCGAATGGGCGCGTGACCATCGCACTCACCACAAATATGCAGACACAGATGCCGATCCACACAATGCAGAGAGAGGACTCTTCTTTTCTCACATGGGTTGGTTGTGCTGCAAGAAAAACCCAGAAGTCATAGAAGGAGGTCGTCGGATTGATGTCACTGATCTATACGAAGATCCGGTAGTCATGTTTCAGAAGAGGTATTTATCATGCTAATAACGTACATAATTAAAACACGCACTAAACTAAAAGATTAATATAAAATACACAAACACCAGAGATCCAATTAGGAACGTAACTAACTGGATCAGTACGTACAGGCTATACCAATATCGGTTTCGGACAGATAAAAAATATAATTACTCTATATCTTTAACGCCACAGATAGTTGAAAGTAAAACACTCTCTGTAGTTTACGCCAGTAGTACACATTTAACTACAAAACATTTGAACGGTTTAAAATGCGAAATATATTAGTTAAACTTGTCTGCTCGGGACCACGGCTGTTGCAAGCATCTGAAACACTGTACCGTAGTGAAAATAATTTCCAAATAAGTCTAACTGATATATTCCGCGTTTTAAACCGTTAAAGTGTTAATTTAAGAAAATGGGAAGTAATAAGCTTGTACTAGAGCCACTAGTTACTGAATATAAATTCCTTTTCAGGCATTACATGAAGATGATGCCGATTCTATGCTTTGTCCTACCCACTGTAATTCCTGTATACTTCTGGGGTGAAACTTGGTTAAATGCTTTCTTCATACCCACAATACTTCGGTACACTTGCGGAATCAACGTGGTATGGAGTGTGAACAGTTTTGCTCATACTTTTGGGTATCGTCCGTATGATAAGTAAGTATTTTATATTAAATAAAACATTTTATATCAGGTAATTTATTTAACGACAATCCATGTCGGACCCGTTGGTCTAATTGTAGCAATATATAGCTAATAATCACCGATTCGTGGGTCCAATCTGGTTCTCATTAATTTCCTTTTTTTTTGAAGCATGTTGGACCTCGTGTGGAAAATCTGGATATTAAATGCGTAGGAATATCGAAATTTCGTCGAGGTTACAAACCACCGTCCACAGATAAATAAATTATTAGGTTTAATCATGTTCATGTTTTAATTCATTCAATCACGAAACTATAATATATTATATACTGTGTGTAGTTTACGCGAGTAGTACATTTAAAAAAAACCTTTAAAGGTTTAAAACGCGATATATTAGTTATTAGCAGAGACCACGCGTATCCCTGTGACCACGGCTACTGCAAAGCATCCAAAACGGCGGGTCGTTTAAAATAATTCAAATAAGTTTACCGAATATATATCACGTTTTAAAACGTTAAAGTGATTTATTTGAAGTTTTTAGGTAGTATTTGAATTTTTATATTAAAATAAGTATGTAATATTTTTCCAGGTCGTTGAACCCGCGAGACAACATCGGCGTGTGGATGATTTGCGTTGAAGGTTTCCACAACTACCACCACACGTTCCCATGGGACTACCGCGCTACTGAATTACCTCTATATAACATGCTTACTCCGACAATTGTTTTTATTGAAGCCATGGCTAAAGTCAGTATATTTTATTATATTTTCCTCTAAAAAAATCTCTATATCGTAGAAACAAAACCTTATAACATATGCCCTGTGTGGGGCATCCTCATTTCGAATGAATTTTTATTGGCAAGTCGTGGCACATGGTGGGAAGACTTTTGCACCCTTCAACCGAATAAAATACGACATATTATTATATTTATTTAGGCTATTTTTTAAATGATCTCTTTGATTACGTCTCAATCACGTGCATTTTCCTATATAAGATCGGACCTATTATTAGCGACCTTATATAATATGTAGTATATGTAATTAACTTAAATTCTGTTACAGATTGGTCAAGCCTACGATTTAAAGTCTGTGTCCCCGGAGATAGTAAAACAGAGATCTTATCGGACTGGCGATGGCACACATTTCCTATGGGGCTGGGACGATCCCGAGTTTACCGAAAAATTAAAAGAAAAATATGGATCTATTCATAATGCCCAGAGGAAAGCGGCATAAGTTTTCTAAATTATGTGATATTTTTCGAGCTTTTTGAAGCGGTGTAGTTATAAGTATAGTGTTTAACAGTTTTTTTTTTATATATTATAATAAATAGTTAAACAAACTGCCAGTATTATTTGAAATTCACACCACATAGCGTTGAATACAAGGGGACAATAATAATATATGAAAAATAATTAAAAACTAACTCAACAAAAAATTTTTAAACTCTGACCCTAGTCATAATTTTATTTTAAATTTATATTATATTTTATTTATTATTCTGTGCAAAGTTAATACATAATCATCTGTCATTTATTATCGGATTTGTCATTTTGATAACTTTGACAATGACATACCGATTTGACGTCAACATTCAACAATATGTTGTAGCAAGAAAAACTAGAAAATTTAAATACGAATTGTTATTATTCAAGATTTGTTTGATATCAAATATAATATTGTAAATTAAGAAAACAATATCAATACAATATTCAAATTTAATTAGATCCGTGAAATGTATGTGCAATGTAAGTTTTCCCAGACATTTAGTACTTTAATATTAAACAACTGGTGCTTGACGTCTTGGTTCATCTGTATATTTATTGCGGAAATATATTATTTCTAACTTCATAATGTTATCATCCCTTGTGAAAGAGCATCAAGCAAAACAATCAGCCAAAAGAGTTACACAAGGTATTTCAATTTATCCTATTGCTTTAGATATTCAAATGTTATTTGTATGTATTTTAAGCAAGTCTTAAACTTTTTCTTCAGAACAGAAAAGAAAGGAATGTATAGCTGCAGCTAATGATCTGACACAGGCTTTGGTTGATCATTTAAATGTGGGGTAAGTTGGTTAAAAGGTTGATGTTGATAATAATACTGGTTTTATGTAGACACAAGAGTTAGCCCAATTTCACTATTCTCTAACAAAGCTAAAAACCATATTGTATTATAGTTTATTACTATCATGACAGGTCACCATTAAAAAGGTATGTTTTGTATAAATCTAGATGTAGCCTATGAGAGGCATACAATTTTCATAATTATTTATTTCTTTCAGCGTGGCACAAGCATACCTCAATCAAAAAAAGCTTGATGCAGAAGCCAAATTATTACACCAAGGAGCTATTAATTTTTCCAAACAAACACAACAGTGGTTAGCTTTGGTGGAAAACTTCAGTAGCGCCCTTAAAGAAATTGGAGACGTTGAGAATTGGGCAAGAAGTATAGAAAATGATATGAAAGTAATTACAGATACATTGGAGCGAGCATATGAAACGACCAGAGATCAATCTAGCAATAGTCAATCTTAAGAATAAGATAATAAAAAATATTTGTTATGAAGGTAAAACTAATATTACAAATAAATTATAATATTTTTTAACCATATTGTTTCAATTTTAGATGCAACTATAGAATTTTCATAGAGTAGGTAGTGATTATTTTACTGAGTCAAAACACAACATATGAGAAGACAACACAGTTTATTGCATGATGAATAAATCATTTTACATAAGTAAATCCTATACACTTAAGGATATAGTCCTGAAAATAAAACAGCTGAGTTTAATAGAAAATGGAATTTCTATTTTAATCATCTAAAATAATTTTAAAACAAACAAAATTAGTCATATTTACTTTAAAAGTGGTTTTAATTTATACGGAATCGAGTTAAAAATCGATATTTGTTCATTTGTTCGATTATTAACTGTCATTGTATCGACGAATCTTAAGCATGTGACAAATGAGGCACAGCACTACGACTCTTATCAAGAGTTATTGTTAACAACAAAAATAATTATCATAGCATGTCATTGAATGTTGAATATCATTAGCTCCTTAACTCAGAAAGTGTCCGTGAAGCAAGACGCTTTACGCGCGCTGTCTTCTTCATACTGTTTTATTTTCAATTCGTTGGTTTTCTTGCTAAATTTTATTTACTACTATCGATAGTGCAAGCAATGTCTTCTACACCCAGGGTTCTTTCGATTCAGAGTCACGTTGTTCACGGATATGTGGGTAATAAAAGCGCGGTGTTTCCCCTTCAAGTAAGTAAAGGTTTTAGGATCTATTATTTACATCTTTGAATGTAAATGATTGTTTGTAGTTTACGCGATTAGTACACTTAAATAAAACACTTTCTACGATTTAATACGCTTGACCACGGGCCGTAGTTGAATTAAATAAAAAATACGTTGACTAAAATAAATTTCCCACTTAAAACCGTTAAAAGTATTTTATTTTAATGTCTCAGTGTTCTTATATATAATGTTATTTCTAGGTCTTGGGTTTTGAAGTAGATGACATAAATACTGTACAATTTTCAACACATACTGGGTACAACCATATCAAGGGCACTGTTTTAAAAGATAATGATTTGGAAGAAATCATAAATGGGCTTGTATTGAATGAAGTGGACTACTACACACACTTTTTAACCGGCTACTCCAGGTCTCCGGAGTCATTAAAACAAATTGCCAAAATTATTAAGAATTTGAGAGTAAAGAATCCTGATTTAGTATATGGTAAGATATTAAAGAAGAAAAACAAAAGTTTTAAGCCTATTTTAAAATATATATAAGACAAAAGGTTCCCAAATATAATTTGTATAACATAAAAAAACATATTTAGTTCAGTATCAACAATATTCAAGTGTATATAATTAGAATCAAATTTACTAAGTGTGTAATTATTGTATATTTATATACTTTTCTGTATAAGTTGAACACACTTATATTGCATACAAATGATATGTTATTACAATAAAAGCAATTATAATTAATTTGAAAGTCATGCCATATGTCCATGACTTGTATTTCTTTGTGTCAATATGGTATTTTTGATAAAATGTGACTTGCTTGATGTCATGTATAATAGACTAATCTAGACTTTTCAAAACCTGCCATAAATTGTCACATACATAATTTTAAGTTGTTCAAAAAAATATATCTGTACAGTATGTGATCCTGTCATGGGTGACCACGGTAAGCTGTATGTTCCCGAATCAATAGTGCCAGTGTATTGTGATGATGTTGTCCCCCTCGCTGACATCTTGACGCCAAATCAGTTTGAAGCCAAGTTATTAACTGGTCTGCCTATGGAGAACTTGGATGATTCATTAAAAGTGATTCAGGCTCTACACGACAGAGGTGTGAAGACTGTTGTCCTGTCGAGTACAGAATTGGGTGACGATGATAATATGATTGGATTGGCAAGCAATAAGGGTACGTTAATACTGTATGTAGTTTATAAAACACTTTAACACTTTAAATCGCGATAAATACCTATTAGTTAAACTTATTTGAAAATTATTCCTGTGACCACGACTGCTGCAAAGCATCCGAAACGTCGAAATAATTTTAAACCGTTAAAGTGTTTTCCAATGTACTACTCGTTAAACTACAGACAGTATTAATAATATGTGTTTTAAACCTTTAAAGTGTGTAACTACTCGCGTAATCAGACAGTGAAATGCTCTTTTCCCTATGGGGTATGGGGTTTTCTATTAAATGTTAAGCCGTCAGACAAATCCTGTTTAACATATGTGTATCATCTACATACTGTATTATCATTAGATCATTGACATTTTCCTTCGTTTTCAGACGAGTGCTACAAGATAGAAATACCAAAGGTGGACGCAATTTTTACTGGGACAGGAGACTTATTTGCTGCACTGTTCTTAGCTTGGTCGCACAAGACCAAGAACAACTTGAAACTGACTCTGGAGCAAACAATAGCTACTCTACAAGCCATTATAAAGGACACCTACGACCGCGCAAGACGTGAGTAACTTTATATTTGGTTATTAATAAAGGATATCACTTGATGAGCGTGTCAAAATTAAACCGCAGTGTCTGTAGCTTATGTGAATAGAAAAGTACACAGATACAAAAAAAAACAAGCAATGAACCGAGTTTTAATTATTAATTCCGGCTTCGCTCGGTTCCAATGCTGATACTGAATACACTATAGAAAAACTCTAAACGTTTTATATAAAAACCTGCCTCACGAAAAAGCGACTGTATTTTGTACTGGGTATGTAGTGATATGTATAGTTTTAATTATTATGTGAAATCACGTTTCCCCTCGTGGGGCATAAGGCGAACACATTTCTGTGTCCGCTTCACTGATCGGTTTTATTTACAGGCAAGTAGTTGATCAGACTTCTGTGCCCTGCCCGACCGAAACAATTGACTGTTTCCCTGGGATTCGTACCCAGGATCTCACGCGCTTAACACAATGCTAGGCAACTAGCTACAGAGGCGGTCTGGTCTTTTTAAAATAAAAAAAAAATGATTTATTGTTTCCTTTGGGACCTCTTCTATTGTGTTTACCATTTCTTTAAAAAAAGGGTGCTTGTTATTTGAATTTTTAAAAAATTCTAATAAAACTATTTATTAATAGTTTCAAACGCGAAATGTCAATTAAATGTGTACTACTCTCGTAAACAACAGATAAGCCTTTTATAAGCGTATCTAAACATACGGCATCCTCTAAAGTTTGTTCCAAATCTATTTTAATGATACATATGATAAATCCCTTATCAGTATTCAGTACTGTTATCTCAACAATAAATGACTCGTTTATATCTGTCTAATGATAATGATATAATTACAGAAATTCAACCTTCAGGACGAATTCCACCATCTCTTATAGAGCTTCGGTTAGTCCAAAACAAACGGACGATAGAAGAACCGAAAATAACTATAACCGCCGTAGAGATTAAGCGTCGTTGATTGTTTATAAGTAAAAAAAAATACGCATGCGCAATTCTAAACAAATTTCAACGTTTTAAATCCTTGGCGATCTTTTTAATAATAAATCCGATATATTGATTACAAAAAGATCAGTAGGAATAGACTAGCTTGTTAAATGTTGAGTGTTAGACAATTTTTAGATGAATATAATGTGATTAGTTTATCATGTAAGCGTTTAGATTATTGCGTCTTTGTTCGCTTCTTAAAGCGTAACTATGTGGGCCTTTAGAAATGACAATAAAAAGTGGGTAGATTGCCTTCTCATTAGTTTAAATGTCATGTAATTCATAAATCTATACTAAACCCATTCACTAATAATATACAAAGCTGAAGAGTTTGTTTGTTTAAAAGCGCTAATGTCAGGAAATACTGGGGCGAATTAAAAAAAAAAATGTGTTGGTTAGAGCATTTATCGAGGAAGGTAAGCGCGAAGAAACAGCGGGAAATGTGGAAAAAAACGGAGAAAATTATTCATGTCTGTGGGTTTCCGATGCGCTGCGTAAACGGTTCAAGATACCCACAATATACGTAAAGAATTATTCCTCTGTAAATGGTCTAAAAAATGTCCGCGATACTATAAGTCTATCTTTTAAGATTAACTTGCAAGAACGACGGGAAGAGTTCGACGTCATGGACTTAAATTTTTAAAGGTGAAAAAGAGATTTGCAAAACCAAATTTGAATGCCCAAAATTCCACTAAAACACACGGACATAGTCGCTCGGCTAGTTATATCAAAATTTTAAATTTGCTTGCTTTTAAATACTTAGATCCTAGTCTTTTTAGTTCTCGAAACATCTTGCAGCTGGGTCCTGACTAAATTGCTGGTTATGTAAAATTTAGTCAGTACCTAGCTAATAGTTATTTTTTACCTCGAAACGTCACAATAGCCGATCGCATGTCGTTAAAATCAGCTTTGTTCCGGCGACCTTGAGCATAAGACAATATTTTATTATTATAACAAAAAGAATGACTCTTGTATTTTACTGTTTAATTTATTTAATTACTAGATTCCAATTAAGTAAACGACCAAATAAGTCTTCCAATAATATAGTCTGTGATATTCCGTTTGTGTTAAACAGATGCTTTTAAAATATAAATATTGTTAATTTTGTTACATAGAAATATAAGTACAGATTAAATTATATGAGATACAATTAAATTTTATTTACACCTACCTATCCCTGTAGTGTGTCTATATTTTCCATAATCTATTGTAGATTACTAATTCAGAACATAATCTGTTCAGTTCAGTTATAGAAAAAGTTACTCGTAGTATAATCTATACTAATATGTAAAGCTGAAGAGTTTGTTTGTTTGAACGCGCTAATCTCAGAAACTACGGGTTCGAATTCAAAGATATAGAAGTTTGCAAAAACAAATTTGGATGCCCAAAGCCACCATTCCACGCGTACGAAGTCGCCGACATAGCTAGTTATATAGTCTGGTCATTATTAGCTTGTTTTTTTCTCTGTAGATTTATCTGTACTAATATTATAAAGCTGAAGAGTTTGTTTGAACGCGCTAATCTCATAAATTACTGATACCAATTTAAATGTGGAAAAAACGAGCATTGTTTGCGCTGCGTGAACAGTTCAATATACCCAAAACATATAAAAAATAATAATTCTTTAAATATTAACTCATAACGACCGCCTTTATGGTAACCTTTCGTCGACATACCTACTATGGCAAAATAACCTTGCCAGAGCAGCTAGTATAACGTATTCAATAAATTACAAATAAATAGATTCTAGCGAAAAATATATTTCAAATTCATTACACCATAAAAGACTATGCTTCACTCTCTCTGGTTTTGTATATAATAATAGCAGTCACCATCAACACGAAGAGTAACATATGAAAGATCCACAGAATTGAGTTGTAATAATGCAGCACAACACTAGTGTCGCTGACAATAAAACATGGCGTCAAGTAGATTAGGCAAAAGAGCCGCATGATCGAGAAACCGATGTCCCAGGGAAGTTTCATCTGAAAAAAATCTGTACGTCATACATATTGACAATAACGAAACATAAAACTGCAATGGTACAGGTGTTTAAAAACTTTTCAACCGCGTTACATTTACGTTGTTGTACATAGACAATTTGGTTAGAGCTAACGCGACGGAACAAATGGTGACGTCATCATGCAGCACTAATCTTTTTTTTATCATAGAGGTAGACAGACCAGCCTGTGGTTCACTAGATTACTTACCCCAGCCTAACGCATCTAAATAAGATGTGCTGTCGATATATTTTGGCTTTGGATATTCGGAAATTGAATTGAAACCGAAACGTGATTAAACTTCGTGGCTTTTTCATCTGTGCACGGTAGTTCGTGGCCCGGACGGAATTTCGATATTCCTACCGCCCATATAATATCCAGATCTCCAGACGAAGTCCAACATGTTTCAGAATTTTTTATTGAAAAATTAGAAATATTGGACCCGGTGGGGATCGAACCCAGGACACGTTGATACATTGCAATCATTAGTGATTAGATCAACGAGCAGATTTGACAGATTTATACAAAACAAAGAACGGTGTTTTGTATAAATCTGTCAAAGCCAGTGACTGTATGGTTAAATACACCGAGTATTTAACTCATAACTTTTTTGAAGAATTTAATTTAGCATTGAAAAAATTTATATATTTTTGTGCAATTGAAAATAGTAAAAGTTTTAATCGCTATTACTTAATGGTTGCTCTGCAGTTACTCCTATATATCTTAAAATTGACTTCATAAATAGAGAATGTCACTTCAGAGTGTAAAAATATTGGGGCCATATATATTTTAGCTGCATCTTTATGATGCTAGAATACAAGTGATGTAAGAAAACATCCCTTTCCTAAAATTTTAGGGTTGTCTACTGTTCACTATGCAAAAGGTTTCTTACCCCTGCTAGGCACAGCGTGTTATGATAAATATTTATTTCTCACTAGCTGTTGCCCGCGACTACGTCTGCGGAGTGACTTGGGGTATAGTTTTTAATTACTTGAATGTTTATTCATTTATGTGAGGGCGCATTTAACGCAGCCAATCGCTGTTGTAAGTGCTACTTTGCCGCAACACTCTCACCCCAAATCACTACTACTCGCAACTCCCACTCCTATTCTCATAAAGCCAAAGAAGAAAGTTTCATTGTTCTAGCTTCAATAACCACGAATTTCCATATAAACTTTTATCCCCTATCAACCCTTGTGTGGCATTAAAAAGCCTATGTCCTTTTTATTTAAATCAGTTCAGTTGTTTTGGAGTTAAAGCCGGACAGACAAACAGACAGACAAAGTTACTTTCGCATTGTTATATTGTATAATTAATTCTTCTCGCTATGTGTCAGTAAAATATATGTATAATAACATATTCGTGTTTGTTCAGTAATTTATATGAAAGCATCAATGGATTCAACTGCTAATATTTATCACTTATGAATATTCTAGAACCGGTTTATTGAGAATAATTAAAATTACAATGTAAGTACGTTATCAAGCCGCCGTTTAAACAATTTCTTATCACAGCCGATAAACATAGGTACGTATTTGTTTGACAGATGACAGACAAACATGGGATTTACTGGGTGGAAGGTGAACTATTCCAGTCATACTATTAAACAAGATGCGCTGTTGGCCTATTCTGGCTTCGGATAATGGAAATCGCCAGACAGAAACCGATACGCGTATTTATACCTTTTCTATTCCACCTGTGGATGGTTACCGGGAATTCCGATATTACTATCCAATAATTATCAGAATTAATCGAATATTCAAAGCCACGAATAGGTCGACAGCACAACGTGTTTAGATGTTATATGGATGGGCTATTTCAAATGCCGCCAAGTTAACTCCAAGCACTCGGTCCTGCTATCACAGAAAAATTGAAAATGTTTCACAAACATTCTAAACCCGGTAATCGAAGCTAGGACTTTGATTGTCAACAGCGCGTCATGTTTAGATGCTATAGGCTGGAGTATCTCACCTACCATCAAGTGGACCTCATGCTTGTCTTGTCTAGAATTAAAAAAAATGCTGAAGAATTAAATTACCGTTCCTGTTGTATCATATAGTTCGCTGTATTCGGACTCCAGGTGGATGTAAACCCATAAAGTCATGGATATGATGGCTTGAGGAATTGTTGGACTGCACCATATTGTCCACACGAAGAAAGACCATGCGCTTCTACAAAAATACGTTTAATGTCTTAGAAAGACTCTACTAAGTTTTATATATTTATTTCGCACATGATAAATTAAAAATCGAGCTTAGATTTAAAAAAATGTTCACGGGCAGGACTTGAACTATCCACAGCGTCCTGCTGTTGATTTTTATAGACATGTTTTAAAGTAGAAATTACATTTCGCGAGAGGTGCAAGTATCAATAGGTCGAAAGAAATCGACGATGACGTGTAGGACACGGTCGCTCAATTAGTTAAAGCACGGAACGCTGTGGTTGCTGGTTCAAGGTCTGACCATGTCGTAAAATATTTTCAGTAAATCGACTCTTAATTTATGTAACTACGTGATTTAGAAAGCAACTACCTTTAAGGCTGGTATTGTAACGAGTATCACAGTTTTAATATACGTTGAGACTAATCCAGGGCGGAGCAGGGGGGGCAATCGCCCTCCCTATAAATCACGTAAAAAATGTATGAACTTAGGTAAGTTCATTTTCTATCAGTAAAGTGTAAACGGAGCTTTATGTAAAAAAAATTGAATACACACATACGACACAATATACCTAATATTTTAGGTAGGTGTCTTTATTTAGTGTGTATGAGGAAACAGCCACGTACCCAAGTAGAGAACCCAAAAATACTAAGTAACCGTTTTACGAGATTTCAAAGAAATGAATAGCATTAAATTAGTAAGTATCTAGTTTAAATTAAAGCCATGACTACCTCCTGGGGCCTTTTTATATAACCTACAGAATATAGCTACAAGACAGGTCATATCATGAATGGTTTTCTTGTTACGACTTAAGTATATTCGCGTATGGCTTATAATCAACGGGTCATGGGTCGATCCCCACCGGGTCCACCATGCTTTTAATTTGTCAGAAACATGTTTCGTCTGGAAATCTGGTTATTAAACGGGTGTTAAGAAAATAGAAAATTCCGTAAGGGTCACGAAACACCGTCCACAGAGGAAAAAGCCGTGAAGTTTAATCGCGTTTCGGTTTCAGTCTATGACATCAATCAAATAAGTCGACAGCGCATTTTGCTTTGCAGCAGCCGTGGTCACGGGGAGAACAGCAAAGCATCCGAAACGTCGGGTCGAAGTTAAAAATCATTTTCAAATAAGTTTAACGAATATATCGCGTTTTAAACCGTTAAAGTGTTTTATTTCAATGTGTACTACTCGCGTAAACTACAGACAGTATTATAGAATTTATCAATATTATTCTGGTTCACTTGCTACACGTGTAAAAGTTGATTAAAATACCTTTATGCTCTCTATGTGTTACTTTACTAGTAACATATGATTTTTGCGAACAATAGTTTACCAGATATTTCAACAGAGTGCTATATCAGCCGATTCTTGACGACGACGCACATGTATCAATACAGGGGAAGTGCGGGCAAGACGGGGTGGCGGGCAAGATGAGATTTAGCGATTATTAAGGAAACAAATAGACAAATCCAAATCGTTATAACCCATGCCGGCGGGCCATCATTACAGCTACTAGTAACCAAAGGCAGCTTGGTCATAGCAGGATTACTGTTTATCAAACGAAAAACAAATTTTTGCCAACTTGCTTATTAGTCTTCTATTATAGTTAAACTGTGACACTATTGTACTAATTAAAGTTTAGGTGTAATCAATTTTCTTTGCTGGAATTGATATTTCCTTGAACAGAGACTGAAAAAACTACGCAAACCACAGGAAATCGAGAAATAACCGCTATGATCACTTCGTCTTCATACAATAGAGAATTGGAACAGACTTAAAGAAACTAGAAGAGAGATAATAAATAAAGAAAGATCTTTTCTTTGTCACGGTGAGGCTCAAATAAGTTTAACTAATATATATCGCGTTTTAAACCGTTAAAGTGTCTTATTTTAAAAGGTAAGAGAGTTAAAGAAACAGAAAAAAGGGCATTCGTTGATGATGGTAACTAAAATCATTAACCAGCAAAGGTTGTATGTTAGCAGACAGAAGTGTTGAAAACTGTACTGTTATGGATTATTATTGGAAGTTTAAATTGTCTGTTCTACACGCAGGCAGTGTGTTGGAGTAGAAGCTAAAGAGGAAGATTCCTTGTTACTATGCAAATTATAAATACACTAATGGCTAGCCGTTAGGATATCATATAAAAACATTTTCTTTTTCATATTAAACATTAACTTCCCCATCTTCCCTTCCTTCTCTTACCTGTTTAAGTAAATATTACTTTGTTGGCTTCGAAAAGTAAATGTAAGTTATTCTTTAAAAATTTAAATATAAAGCAATTTACGCCAGATATAGACAAACACAGAGGTTCACTTGAATGAAAGTGAATACCCAAGCCGTATAGCATCTAAATAAGATATGCCGTCAACCTGTGCTGGCTTTGGACAATCATGAAGTCACGACTGACCCCAAAATGAGCATGCATTTTCACCTGTGGATGGATTTTTCACTTGAATTCCAGAATTCCTAGACGTCCGACATATTTCAGAAAAATTCTAAATTGACTAGCCGCGCCAGCGACTTCATTATTTGGGCGTCAAAATTTGAAAATGCAAATTTCCCAATCTTAAAACATTGTACATCTGTTACCCACGACGTCGGACACGTCCCGTCGCGTCGTAGGTGACAGTAGACATGTATATGTATAGTCGCGGATATTTTTGTTATATATTGAAAGACAAATCTTTCTTTTGAACATAAGTAGTTTTCAAAGCCCTCCTCGACCTATGTTTTTCAATTCGAACCAATAGTTTCTGAGATTAGCGCCTTCAAACAAACGAACAAACTCATAATATTAGTACAGATTAAAAGTAAGTTGGACCTTTTAGGGAACTAACTCACAACCTGCAGAATATACGCCATGCTGCCTATTCAGTCAACAATGAAAAATTCTTTTAAATTTGTATTACAGCGACGGTTATAAAAAGGATTCTTATAATAACTACTTAATTTAATGCACAATACGCACTGTTTATTATAATGAATACAGATAATATTAAATATCTGTTAATATAATTTTTTAATTCAATTCGCGTTATAAATAATGATTTCGAGAAAATTAAGGGAATTAAAAATGGCAGGTACCAACAGTATTTGGAAACATTTATCGAAAATATTTGTCGAAGTTATCTCCTTTGTATTTGTTTGTTAATTGTCTGTAAACAAATTATTTTATCGCAAATATTTACCGAACTTCCTTGTTTGCTTTCAGCGAGTTCTTATAAATATTAGCCCAAAACCAGTAGCGCGTTGGCATGTCCCAACTGCGTATAGTGTCTTTCATTTTGGGGCCAATCAACAATTTTTCGTGATCGAAACATTTGAGCATGGAGAAATTGTACTCCTCTTCCATCGCAGCTTCAGAAGTCGCAGCGCTGAAGCATTAAATTTCGATTATTGGATAATTAAATCTAATAGTACATTATGATATAAATGCGGTAAGTTGAAAATTACAGCCGAGGCGATATTACTATATAAGAAATCAGAGGCTGTAATTTTCAAAGCGCACGTATGTCATACGATGTTTTATAACATATTTACGAGGAAATTAATAAAACTCTAACTTAGTTAAACGAATAAAAGCGCGCGGAATTATTTTTATATATATATATATATATAAGTTAAATTTATTTGAAAATTATTCTAACTACGGCCCGACGTTTCGGATGCTTTGCAGCAGCCGTGTGAGTCAATGTTTAACTACTATATATCGCGTTTTAAACCGTTAAAGTATTTTATTTAAATGGATTTATTCTGTGGATTTTCCGAAATCGGAAAACGATTAAACTTCATCTGTAGACAGTAGTGTAGGAACCGGACGGAATTTTGATGCATCCATCCATCCATTTAATATCTAAATTTCTGCCTTACCCGACCGAAACAATTTATTAATACCACCGGGGAACTTTCTTGCTTGACACAATGCTAGGAAACACTTTTAATCACTAAACTACAATTCAATTTCTTCTCTAGAGAGAGAAAGATAAGCTTGTTACTATAACACAGGCAACGTTCATAAATAAATAATAAATAGCTTTACTATTTGTACCCTACAACAAACAGTATACATACGTACGCGATTTTTAAAAGACTGAACCGCGCTGAAGGCCCGAATCCCGGTACAGGCAGACATTTCGCCGGGTACACACCAAACCCGGTCTCGGTGCACACACTCGTACATAACAACATTGTTATTTGGTATTGTAGGAAGTAAGACATGAGTTGGGGTATATTGTACAAGTAGCGGAAGTCTGTACCGTACCCGCCAGTGTAAAACTCCTCTGTGTAGTAGAACTGGAAGGATATTAGCATAACTTCAAAAATGCATTTCTACATTTTTTATTTCAATGCTTGCTACATTTCATCTTTTGTTTCACTATATCGACGTAGAAAACGTATTTGCTGTAAACCTCAAAAAATTGGAATTATGTTTTTTACATCATTTTTATTTGAAATAGATACTGCGTCGATTGTTCTGGTTCTCATATTTCTACGACGAAAAAAAAATGACCAACGGCGTCAGGTTTTTGAACAATATTGACTAAAAAACTAGTCGTAAGTCTACCAAAAACATTTTTTATACATTTGTTGCTTACGCCATTTTGGCAGTCAGCACATTTTTTCAAACAGAGGCTTACGCCAGTTTAGCGGGATTTAATTTGAAAGTTGTTGAAATTTTAAGTTCAAGTAATAAGCTAATATTTATTGATGCAAACATCATGCAGTTTTTATATTTTTGTTGAAAACATATTTTTTATCGATTTATTTTATAGGTAGTGCAGAGTTCATCCTAAGTGGACTCACAGATGTGACATTAAACTAACCTCAGGTGAATATTTCATTCGTAACAACAAATAACCCAGTGCACACATACACACTTTCTTCAGCTTCTGTTCAGTAATCACTCTGCAATCACCTAACGTGGCGAATGGAGAATTGAAATGATCTTCAAATATTTTCCATCTATAGTACGGCCCTGAAATCAGACCACACTTCGTACGATATAACTATATTATCGACTAGCCGTTAACCACGACGTCAGTCGATTCCCGACGTTATTGCAAGATAAAAGATAGACATATACTGTCACGGAAATTTTTTGAATCATTTAAAAAAGATTCATTCGTGTGTTGTTTTATAGCATAAAGCCTTCCTCGACAAATGTTCTAACCAACACAGAAATATTAAAAGATTCGAACTAGTAGTTCGTGGTTTTAGTGCGTTCAAATAAACAAATTCTTAAGCTTTCCAATATTAGTTTGGATCTTTTCTTTAGCATCGTACCGCCTAACCAAAAAGACCTAAGAAGTATTGATAATACCTTTGTGCAAACCGATGAAGAAATACGCGTATGTTATTATATCAATTGCACTAGGGTCGACAGTCAAAAGATCATTCTCGCCGATAGTCATTCTTGTGAGACTAACTCTGCCCTCAGTCTTCGCCCGCTGAGCCACGAATATTTCAAAAGCGAGGCCCACCAATCTCAAAGCAAGCGCCTGGTGAATCCATATGACGTATATGTCCAGAACGTAAATATGGACGTACAGTAAATACATCCATGTGTACGCCAGGCTTATTTGGTGAACATATCTAAAATGTTAAAATCTTTAGTTAACGCAAGTAAAGATTGAAACGCGATTTATTTTTTACTATACATTTTTTATTACGATCACAGCGGCCATTGTCACAATGGGACAAAGGCTGCCGTCGGGATGAAGTTAAAAAAATATATCACGTTGTAATCCAGGACTGTCTATAGTTTAACGGTTTAAATTGCGAAATGTATCAGTTAGTTTATTTATAATGTATTTTAATAACGGATTTCCACTTCGAGCTTGCAACAGCCGTGGTCACGGACTGAAGATGGAGGATGCCCCTAACGTGAAAGTCAAATCTTATACGCTCGCACAGTTTGTTTCTCTTAGAATTTACTCACGATGTCCCCTTTTTGCCCAGTATATCGTTTTTTGGGGTCTAGTGCTTTTAATATCCTATTTACACGCTTTCTTTTGTAGAAAATAATTGATTTAGATTACACCAAAACATGGATACTTCGTTTTTGTTATTATGACTCGTTTACTGGCCGTATAGCTTCTTACCTCCTATCACAGCATTTGATAATAACGATGTTACCCCAAACCATCAGCACACTATGGTATATTTGGGTTCCGCATATCAAACAAGCCAACATTATACCAAGTCCTGTTCCATAGTTTCGTTTCAAATGAACATCTGTTATTTTTCTATAATAGCTACCCATTGTTATGCACATAATTAGTGTTGAATAGAAAATTATTGTATCTAAAGCCATTTTAGGATTTTTAACTACTGATTACATATTTTATACTGTAAAATAACAATTTGTAAAGTGACACATGGTTTAACTTCATAAAAATGGCATTACCAACCTTTTCGGATAAGACAGCCAAGTGCATAGACATAATAATTTCTCGCAGGGATCTGATAATTGTTCACTTGATGCTTGATGTATGGACTTAAATCTTCAACTCTCAATTGGCAAGATGGCAGAAACCTAATTAAATAAAAAGTTCCATGTTGGTGCTCTAACCGCACTGTAGTAGTGCTACAAGCTTCTTAGAATACTTTTTAAAAAAAAAATAGGTTTATAATGTTGTGAGCGCATGATAGCTAAATGTACAATAAAACATCTTCAGCTTTTGTTTTTTGTATGGAGTGTGGAAATTAGTCATTGATTTGCCACCATGAGATTTGAAAAAAGGAATCTCTGTGAAATTTCCGTCTCATGGCATAATAAAACCAATAAAACAACAGATTGATTAAATAAACAATTTACTACATATAATGTAGGTTCACAATAAAAATATTTTCTAACAGAGGTATCCTACTAACTCAACACCTGATGCAGACTAAAGTAACCCCCATTACGGGAGCACAAGAACCAAAGAGTTTGTAAGGAAATTAAATGCATACATTTATACTGCCCTATGACAAACGGGAATGTAAAGTGCTTTTGTATACATACCTAATTATAAATCTATTAAAAAAAAAATTTTAAAACAATATAAAAATAATTCATAAGTGCATACTTAAATATGAAGAGAAATGTGAAGTCAATATCACAAATGCTGAATTTATCTATACCTATTTAATACTGCTTACGAATAACCACTATCGAACCTAATGTACCTCCAGTAATTTAATTGACTAGAATCTAACTCTATTCTATTGAGATAATATTCTTTAACTCCTAGTAACCGAAAGAGAAGCAAAAGTGAAAGAGGTATGACAAGAACAACTTAGATATTATGTAAATCAATTTCTAGGCAAAATTCTATTATTTAATGTAACCAATTTTTAATATGATAAAAGGGTATAAAAAGTGTCAAAATTAAAATTAACTTACATTTTAATAAGTGATTCCTGAATAAATAAAAATATAATACGCAACACATGTGCTAAACCACTACTTATACAACTGTATGTAGCAATTTTTTTCAAACTACCTACATTTAAATATTATTGTACAATCCTCTATTTGCACTGAAATAGACCGTAATTGGTGTTATTTTACATTGGCCCACTGAAGAATAGAAATATTTTATACGCATTACAGTAACTAGAAATTCTATTACCATAACGCAGTCATTTTATAAGGATTGGTTATGTATATAATGTATATATGACCTCTATGGTTACATTAATGTTTGCTATTACTTTATTCTGCATCAGGTAAGTGAGGCCTCAATTAAAACGGTTCATTATAATGGTTTGTATCGCAGTCAAATTCTATAGTATAAAGAAAACAGTCAAAAAACTTGGTATATCCCATTTACTTTAGTGAACGGCTTAAAAAATGTCTAAACACTTTAATTAAGTATTGTTATAACTTTCCACGCCTACACTTGGTTAGAAGATTATTGCCTCTATTTTATGAATAGATTTAAAAAATTACACCTACTTACATTCATCTCTATGTAAATAAATAACAAGGAAACTTAAACATAGTAAATATTAACATGATTGGAAATATGATTAAGTACGATTCAATAAATAATATTATAGTACTGTATTTCATTAAAAGGAACTTTAGTGATAAATTAATTTGCATAAGAGAGCGATCAGCATAAAATAAATTTATTAATTAAATAGTAGAATTTTATATTCTATGTGCGACCGTCAGAGATGTAGAGTGCTAATTCCTAATTAAAATATTACTCGAATATGAAGCGACTATGTATACATAAGGTATAAGATTTTCATTCAACAAGAATTGTAGTCTAATTTTACAATAGGATCCGTAATTACACTTTTATTAATAAATTTTGATCTATTGCACGAAACACATATTTATGTAAATGCTATATATTTATCTAATTAACATTATGTTAATTATTCTTTACAATATCTACCACATAGTTAAATACAACATCCAGAACATTAATAGTAATTACAAATTATATAATCCGTGCAAATAAATAAGAACGACCAACCACAGTTGAAGAGTTGAAGTTGGGTAAACACAATTTATACACTATTCCTATAAATTTGATCGGTTCTATCACATAATTCGTACAACAATAAAAATGCGAACAGCATTCATTTAGTAATAATTGGCAGTCCTAATTATCACTATAGTTCGTAGCTCTATGAGCTAAAACGACCAGCGTCCGAGACGTAGAGTACATTCTTACCTTGAGTAGAGAACAAGTGATCATTGACAAATTCTGTTGAACCACTGTATATACTAGACACTTAGCACACGTTGCACTGAACATTTCACTGGTTGAGTCACAGTTCACGCACAGAGTAGTGGTTCACTTGATAAGTTGCGCGGCGCTCTTAGAGCGTCGGAACATCTTCGCGCCCTTATTGGGCGCGGGAAGCTCGTGCTAGTTGTTCCCATTGGGAGCTCTCGTTAACGCCGGTGAGGCGGCTGGGGGAGGGCGGCCCAGAGCCAACTCCTTAGCGCCATCTGTGCCGTATATCTTGCCAGCCTTCTTCGCCATTGAGGCCAAGAGTTCTTGAGAACACTTGTGTGCTGAACGCAGCGATGTCGCCCATTCTTTGAGACCTATTTCGTCCTGGAAGTAAACAAACAATCTTATATAGTCGTATATCAGTTTATAAAAGTAAAAGCTAAGTTAGTTAAAGTTATTTTATTACTAAGAAACTATTAATATTAAAAAACGTTCGAGGGGTCGTACCCAAGACCACAACGTTGCTCTTGCTCTTACCAACCGGGCTATGTGATCTAAGCTAAGGATGGTTAGATAACATGTGTTCAAATTTATCTATAATAAACTTATAGTCTTTTTTTATATTTATTTATCATAGAGGACAGATAAGCCTGGTGGTAGATCAAATACACCAGCTATACAACATGTAAACAAGATATATAGCGATCGATCTATTTGGCTTTGCGTGGTCGGAAATAGACAGACTGAAGCCAAATCGCAAATAAACTTAAGGCCTTTTTCATCTGTGGACAGTGGTTCGTGAATTTGGATGGAATTCCGTTATTAATGTTAATATCGTTTTTGAGACGAAGTCCAAATCGTCTCAAAAAAAAGAAATGATTAGAAACACGTTGGACCCGGTTGGAATTGAACTCAAGACCCGTTGGTTATTAGCTACACATTCCAACCATAACACCAACGAAACCGTCCATAGCGAATTGAATATATGGTAGATGCAGCTCAAACTAACCGTATTTGTGAGGACGATCTTCGTATCATTCCTAGTTCTAAGCACAATGCACTGTTCACCCTTTACAGACACCAAATCTGAGGAGACTTCCTCAACAATATCGAGAAGTATCATCTCGGGCTTGGCGCTGTTCTCCAAGTGCAGTTCCAGTCTGTTAGGGTACAGTTTTGCATATCGGGTTTGCCAAGCGCTTGCAAACGGCCCGCCCAACTTTTTGATGTAGCCATGCAGTATGCAGTCCGACTCTGAAAATGATACAGTTGTCAAATCAACACAAAGTAGAAGAGATATATTTAAAAAAAACTCTAAAAAAGAGAAAAAAACCTCTACTAAACATGGGACTACTCAAAGCTCTTCAAAAAGATCCGATTCATGGTAAATAAGTCATTATAAATTAAGATATGTCTGTATGATTTAAAACGCGGAATATATGCCGTGGCCACGGGGCCAGGACACCCACGGGGGACTGAAGGCCCTTTTTCAGTCCCTCGTGGGTGTCCTTAATGTCAAAGTCAAAATCGCCATCTGTTTCATCGTAGTTGATATTTGGGGGAACTGGTTGAAATCAATTAAATTCAATTAAAAATAGTTTAAGTGTAACATACAATTTTACAATAAGCCTGTAAATACTAAAATAAATATACTCTGTTGGAAAAGTAACAACACATATTGATTGTATGTCATACCTTTCTCGTCAGCATCAAACTTTTGTTTTTGCTTTGATTTCTTTTTCATCTCCATCTTATCAGCCTCTTGGTTAACAGTTTCAAAGACCGTCTCAGCTACTTCGCTTTGCCAACGTTCCGAAATCACTAGCGGGAAGTCTTTATACTGAGCTTGGTCTGCTTCAGTTAGCTGAAATTGAAATATAAACCATTTAATATTAGAATTATAATAGTTCTACAAGGTATATTCATGGGTCCTTTGTTGTATATAGTAGTTATAAATGCTTTTTCAATTGGTACTTTCTTTAAATAACATTTTGTACTAAAACAAATGACATCATTACGAGGTACAAAGCTTATTATAGATTTTATATGTAATAAGTCTTGATATAACTAATGACTTTTAGTAACATTCTTCTCTTACCTTAATCCCCTTGGTGTCTTCTTCATCAAAACTACCAATGTCGAATGCATCAGCTGCGTTGACTTCGCCCCGAGGTGGAATCAAAGGCGGCGTATACTTTTGGTGGTACACTTGTTGCCAGTCGATACCAGCGAAGAAGACATGTTCCTTTACTTCATCCGCCCTGTAAACAAAATCTTCAAATGTACTCTGCCTGTGGTTAAAAGCTAAAATCCTTATAATGTAGTGGGATACTAACATTTTCTCTTTACGCTATTAACAAAGTACAGTTTGAACAGAGAAATATATAATTTTAATTTACACATGTGTATATAGTTTTTATATTACTCACATAATAATATACTCTTATAATATATTACTCACATATAAATTACTATAGCCTACTGTCACAAGAATTAAACAAGAAAGAAGTTTACAATATTGTTCTAGTGGAAAGCTACACAGAAAATCAAAGCTATATACTTTAAGCTTTCTTTAAGTTGAGTGCCAAAATTTATTATTGAATTAACAAAGAGGTATAACTAGAAAACAGTTGTACATAATTTTTAAAGAACATACCCTCTGCCCTTGCAGCCAAGACGCTTGTTGATGTCCCTTTGCAGGAGACCTTCCAGCAGACTCCGAAGGCTTGGACTGAACGACTCAGGCAACTCCACGTTCTGGTGAACATTATATTTCTATCTCTAACATTATTTTATCAAGTCCATTTTACTAAGCATTGAATGTATCATAATTTGTGTTTTGTTATAAAAGATGGGTAAATGTTTCAGAAGAGAAAAAATAAAATTACTAATATTTTTAAAATGCAAGAGAAAAACACTTGACTAAGGAAATATAGAGAAGTAAATATGATGTAAAAAGAACAAAGGGTTTACTCGATGGATTTTGAAATACCCCAGCAACACATCTAAACAAGATGCGCTCTCGTCCTATTTTAGCTTTTGACATTTAGGAATCCATGGGCTGATATGAAATCTGTGGACCCGGATGGGATTTCTATCACTCATTTAATATGCACATTTTCCAGACGCAGTCAGCTATATTTCAGTAAGATATATTAATTTAAAAACATGTTACACCGGCGGGAATGGCCCCGCGACCCGTCGATAGTTATAAACATGCATTACTATCATTCAACCAACGAGCGCGTGATATTTTAAGAATTATTACATTGTGTATGTAACTGACAAGACACAATAAATAAGATAGAAGCAAATAAGTACATTTAACTTCGAGAATGTGTATGGCTTCTGTCTTATACCTGTTCATATGTTGAAGACGTCAAATATGTAATTTTTAAACTCTTCCTTGATTTAATATTACCTTTAATTAACGAAACAAAAAACAACCGCTCTATAATAAAATAAATACATGTTTGAACCATTACTTTTAACAATATAGTTTACATAAACTCAAGTGCACGGTAGCTCAATTGGTTAGAGCAACAGCACGGAACGCTGTGGATGTCTGTTCAGGTCCTGCTCGGGTCGTATTTTTTTTTTTCAATGTAAAATCGATTTTTTATTGAAATAAAGTAGGTCACTTGATTTTTGACGTTGTCATCGTGTATTTGAACCTTGTCAAAGTTATTTTTTTCAAGTCTTAAATAAATGAAATAACGATTATTATTGCAACAGTGATTATCTTTAACCATTTACAAAAAGTATGCATCATTGACGTCAGTGAGAGTTTGAGACACCTGTGTGACGCGGTGAGTCAGTGTACAAACGAGTGACGGAAAATTTTGGAATTCAATATGTAATACAAAGTGCCAATGACGTGGGCGACCTACTTCGTTTGGAGTTGACCTGTTATTTTGACCCGTAGATTATAGTTAAGTGCGAATAACGCATCGATTAACATAGATCACAGTGTGACACAGATAAACGACGTCCCTAAGAAAATTCCACGTAACAGGCTCAATGGTAGCGACGAATGGCTAATAATCAACGGGTGTTAAACCCGAAATAATTCGGGTCAACATGTTCATTATGATTTAAATAAAACACTTTAACGGTTTAAAACGCGATATATTAGTTAAACTTATAATTCAAATAAGTTTAACTAATATATCGCGTTTTAAACCGTTAAAGTATTTTATTTAAATGTGTACTACTCGCTTAAACTATAGACAGTATGTTCATTATGAATTTAATTTTTTTCTGAAACATGTTGGACTTCGTCTGGAAATGAGGATATTGAATGGGTGGTAGGAATATCAAAATTTTGCCCGGGTCTACAGATAAAAGATGTGAAGTTGATTCGCGTTTCGGTTTCAGTCGCGAATATCCAACGCCAAAATAGATCGACAGTGCATATTGTTTAGATGTTATATGGCTGGAGTATTTACTAGACCTCTCTCCACTGCTATGAACTTACGAAATCAAAATTACAACGACTTCTGCCATCAGCCCAACACAGCCCACAGTTGGACATAGAGGAGGACAGACAAGCATAAAGTTCACTTGATGGGAAATACCCCACCTACATAACATCTACACAAGTCGCGCTGTCGACCTTTTTTCATAGAAGGCAATCGTTTGATTACTACACTCTTCTCCTTCGATGTGTTCCTCAAATAGCAGTCGTTAGATTACAATATTTCCTACACTTTTAGTGTATTACATTTTAAACATAAGTTATCAAAATGTTACTTTTTACTTATATTTGCGTGATTAGCAAGAATACAAAGAATGATTAAGATTAATGAAGAATCACTTCTTCATTTTGCAGGGTAGGCAAAGATTAAAGACGTGGTAAATTAATAAATAACACAATTTCAAATGGAACCGCGAACTATCTTTCTTAATATAAGAATCATTGAAATCTACATATTTAAAAGACTTGTATTCTATGTGTGTGTGTGTGTCTCCTCGCGTTAGCAACGTTATGAAAATATTTACCATTGTAAGCGTCATTCGGTCTATCTCGTGTTTGTCCTTGGTCTTGTGCTGGCGGAACGGCGAATGGCCTTTCAGCAATTTATAAAGCATGCAACCGAAACTGAACCAGTCAGCCGAGGAGTCATAACCCGTTCCCTTAGAGAGAACTTCTGGGGCCATGTAGCCGTGTGTACCACTGGAAAATTACAGGACTACGCTTAGATAGTATAAAAGCAATATCATACAGTAATCATATATAATGAAAAATTATAAAATATAATAATAAATCTCAATAAATGTAATTACAATAAAATAATTAATATAAAAAGATTAAATTTTATTTGAAGGCTTGGTGCCAAAAGGGTCTCATGTCAGTTCATATAACCATACATACCATTAACATTTTGACTTAAAGATGTGGATAATAAATTAAGATTATATATACAAAACACAGATTTAAAGATGAGTAATTTGGTAGTACTATTTAGCCCACATCGTAACACAGAATAATAAAATAAAACAGTAGGACTGTTTGGTTACAATGACACTCAACGCGCGGTGTCCAATACTTATTCTTAGTAGACAGTAGAAATTGATGCACCAGCAAATTTTTTGTTAACAAAATCAAACTAATTGTCTAATGCGAGGCGATAAATATTTATTTATACATCATATATTATGTTTTTATTAAATTTTCCTCTTTTTCTGTTTACAATTAAGCATATTTTATGTATTACTGTTGTCTCTTTAGTGTGTCCTGTGAAATAAATGATTTGAGTTTAAATGAGAATGAGGGCACTTACACACTTGCATGGGGCTTCTTCTTAGAGAAGTCACAGGCGAGACCCAAATCGGATATTCTTACGTGACCATGCTCGTCCAGGAGTATGTTTGCTGGCTTCAGGTCTCTGTATACGATGTGGCGTTTGTGCATGTGCTCTAGACCTGTACAGACAAGTAACGAGGTCATATTTTATAAGACCATCAATGACAATATCTCGAATGAATTTCACCAGAAGCTCTTTTACGAGCTCGTTGGTCTAATAGCAATCTATGGCTAATGGTCAATGGGTCGTGGGTTGGATCCCCATCAGGTACAACATGTTTCTAATTGTACCAATTTAAAATTTGTCTGAGACATGCTGGAGTTCGTCTTGAAACCTGGATATTCAATGGCTAGAAATATAAAAAAATCCGCCCGGGTCACGAACCGTCCAATCAGAATCCACAGACTGAAACGCCATTAAGGCGTTTCAGTCTGTGGATTTCCGAATATCCAAAGTCAATATAGGTCGATAGCATATCTTGTTTAGATGCTACGGCTGGGGTATGTAGCCCATTAAGTGAACCACACGCCATGTCTGTCTCCTCCTCTATAAAAAAAAAAAAGGGTTTCCATAGCAACCGTGAAAGTCTCAAATGCCCCTCTTCACTTTTACATTAAGTAGATAGCAGATACATAAAATGAGAGATGATTTGGATTTCACTGTTAATTACTAAATCAAGACTTTATATTTTTCAAGCAAGTGCTTCCCAAATTATTTGTTTATACGCTGTTAAGGCAAATTCCTAATTGTATTAAACAACAGCGGCTAGTTTCATGGCAGCGATTCCAACTACGATTTTCTTCTAATTAACTCTTGACTTAAATACTGTCTATAGTTTACGCGAGTAGTACACATTTAAATAAAACACTTTAACGGTTTAAAACGCGATATATTAGTTAAACTTATTTGAAAATGACTTTTAACTTCGGCCCGACGTTTCGGATGCTTTGCAGCAGCCGTGGTCACGGGGAGTCTCCCCGTTAAAGTGTTTTATTTAAACTATTGACTTGCCTTTCTCTAGTGAACACAGCTACGTATATAAAAATGAACAATCGTTCCATCGGTTTCAAAGACGCCACAGACAACAAATCGACTATAACCGCAGCGCAGACGAAACGTGAGTTGTTTTATGAAAAACCTTATATCCTCATGTTTATTGGGAATGCTTTGTATCATATTGGTTCGGCGAAACGTTTGCTGCTAAACGTAAAAGCGGTTGTGCATTGGCTCCAACTCTCATTAATATTAATGTCAACCACGTTCCTATTGCTCTTACAGACTGCTCTGTTGGTCTAGTCGCTTGTAGTTATTATACTCAACTTAAGAGGACCAGGGTTCGAAAATCCGCGTGCTAACTTTGGATTTGGAATTTTTTAGGTAAATACATTAGGCTCGAAGTTTGCAAGTAAATGCCATCGCCGCCGTGGCTCGGTGAGTTACGTTAAAATTCTGCCCTTTATCAAATAATAATTTGACGGTAGTTGTTAAAACCGCTTACCCGCGCTTTAACAGCGAGGTAAAGTCTGTGTCCAGCGAGAGAGTGTTGAAGCGAACGCGCCACTTGCCTTCTCCTAACGATTTTAAACAAACCATCACACCTATTTTTGTTACCCGGTGTGCTATTTATGATATTGTTATGACTTTCGTTTTGATACGAGTACGCTGGATTCATCTTTTATAATCGATATGACGCATCACGCATGATTTACGATACAGATGTTGCGTTTTACGGCGTCGGTCGTATTATTTTTAAGATGAGAATTGTTAAATTTCATTTATAGCATATTAAGAGTAGAAAGTGCGGGCGTAGGTAGACTATAAAATCTATACAAAATAATAGATTTGTACGGTAGTGTATCAGAAGTACCCCACAGACTATAAAACATTAATACGTATGAATATTTTCAAAACGTCTTAAAAATAGAATGACACCTAATTTATTTATCGCTTAAGTTATCTGCGTAATGTTATCTTCACTTATCACTAATTATAATTATAAAACGACGTTCGATTTATAAAAACGTAGCGATAATCCATTTAGGAGGGAAACGTTAATTTAAAATTAAGAATACGACTCTTATTAGCCTAGTAGTTAGCACAGTGTTCATATTACCTCGCGTAATATTAATATACACGTCTCGTAATAGATAAAATTCTCGCACAATTCTTTCTGTAAACCTTACATCTATTAATACGGCATAAGTATCTCTTTTTGAGAATTGCCCCCCCGATGGATCGTTAGCGCATCTCACCTAATATAACTTCAGCAGCGTAAAACTTCATTTCCGCCTCATTGAATACGCCGTGTTGCGACAGATGGTAATGAAGATCTCCTCCATTCATAAGATCCAATATGAAGCAGAGCTTGTCGGGTGTGTGGAACGCGTACGTCATACATACTATGAACGGGCAATCCACCTGAAAAATGAAGCACGTGTTTTATATACATTATGATGTAAGGACGCCGCCATATGTTGGTTATGTATCTGTGTATCTGTGGCTCTACTATAACCGCGAGGGGTTCTGTGATCGAATGCCTTTAAAACATAATAATTCTTGGACTATTGTAATGTTGACATGACTATGAAAATGAGGGCATTATATATTATATACATTTAAAATAAGTTTAAATAAAAAAGCGTAGGATCGCCGACGCGGCATAGCAACATTTTTTATTTATTTATTTATAACAATATTATGAACAGACAAATGAATTGCAGATTTTATTAATTTGCCTTTAAAGTAATATGGTATATTATTTGTTGGGTGCGGTGTGTGTTTTCTAGTCCAGTTTTTAGCCAGTGTCTTTTTTTTATCTATAGTAAGTTTCAAATGAACATTATTTATTATCTCACATATTTATCAAAAATGTGACCACTTCTATTCAAAAAATATTTTATATCACACGACAAAACTGATGCAGTAACTACTCAAAACGGCGTAGTGCTAAAATTGAATAACGATGATCGATGGAAATGCAGTAGCTACATTTTCCTCGATTCAATATAGTAAAAAGAACATTATAACCAACATAGGCACTTATGACACGTTCCACGTGCATTTTTACTCATAATCTTTACATAAACGGATTAGCTTTGTGTCGCACTTTCATCCACACCTTTGATTTCGTGTTATTTTGATAATAGAAAAAGAGGACGTACGATAAAGTCCTCTTTGTAAGACATACGCATATCTGTTTGAATCTACTACTGAAATCGATTCTCTCTTTGGAACACCATTGATGATGGGCTGATCAACCCCCACTCTTTTTTATTGTGGCCCCAAATCCAACTACAACTCTTTACGTCTGTTTTCTAAACGATATAATTATAAGGCATGTAGCTATTGAGATTTATCTGCCAACCAATCAATACTGTTTTCCCTAAGATTCGAATCGAACACCTCCAGCGGTTAACTCAATACGTTTAACCATTGAACCATGACGAGGTCAAAAATCGAGACTAAAAACTCGCTTTTACATCTCTGCGTCCTTTGAACTAATTTTATATCAAAAGTTGGATGTTTTGGTTGTTTAAAGTGAAAAGGATAAACAAACAAATTAGTAGAAGCTTTATATGAATACCATGACAACACGATTTCGTAAGTTGTGTCCCCATTAACGTAATAAGCTTTACTGCGAATTATTAGTTGACGAACTAAATCGCGTTTTTATATTTCGCGTTTCAAGCAGTTAAGAGCGTTTTATTGCAAGCCATAATTCTGCAAAGACCCGTTGTCACTACACGCGCTCTCGTTCTCAGCCCCGTCTTATTCATTTCAAAAATGACGATACGCAAGTGTAATCTTATTCTTACACCTGTAGGTACCAGGGACAATACGTATTCTGGTCTTCGATGACGTCACGCCACCTGTATTAGGCAATTTAGTGACGTTTGAAGGCTACGTGTAACACTATAGATTTTTCCCTTTATGTATTTTCCTTGATGTAAGCAAATTCTTTGTATGGCGCGAGAATATCTCTTCAATCATATAGAACGGAGAACGTGAATATTTCTTTGATGTTTATTCAATGTGAGTTCTACGTATTCTTTATTTATTCTATTATCTACTCATCCGTATTATACACATGTAGGTGTTTCAATCCATACTGATGTTGGAAATAAGATATATGTCGACAAGAAATATAATCTCGCTCAATTCTATTTATTTTCTATTTTTATACACAAAATTAGCACTCAGTAAAGTGACAGTACTATCAGCTTTTTTTTACTATATATCAAAGCCTCGTGAGTCTAATGGTCACTAAGCTCCTAATCGAGAAAGTAGGTATGTTAAAACGTTAAATTACATTCCAAGGTCTTCGTCCAATTTCAATAACATATACCAAGTTGTAATTTGTTAAACTTCCTTGAAATTGGTCAGATACCGAACTTCGGGTGTGTTTCAACACATGTACCAAATGCGATTCAAAAATAGAACATCCAGTGAACCGTTTTCAGTGGTAATATAGGAAACGGAAGTTATAATAATTACGTTTTGTTATGAATACGTCCCCTTTGTGCGCCTGACACGACGATTCGTATGAAACGTGTACGTATTAATCCATTGCGCATTATTTCCAATTATGAACAGTGGATTTAAATAGAAGATTCAAATAAGTTTAAGTAATATATATCGCGTTTTAAACCATTAAAGTGTTTTGTTAAATTGTGTAGTACTCGCGTAAACTACAGACAGTAATTGTTAGTGGATTTCCCCTTTTTATAATTTTAGGATAGATATTTTAAACGAAAAGATCGTTTCTTGAATCGTTGCTATCACGAATTGCCCGTCAAAATCTTGCTTAACTTCTTGTTTGACAAGAGTAGTTCATCTAAGTTTTGAACAACCGACTCTATCAACTCGATTACACCATCCGCCACTGATTATGGCATCTCGATGTTCCTAGACAAGGCGTGTCCGAAGCAAGTGTTATTCCGTGCGACACTCGCAGACACACCGGCGCCATCCACCAGACGACCGCTCATAAAAGATAAGCGTCCGTCTGATATCTATTAAAATTTTACTAGCTCCAGCTAATATCCTTATATCCAGTAATTGTTCTAAGAAATTGCAATCCATCAGATGCAATATGCGATTAACCATCCAATTTATATCATTCCCGCGAGATTTCGAGTTTCGTTTGAGCTTTTAAAAGGTACAGAACGATAGATTTCTTGTGAGGTTTTATATAGCACATGAGCCAGTTATCCCTTGGATCTAAGCAGATTTAATGTTTCAATCAAATTCTGTTAGTATTCATAAAACTTTGTTGCTGACTTAATCATGAGATGTATGGCTTATAAAATATAAAAAAATAAAACATTGTTGTTAATAAACTGTATAAAGTTAACAAAATCGTAACCTTCCATTCGTATCCTTCCTGCCTTAGAACATAAAAAAGGCCGCTGATATCGAAAAGAATAAGTTATTTTCACAAAAACAATTTCAAAATATTTACAAATACTTTAAGTATTGCGAATATACAAATATTGTTTACAGTTAACGCAAAGAGGTAGGATTGAAGTCTACATTTAACGATTTAAAACGCGAATTATTATAAGGCAACTTATACTTACACTTAGAGACTAAAAATGGCAGGGCGTCCCTAATGTCAATGTCAAATCTGTATGTCACTAGCGCCATCTGTTTCCCGTAATTGATATTTTAAAACAACATGGGACGTTATAGAATAATTATATTGTATATGAGTATAAAAATCTAGACATAACCCAACTTGATTATCTGCCGTCGACATCAAATAACCATAATAAAGACGAGTTTACCCCTTAACATAAAACTAAATCGTTTATTACAAGTTCGGAACGAGGTCGCAAAGAAAACTCATGACACTTGACTTTGCATATAAATTTCGTACATTATGACGGAGTATAGCCTCCCGCAACCAAGTTCGAATACCGCCAACCTTGTTAAAGTTACGGCGAGGCTTTTAGGTCGGCAAGGATTGTGGCTTGTAATGTCAGACTTGAAAAAAATGTTATTATTCACTAGAGATCCGACCCCGCTCAGATTTCGCAGGAGTTTGCACGCGTTTTTATGTTAATTTTAGGTCTTACATTATCATTACAACTAACTCAGATGTGTTCTTATAACTGTACAAAGAACTACTTACCTGTTAAGTTAAATTAATTTAGAAGCGATTTTTAAATAATTGTAATATAAAAAAAACAACATTTGGTTGCAACAGCACGGAACGCTTTTTGCTTTACTAATCTACGAGCGAACGAAGTCGCTGACACGGCTAGTATAAAATGGACAATGCGTTGTACATCAGTAATTAAGTCCTAATAGGAATTTATTTATAATCTCTTTAGTAATATATATTATATAATATTATGTAAGTGACCTTATTTGATGTACCATAATTTAAAAAAAGATCAAAAACGACACTTAAGAGTTATTTCACATTAAGAATGCAATACGTTTCGTACTATTTGTATATTGCATTATTTATATATTTTCAGTTTTTTTTTATTAAAGAGCTTATATCAATGCATTATAATAATAATAACTTAACGATTCAAAACACGAAATGCATCAGTTATCCTATTTACAATTTATTTTAACTACGCCCTGACGTATCACCCCGTGACCACGGCAGCTAAAAACACGTCAGGCCGTAGTTGAAAAAATTCTAAATAAGTTAACTACTATATTTCGCGTTTTAAACCGTTAAAAGTGTTATATTTTCGCACTGACTTAACCCTCTATGTATTAAGTCTCCCCACAACTAACATGTAACTGCTGTTAAATGTAATCCCACTCATTAAAAGAGGATGGGAAGAATCAATTGTGATTATAAAACAAAATGCAGCGGTAGCGGATTGAAGCCCGACAAATCGAGGGCGAGCCAATTCGTTTCAGTCCAATTGGCTGGATATCGTTTGTCCCCGATGCAATATCGCTTATACACGTATATTTCAGATTTATTGTCTATACTTATCGACTGATAACAACGATACACGGGCTACCAATTTTACTTGATAAGATACTTTCTTTTTCACTACTCACTAGCTGGTAAACTACAAGACTATGTTCGCGGGTTAAATTGCAAGATATACTCATACAATATTTGTTGATTAAAAAGAGGGAGGAATAGCATAAGTCAATTTTTTTCTTACTTAATTAAAACTCTCAGGTAATATAATGTGATATAAAAAAAATAATAAGATAAATACTGTCTATAGTTTGCGCGAATAGTACACATTTAAATAAAGTTGCGAGTGCTAAATAAATAAATAATTTAAATAAATCACTTTAACGGTTTTATACGCGATATATTTTAGTTAAACTTGTTTGTCTCCCCGTGACCACGGCTGCTGCAAAGCATCCGAAACGTGGGGCCGTAGTTAAAAATAATTCTCAAACAAATTTATCTGAAATATGTATATCGCGTTTTAAACCGTTAAAGTGTTTTATTAAAAAAAAATAAGTTAACTAATATATATTAACGGTTAAAAATGTTAAATTTCAACTACAAAATTATAACTGAATGTTAATTACGCGTTACTTTATACGTAGTGAATAAGTATGTACTTTTTTGCTGTTTAAGTTTATTTTTAGATTATTGTTTTGTTATTTATAGACCTGTGTACATTTATATAGATTATAAATGTACACAGATCTGTGTACATCGTGTGAATATTATTTTTATTAATCTTTTAAATGTGCTTATAACTGAAGCTAAAACTTTTGTATACATTTATGATCTAGGGCAACATTTTCTGCATTAGACATTATCTTTTGTACTTTATGCGGGCCCGGGGCGCTAAAATGCCGCGTGCAAGAGCGCTAAAATATAATGCAGAAGCTCTAGAATCGTGTCCACATGTACTTAAATGTGCCGTCTACATTTAATTTACCTGTGCATTCTACTTATTGTAATAATATTATTTCCAAAAGCAAAATTAAGTTTATCAGAAGTTACTTTTTACACATCTTGGATGTTTTTAAAACATCTGTAGGGTCAGAAATAATTCCCGAGACTAAAGTACTTGGCTAATATGAATAAAAACTGCTATGCTCTGAATCTGAGCTAACACTAACTACTGACAGATATAAACTTACCCCAGTACTGACTAGAGAGAGCATAATTCGCTCGTTGAGCGCGAGCGTTTCCCCCTGCTTCATCTTGATCCGTTTCTTGTCGAGGCACTTCATCGCGTACATCTTCCCAGTATCCGCTTTCCGACATCCATACACCTAGCACGAGGTAGTTTACAATAAAATAACAAACATGTTACCATGGCAACGGCTTATTAGCCATAATAACCGTTATGCCAAAACATTTTGATGCGCTCGTTAGTCTAATGGTAGCAACGTATTATTGCTTAAAATTAACAGGTCTTGGGTTCGATCCCCACCGGGTCCAGCATGTTTCTAACCACCACGACCGTCCACAGATGAAAAGGCCATAAAGCTTAATCGCGTTTTGACTTCAGTCTGTGGCTGTCCGAATATCCAAAGCCTATTTTGGCTTGTTTTAGGTCGATAGCGCATCTTGTTTAGATGCTATAGGCTGGAGTATATCAACTACCATGAAGTGATGGTTGTCCTCTATCATTAAAAAAACCACTATTTATCGACCAAATCAGTGGTAACAAAAAAAAAATACAATTATGAAACAGCAGGTTTCACAGGGATTGTACATACCAAATGCCTTAAAACAACACTGGTTGTAGCTATGATTACAAAAACACGTTCTAAAAATCACATGACAACAATTTACCCAGGTAAATATTATGGACTAGACTGTAAATTACCTTAATACGTTTATTGGTTTTACTACTTATCGTACTGGGTGAAATATAGTACCGACACATAATCGTAAAATTTACCGGCTATCGGATTTTCGACTTTAACAAATATTGGACGCGTTTATACTATAGAAAATGGGGTCCACTTAACGGTAAAATACCTCCGCAATATAACATTTCACCAAGATGCTCTATCGCCCCCTTTTGGCTTTGGATAGTGGGTAATCCACAGACTCGAACCGCAACACGTTTAAACTTTACAGCTTCGTCATGTGTCGTCGGTGGTTCGTGATCTGGACGGAATTTCGATATTTCTACCACGCATTTAAAATCCAGAATTAGATCCAGAATGTGTCGATAAATTTTTATACATTGATTAGAAGCATGGTGGGGCCCGGTGGAGGTCGAACCCACGATGGTTATTCGTTTGAGATGATACCATTAGACGAAAGTGCCCGTCAAATGAACTAAAAAGTTATAAACGTTTATACTCACTTCGCCAAAGCCTCCTCTTCCGATAATACGATGAACACTAAAATCGTTCATCGTTAACTGGATGTTTAGCTCTAAATTCTTCCATTGGCAGAATCTCGTATATTTGTCGCTGTAAATGAAACATAATATTACAAACAGTCGTATACAAGCATGTAACACGATAAATAATTATTCTTAATTATTTCTGTTAAACAAAAAAATTATAACAGTTATAAACGCGAAATATATTAATTGATTTTAAACTTCGACCTGATGTTTCGAATTCTTATTTGAATTCTTTGTACCATCTTCAGTACCTAGTGAGCACCAAGCGCATTTCGGTAAAGACAACTTAATTTTTTTATAGCATGACTGTACTTTAGTCTATTTTTATTGTATTTAACATAACGCAATACAAACCTCTCTAGAAAATTTTTGAACGGCTCCCCTCTTAAGTGTTGAAATATCTCCTCAATGTACGGCTAAAAGAAGAACTTAGATTAAAAATAAGAAAATAACTATGCATTAAATTAATTTATTTATCTTCTCTATACTCGGAGACAACTGCCATAGCCTGCATTAGGCTTAACCACTAGTTGATAATGGTTAAACGCATTTCCTAGATCGTAGGTTTGAATCTCGAAAATAATTTACGAGAATTATTGTAGGAAGCAGAGGTCTGATTCACTAAATCAAAAGAAATCGAATAGTTTTCACTTCATTCCCAAAACTGTTTGATTAATTTAATATCGGAAAGTCTTTTGTAAGAAATGTAAATAGCGAAAGACGCATTTTATTAAAACAGTAAACGCATGAATACTAGAAGTATTGATAAATATAATAATATTAATAATTTCGCGAACAACTGAATCACGTAACATCCAACTAAGTCGTTACCTCAAACAAGTTCGGTGGTACTTCGTGTTTCATTAGATATTTCTGGACATGCGCTACACACTCTTTGGAGTAATCCTGGAATTAAATAAACAATTGTAATATGTAAAGCAACAAAATGAACGTTATTTCTGTCCGTATGTATGTCAAGCCGACATTCATAAGGGGCTAACAAGATACGATTGTGGTTTTCGCAATACACAATTTGTGATATAGAGTTGTTTACGAGAAAATTCTGCATACTTGGACAGGATTACCATTGTCAGCATATTAACGGAAGCACGGAAGGCTGTGTAGGAAGTAAAAAAAACGCGTAAGTCTAGAACTTAACTAATCGGATCTTACGAGTACGGACTACGGAGTCAAGAAGTCGGTCGCGTCCCTTCCCGTCGTTCTAGCAAGTTAATCTTAAGAGAAGCGTATAGCGTCGCGACCGTTTTTTTTTTAGAATATAAAGAGAAACTATTCCTTCATACATATTTTTGGGGTGTCTTGAACCGTTTTTGCAGTGAACGCCTCGGAAACAAATAATAATGAATAATTTTCCCAAGTTCTTCACATTTCTCGTTATATCTTCGCTTGTATCACTCACAGGGCGATGTTTCATAGCCCATAGCCTTCATCGATGAATGCTCTAACCAACACAAATGTTTCAATTCGAACCCTTAGTTACTGGGATTAGCGCGTTCAAACAAACGAATTCTTCAGGTTTATATAGATTGCTGTATTTTTGTGAAAATTACTGGAACTAAATGATTTTATATTTTATTTAATTTTTTATCATTAAGCTAGCTAGCTAGGAGCTATTAATTTTTTTTTCATATAACACCATAATACACGGAATCTTTATTTGTATGCTCATCACATTCTTTAATATTCAAGAATGTCAGACACTAGATGGCCCCTTGAAATGTAAATTGAAACAATTCCCGTTCAATTGAGAAAGACGTTTGCAGTCTGAAATTTATTCAACATGGAGCTTCTAAACTTTTAACGGATTCTTTAAGCGAAATTAGGTCGCGTCGAAGGGAATTTATTTAGCTACTTTATTTGCTCGTGTTGATAAACTGCAGAGCTATGGCCATAAACGCGCTATTTAGTACTTATCTATTACGTAATATTTCACGATGTTAGAACGTTTACAGGAACATTTTATTAATAAGTTAACTAATACATTTCGCGTTTTAAACCGTTAAAATGTTTCAAAGCACATTTAACATTCTCTACATCACAAATAGTTATCGTTATAAAGACAAATGTTACAGATAAGTGTATAACACAATACAATAGTAATTAAGTAACAATTTACAATTTTAGACGCAATATAACATGATATATATCGAAACATAAAACCGTAAAAGTTTCTTTCGAGGTGAATGAGACCGTAACGAATTAGAAGAGTTTAAAAAATCTATCATTCAAGTAAAGTGACAATATCTGATCACTCCTGAGTAAGTAATTTAGTTAAGTAAATATTATTGTAGATCATCTTGAATGCACTGCTGTTTAAAATTTAAAAAAAACCACTTATCCCCCCCTCCCCCCAATGGTAATGACGCATTCCGTTTAATCTACGTTCATTAAGAGAAGCCATTTGTGTTTATTAAGCGGCGTTTGCGAACAATAGTCGTATAGGATTCACATTAAAACAGTCTGAAAGATTATATCCACATACGATTAGGAATAGCGGCGAGGTACTTTGTTGGAGCTTGGCCAAACGCGCATGTACTTAAGATCACCAGAGTCGCTAATGGCAATTTTGTCTACTGTTTAATTAAGTAGTCATATTATATACTGTCTGTAGTTTACGCGAGTAGTACATATTTAGATAAAACACTTTAACGGTTTAATACGCGATATATATTAGGTAAATTTATGTGAAATTAACTACGGCCCAACGTGTCGGATGCTTTGCGGCAACCGTGGTCACGGGGAGACTAATAAAAATAGGTAAAAAAACTTTTGGGTGTACTTCCGAAAAGCGCATACCGCCGATCGATCTGAAATTTGGTATACTTATGTATTTTGACCTCCTAATCACGAATATCATAACGAAAATTGGCGCAAACGCCATTTTGAATATGAAAATCGAAAAAAACCTCTTTTCGTTCAGTGTGCCTAATCACGCATTTCTAACCAATGTAGACTATTTGAGCTTTTCCTGAAAAGGGTTTGTGTGTGTGTGTGTATGCGCGTTCATTCATTCACCAATAACCTAAACTTTGCACATGTCCGCTATACAATTTCAACTTTGTGGTGATGTCCCACTGTGGTACATGAACTCGGTGAATACTTTTCGTTATTGCAGTCAAACTCAGTGTATAATTTCTGCTATAGTCCATTTACTTTCGGCTGTCAGATACAAACTGCGTATATTTTTCTTTATATTAGTCAAACTCCGTGAATGTTTTTTACTGTAATAGTCGGTCTATGGAAATATTTGCCGCTTTTGTCGATAGACTTGAGATCTATTCCCGCTATAGTAGCCTAATTCTCGAGTGGTTTTTTGTTCTCTTAATCGACCTGGGAATATTTCCCGCTGTAGTAATTCCATTTCGTGAAAATTTTTTGCTTCGACATTATGGTGGAAAATGGTTACACACACACAAACACATACACACACCCTTTTCGGGAAAAGCTCAAATAGTCTACATTGGTTAGAAATGCGTGATTAGGCACACTGAACGAAAAGAGGTTTTTTTCGATTTTCATATTCAAAATAGCGTTTGCGCCAATTTTCGTTATGATATTCGTGATTAGGAGGTCAAAATACATAAGTATACCAAATTTCAGATCGATCGGCGGTATGCGCTTTTCGGAAGTTTATCCAAACTTTTTAAGTTAAAAGGTTTTATGTTAAACAAACATTGCGTAGTTTAAGATAAATGTACTAAAAACCAAAAAATAATAAAATAGATACAGTCGTGGGAATTATAAACATATGCATAGACTAGACTAAAATAAAACGCACGTCAATTGTCTACAAATTATCGAATTAATGTGTAATTTTCTAGTTTTTAGTTTTTATTTCGCATTCTGTTTAATTCATTTAGTGTTTGTTGGTACTTGTTGAGACCTTTCATTTGATACCCATGTTGATGGGATTGATAAAACCTACGTTATCCGCCATTTTGTAGCGGCCGCCATCTTGGATTTATAATGATAATAAATAAACATAATTGTATTGTCACCAAAATCCAAAGTGTATACAAAATTTCAGATTAATCGGTTTACAGGAAGAGGATGAAATTTGAATTACTAAATTTGACCCAAGAATAAATAATAAATAAAAAAAAACACAAATGGTGTGAGCTAAATAAAACAGTTTAAAAATGACGGATGCCTCTGACGTTAAATTATTCATAAACGATTTATCTACGACCCGACGTTTTATATGCCTCGCAGCATTTCCTTTTCTCTTTCAATACAATAATTATAATAAGTTGGAAATATCACGTAAGAAAGAGTTTTTATTGTTAAATTAATATGAAAAAGTAATTAGAATAGAATAGAAGATGAGCTTGCCCCATGCCCCACAGATTAAACGAAATTTCTCTTTTACGCTTTATTTTAATAATTATCTGTGGTCTTACTCCAAAATCATTTGTACTCTATGCACTCTCGAACAGTCCTACCTCCCATTGAAATGCGTCTCGCTAATCTAATAATTAATGAATCCAATACTTACATGGGAATGGGCTAAGAGTTCTTTCATAATAAAATTATCGTATATGTCCCTCGCGATCCGCCGCCTTTCCTCGACGCACTCTTGCTTTTCGTATAATTTAATCTGTGTCGACACAAATAATTAAGTATTAGATCATACAAACTTAATAAACCGGTAATAAATAAACATTTGACGGTCATAATGGTAGCAATGTATAGCTAATAATCAACGGGTCGTGGCTTCGATCCCCACCTGTGTCAACATGTTTCTAATCAATTTATATATTTTCTGAAGCATTTTGGACTTCATCTGGAAGTCTGGCCATTAAATTAATGGTAGGAAAATCGAAATTCCGTCAGCGTCATGAACCACTGTCCATAGATGAGAAGGATAATCGTGTTTCGGTCTGTGGATTACAAAAGCCAAAATAGGGCAACAGCACATCTTGTTTAGATGTTACATGGCTGGGATATTTACCATCAAGTGATTACCCTATGCTTGTCTGTCGTCCTCCTCTTATAAAAAGCCACCTCCGTGGCTTACAGTTTAAAACATTGTCCCGGGTCGAGCCCGGAAAAACGTAACTAATAGTTTCACACACACACAAAAGTCTGATGAACTACTAAATCCAATATTAAGCTAGTGCAGTTGTATGATCAGTGAAACAGCCACTCCTTTTGTTCGGTGCCTGAAGTTTTTCAGGGTTTCTCATAGTTCATCTTCCACTGATACTTCCTTTGTTAAAACACGATGTAGTTAAACATCACCAACAGCACCAAAGACCGATCTTTGTCTAATGAAAATTCATCACTACGACCACGGGAGGAATTTAAGACGAAGATTTAATTACCTCTTCATAAAATTTTAATTGTGGCACTGGTTCTTCTGACGTTTGTTCGCAGAATTCCTTAAATAATAAATAACCTGAAACAAACGAGAGGGTACAAATTAATCAAAATTGAAAGTCGGCTAACATTGTTATAAAACTGCGTTAAAAATGCATCAATACTTAAATTAACAATGTAACTAAATATAGTGAAACGGTATGTTAATAAATTGCAAATGTTTTCAATTGTTTAATTTTTAACATTGTCACCGTTCAACATTTATTTTTTAATTCATAAATTTGTTAATATTATTTTACATACATTTCGTAACGCATATAAAATAATACAAAAAAACTTTGACATTTCTTCTTTTTACGACCGCTTGAAAAACTACCCACATCTGTTAAAGCAATGTTTCCGTTTCCTGTTAAAATGTATCATATTTTTATTTAATTAAATGCTTTCAACACTATTAAAATGTGAATTATTTTAACATACTTATGTGTTACTCAATCCTATAACTTATCCTTCGCGACCACGACTCCTAAGAAGCGCCCGAAATATCCGGGTCGTAAAAAAAACGAATATAATACGCTGTTTAGACCGTTAAAAGTGTTTTATTTAATGTTGTAAACTATAGATAAGCATATATAAACAACACTATTTAAAACCACATTTTACTCTTCACCATATGAAATAAATTAATTGCCAAGTTTATCCTCGACGTCACTACGTCGTCATCAATTACTAATTCCTATTGCAATATCAATTTGTGTTGCATAGAATATCCAACACAACACGTTATAACGATATCTCCTTCTTCATTAATTATCAATTAATACGTCATGTTATTTCCCTTGGTTATAAAACCAGTTTAGAATAAATAAAAGCGTGTGATTATTTATTATATGCTAGGTAGCATATCTACCCCGAATCAAAAGTCCCTATTGATAAACTATAAGACATTTTTAAATTATATAAAAAATAAACCAATGAAAGTTTTAAGTAATTCAATTTAGGGACATCCCAAAAAAAATGCAGAAGGTTAAAAAAGTTTTCTAACTGGTCTAGTCTTCCAATTCAAACATCTATACTAATATATAAAGCTGAAGAGTTTGTTTGTTTGAACGCGCTAATCTCAGCAACTAGGCGTACGAATTAAAAAATCTTTTTGTGTTGGTTAGAACATTTATCGAGAAAGGCTATAGGCTATAAAACAACGAACTGTGACTAATAGAAACGAAGAAGCAGCGGCAGCAGGAAATGTGAAAAAAAGAACGAGAAAAAAATTTTCATCTCTGTGGGTTTCAGATGCGTACGCTGCAAAAACGGTTCAAGACACCCAAAAAATATGTGCGAAAGAAAGATTCCTCTTTAAATGATCTAAAAAAATGTCCGCGACACTATATGTCTATCTTTTAAGAATAACTTGCAAGATCGACGGGACGCGACCGATATCGTGGGGAGCTTAAATTTATAAAGATGTAGATTTGCAAAAGCAAATTGGGATGCCCAAAATAACTACTCCACGCGGACGACGTCGCTGAGACAGCTAGTTAATTTGTATAAATAGTCAGTGGGGAGAATAATGGGTTTTATTTTTACTTTCGAAAACAATTATCTTGTTGAAATTGGTTTAAAACAACATAAATGAATACAATAAGAACCCAAATCTTAATCTTAACCACGCTTATGTGTCTAATATACATATTTTACTAATAACATCTATTTCAAACTCGTCAATTGAAAATCAGTCATACGTAATCACTTTTCTGCAAATTTTAATCGATTCGCAAGATCTGACTCATATTAAATCGGAGATTTCGTAAAACGGTGACTAAAATACTGGATACCACTGAGTCACGAAACTTTCAAGTTTTAGCGCACGATAAGAAACGCAACTTTCGTTTATGCGAAAATCTTGCTGTGCGTTATTTTTGTCTTAACAGTTCTATGATATTATATTAGTAGGCCTACAGCTTCGTGCAATTATGTAAAGGCTCAAAAAAGGACAAAATATAATTTTACATTAAAATAAGATATGTACTTTCAACGGTTTTAACGAATAATAATTTTTTTAACTTATTTCCGATTTACTTTAATCGAGTATTGTCTGTAATTTACGCGGGTAACACATTTAAACGGTTTAAATTGCGAAATTTTGCTTAATTAACGTTTCAGATGTTTCGCAGCACGGTCACGGGAGACAAAATTTACATTAGTTAAGTAAAAATATTTCGCGTTTTAAACAATTGAAAGTATTTTATTTAAATATGTGCTACTCGCTTAAATTATATAGACAATTTACTTTATTTATATAACTATATAAAAGTTGAGATCTCAAATAAGGTAGTCTCCTCTTTTTTTCTATTTCTTTATTTGTATATAACGTAAATTTACAAAATTATAATAAAAGATACAGTTCAAGCGATTTTTGTAGTAGCACCACTTGTAAGAGAAACTTCGAAAAACCAACGGTTCTGATTCGCGGCAGAAAAAATACATTTACTTGCAGAGTCTATATAGCTCGCGGCCAGCCCTCGATAAAGTTATTTACTGCAAGTGGAAGCGGGCCGTAAATTGCGTTTATAACTCGCCCAAGAGTACATTTCTAATATAAGGCTATCACAGAAACTTCAATAGGCCATTAGCGTACTAATGCAATCAATTATTAGGTTTTGATAACTTGTACATGAAGTGTGCGCTACTTACATTAAATTCGATAGAAAAATAAGAGATTGGTATGATTATAAACAACTACATGACCCGGAAAATATATTATAAAGAAAAAATAACAACTTATTGTAAATGCGTAGATGATGTAACATACAAGTGAAAGAGGTATAGAGCGCTTTGAACGGCAATAAATGACAACTTAAAAAAGAAGACAATATCAATGCCTCTATGCAGAAATACTTCATATACGGTTAAAAAAGTTTTGAATTTAAATTTCTACATATACACCTCTTTGACCGCCTCCGTAGCTACATTTTAAATGCGTTGCCTAACTTTGCGTTAAGCGCGAGAGGATAGCGGGTTTGGATCACAAGGAAACAATTTTTTTCACGCACAATCAAATGCAAATTTTAGCTCGGCACAATCGTGTGATCAGCTAGTTCACTGTAAATAAAACCGATTACAGAAATGGGTTCGCCCCATGCCATTTAAATATGGCTTTGGCAATAGAAGAGTGAAAATAACGGCTTGTCCGTAGGTATTTTAATGTCACCGTATAAAAAAATAAGGTTAAGCCGCTCTCTACCGAATATGTAGGTATAATACATTTTACAAATATCGACCACGCCATTTCTGAGTAGTATAATACTAATATTATGACGCGAGCATTTTCTCTTTGGATAAATAAACAGTAAAAATACCCAAGCAATGGCTGCCTTTAAGTTCTTAAACCCCTTTGGAGGCCTTCGTCCAGCAGTGGGATATGAGAAAGCAATCTATCTTTGTCTTAAATAAGAAAATACTGAAATAAAACAACTCTTAAAAGATCCAGTACAAGTTAACTCCCAACAAGATTACAAGCGTCCCGAGTAGATATGAAATGAAAGTTGCGAGTTAAAATTTCGCCGACGCATAGATATTATCCCGAAGGAGAAACTTCCAGTTCCCGCTGATGTCTCAACGGATCATAAACTAAGTGGTTTAGTAATAACGACAAGTCGTTGCCACTGCTCCAAATATTACAAAGAGGCTGCATATTTTAAACTCCAGCTACAGTTGGGAAGTACGTGACTAGAAATTCTTGAGACATTAACCTCTAATTAGATCTAGTTCGTACGTCTTGAACACATTTCAACGTTACTTAGGGAGACGTGATAGTGTTAAATTTGTGGATAGGCGAAAATAGTTTGCCGAAAGAAAGATTTGAAAAAAAAAACCCATTAGGAAAGTAGGAAATTAAAGTCGTGTATGTAAATATATACGTGTATATAATACAAGTATATATATATACTAATATAACGCAAAGGAGCTTTAAAACATAAAAAAGTTAGTTATTCCGTTTAAAATATGTCGCAATTTAATTAGAAACAATATAAACAATATTTATTACAATAAATACCGTCTGTAGTTTACGCGAGTGAAAATTGAAGATGAATATTTAAGTCTCCCCGTGACCACGGCTGCGGCGAAGCACCCGAAACGTGAGGCCGCAGTTAAAATATATTTTTAACTAAGTTTAACTAATATACATCGCGTATTAAACTGTTAAAATGCTTTATTTCTATAGAAATTCTGTACAACTGAGAAAGCGAGTTTTTATCTATGGATTATATTTTAAATTCACTAATATATTTCAAAATTCCATTGCCAAATGATATTATTTAGTATGCATCAGTTAAGTATGGACTCAAAAAAAAGAATGCGTACGTTAGTACTTGATTAAATGTTAAAGTGCATTGCGGCGTCACCTAGGGCTTAAACAAAGTGACGTTGCTTGGTTAGACAATAATTCTTATCACTAATTATCTGTCCAACAATCTAGACAAACATCGAAACATTCACTGCTACAATCTTGAACATTAGTAGCACTTTTTTATCAATAAAATAGATACAATGCAGCTTCGCCAAGAAAACAAGAGTACGCGACAGAGGACACGTCATAAATGGTCGTCAATATAACAAATAATTTATTAAAACTAAGCAATGAGAACGACCAGTGCGATCTATGCGAGATTATTGTATAACACACGACTTCACTAATATTCTGGGTATATTCGCTTCATAATACCCAAGTCATTAATCAAACGGTTATTTTAAGTATTTGCAGGAAGTTCTGTAAATATTTACTAAAGGAAACTAGCAACATTTTCTTATAACGCCGGGTTTATAAGCTTGCGGCATTTGAACAGCTGAGGAAGGCTCTCTATCTAGGACACATTTACTGGGGAAGAAGGAGAAGTAAAAACTAAAACCTGTCCTGTCCGTCTGTACTTCTATATAATAAAACGTCCAAGATCGACACAAAAGACGCACAAAACACGTTAAAACAGTTAGGAAAATTGGCCGTGCCACAAGATCTTTTAACAAAAGTAAATAACACTAAGTCCTTTGAGCAAATATATTCCTATCGGCGTATGCGTTCATTTTATTCGAGGGTAAGCCATTGTAAGGCGGCAATAATCGGGAGCCGTGCCTACGCAATCATTTGCGGGCCTTGGCCTTCGACAGAATCCCTGGGTACAAATAGTTTTTAGCTGTTCGTGAACTCTACAAATCGCAGACTCGTGAAAGTTTCGTTTGAACCTTTCATACTGCGAACAATACTCGGGTTTAGGGTCTACAAATAAAATAATGTAGTATTATTAATTCTATAAGGAGTGGGTAGGTTATTGGAACATTTTTTCTATATAACAAAAAACAAAGTTTTTAGCCATCGATAATATTAGTTATTATTATAAAGCTAATGAGTTTGTTTGAAGGCGCTAATCTCAGGAACTACTAGAACTATAGCCAGTACGAACTGAAAAAGCTGGTTAGAGCATTTGCCGAGAAAGGCTTTAGGCTATAAAACATTCCGCTGCGGCCAATAAGAGCGAAGAAACAGTAGGAGAAGTGGAAGAAACGGGAAAATCTATTCACATTTGTCGGTTTCCATTGCGAAAATTGAAATATTTTCATATTATGATTCCTCTTTTAATGATCTAAAAAATGTATTTGTCAGAACGACAGAACGCGACAGTAGGTAAGAGCTATAATTTATAAAAAGGAAGTGGTTTTGCTAAATCAAATTTTGATGCCAGAAATAACTATTCTACGCGGACGAAGTCGCGGGCACAGCCAGTTAATAATAAAGTCTTAGCTACGCGTTTTATCGAAATCGCAAATATTTTACTTTATCGTTGGAGATATTAAAATATAATGCAATACAATGATAATACAAAACCACAGTAGTCAACATTTGAAGTCAGTAACTTATTCGAGTCTCACAAATTGAACTCGATGACGCGAAAAATTAATCAACAAATACAGTACAGTAACCGTATGACCGGTCTATCGAACTATAATCCCTTGATAATCCTGATTAAGAACCACATCGAACAGTTGATAAAAACTGATAAGCTTTAAAAATATAGGCATGGGAAACATACTCTGCAATATGGATGAGATAATTGCTTTGTTGTACTACAATTTATATAGTCTGTTTAATTACTGCGCTATGTTAATATACATATGAACATATTTTTTTTATTTTGATATTTATTACTTGTTATTTGAGCATTGCTTTATCTAGACACGTATATAATATAGTTGACTTGTAAGAGAAACTTTTAAGTCTTAACACAACAGATGTTAATTTTTAAATGTTTAATAGAAAAAGCAATTAGTTTTTGTCAAATATCCCATTTACACCAATGTTGTGTCAAAAAGCCAAGACTAAGATTTACTATTGTTTATTAGTATAATAAAAGAAGTGTCTATAGAGTCAAGATCAAAAAGCAAAGTTGCATACTAGTAAGCTACTAGAAGTTAAAAGGTTGCATATATACAGTTATTCTTCGAGATTGCTACATATGACCAATCTACACAATAGATCTCTAAGGATATATAAAATCCAATAACAATATTATGCGGTAATGGTAGAAGATTATTCTTTTGTGCTCCATTCATGCATTTGTAACGAGAAACTGAATAGTGGGCACTTCTAGTGTATCTTTATATGTATAATACTTATGTAGCTTCATTGAATTAGTTGAAACTTACCTAAGACTTGATTGAATATTTTGTCAAAATTCACTTCATTCTTCTTCTCCATGTATTTGTGCATAACACTACGAACACTGAAACAATAAAATATTCATTAGATAAATCAATATACAATGGGAAACACATTGAAAAAATATAAAAACAGCCTTATAAAAATAATAGTTAAATATTCTTAAGAAAAGAGTTCTTTCATTAATAATAAAAGGAACTTAGTTACTTAGTGTAGGTTACTAGGTGTTATTTTGGGGAAGATTGATAATTATATTATATTGACTTTGGGTAAATTACCACCCTTGGTGAATAGTGGACATTAAACATAATATGGATACCAATTAATTGATTAAGACAGTTAAAGCATATCAAACATTTTATAAAAATATTTAATCATCTTTAAAACATTATCAAAGTTTCACCAATACAAGAATTAATGTATAAGGTATAATATATCACCAAGGATTAAATATTAAATCGATCCTACCAAGATCGTATTCAATTTATTAAATAAAATATTTTGAACTAAAACAAACTTCTTGCAATGTTTGTTTCATTTACCAGTTATTGACATTATAAACAACCTATTTTTATAAAACAATGGTGAATCATTTCCAAAATGGACTCATTCAAATTTGCAGCATAATTCTTTGATAATTGTTAATGTGTTAATTGATGAGTTCTAGAAGAAGTTCACAATTGAACCATTGGAGGATTATCTATACAATATTTTGTAAACAACACAGACCATAGCAGTGTATTTAACAAATATGACCAAAAGAAGGGCTGCCTTACAGTTGGACCTTACCTTGGGTCTGGTAGAACAATCTTTTTGCTTGCTCTAGCAGCTGGAGTACACTTTGACTTCTCCATCGCCATCAAGTAGCTGACGTCGGCCAGCACAGCCTCGAGATCCGCCATTTTGAGTCTGATTTATCACATTCACCAGAGAATAACACTTATACACAGTGGAAACACTATCTACCGCCTTTGCACCAATCTCATTTATAGCCAATAATTCTAACCTCCTTTACATGACGAGTGAACACTAGCTTATTACACCATTTGTTGATGAACGCTGACACATTTTCATTCTTGTAATATAGTGTGCATTAATAACTAACACAAAGAGAACACTTCACAATCATATTGATAAATCTATATTCTACGCAACACAGTACTTCTCAGTTTATACAAACGCGATAATATAAGATTTTAATTCAGAACAAATATGAACTACACCATCATTCTGTATTCGGGGATTCGAGGTTCGACTTTCTTCGATGACCGACGTTCGAACTCGGAAAACTCTAAGTGAAAATGACAATTGACTATGTGACGTTATTGACAACGCTAGTAGAGATATCACATACCTACTTATGCAGATTAAAGGATGCAGATAGACAGCAACGACCAAAAGGAAAAACAAACAAAGAGTATACGATAGTAGATGTAATAGAATAATATAATATTCATTAACAAGAAAAATATTGATTCTAATAAAATAAAAAAAGATAAATGAAGAGCACTGACTGGTTACTGATAATTTACAAACTATGTGTTATATATAAATATAGAGGTCAGAGAATAACTACTGTCATTGTCACCCTCAATGCATTTTGACACTTGGCTGAAGGTTCGAAGTTCTAACTTCAAATTCATTCTCATTTCGCAATAGAATCTAGTAATCTCTTCAAATGAATATTTAATTCACAAAGCAGAACGAACAACAGTGATTCAGGATTTTTGATAAGGTATTTTTGTATTTTAAAACAAAGATAGCTTTACATGTTCATTAAGTGCATATTTAATATTTTTATTTACTTTAAAATTAACAAGTCCAAGGTAGAGTAATATTCTTTGTGCGCCTCATGTCTACCGGTATTATTTTAGTGCGTTTTTTTATACATGATTACGTCTAGTTAACTATGATTTAAAGGTACTATTATTCTTATATATTCAAATGCTGTGAATAATGAATAAACGCATTTACTTTTTTTGCGAATGGACCAAATAATCTAAAATAATAAAAAATACTTAAGTTTTATTACTTGTAGGTTCACAAATGGAGTACTGTCCACCGAATGTAACTTTAGGGGAAATATGGGTGGACCATGGCATTTCACAATGCTTTATGGAGACAGTCAGTGCAGCTATTATTGGAGTATTTTTGCTTGTATTTGGTACAATTCAAATCATTATGTATAAAAGGTATGTACCGTTATTATAATCAGTAATGTGTTTGGGAACTGTAGTGCTTGATATTTGATCTTAACAGGTCCGTAGCCTGTGCCTAACCTTAAGACAACCACATATATTTTGTTTTTCTTTTTAAAAAGCATCCCAGTACCCTATGCTTAAGGCATTGCATTACCCAATAGGTTGATAAGTAAAACAAATACAATAAAAAACAAAATTGATATATAAATACATGCCCTAGCTTGAGGACATGGGGTGCCATTTATATGATTGTTCTAATTTTGTTTTAGATATGCCACAGAGGTAATAGATGTAAGATCATCACAACTATTTGTAGTGCAATTGTTTTTCACATTATTTGTGCCTGTATTGGCAGTTGTAAGATTTTTACTACAAGCCTTTGTTTTCAAAGGTGGTCACATCTATGGGTATATGGTAAGTGGAATATTTTCTTTTTGTTCCTATTTTTATTTTATTTCCTTATATATAAATAAATAATTTCTTATTATTTCATTTATTAAGGGTTTGTTTGAGGTATAGTAAATGTTTTCATAAATATCTTGTGCATTAATAAAAATTTTACAAAGAAAGAAACTAAATACTGTCTCTTTTTACATGAGTAGTACACACTTAAGTAAAACACTTTAAGGTTTAAAACGCTGCAAAGCATCCGAAACGTCAGGCCACAGTTAACATAATTTTAGAATAAGTTTAACTAATATTTTAAACTCTTAGTGTTTTATTTAAATAAGAAAGAAACTCAATATTTATATTGTTTTATATTTTTACTGTTCATGTTTCATCTATAGTACTATAATTCTTTTTTGGCATTCTTTCCTCACTTGTATTTATTATGATTATGTAATTTTAAAAGTCACATAGCTAAGCTAAGCTAAACTTATCGGTTGTTGCAATTGAAAGAAAAATGTTATTAAAAAAAAACACTATTAAACCAGAAAACTTTTTTATAAAAAAAACTGGCCAATGACGTATTCAAAATGCAAAACGGGTATAAAAACAATGTAAAGTGGCCCAGACAACTAGACAGCCTTGGCATTTTGCAAACCAGCCATTTTTGTTTAACAGGAATTTTTAACATACTACTGATAAGACGCTAGTAGTTTTTGCATTATTTTGAATATTCACTTCCTTTTCATTACCTCTGTTATAATAACCATATATTTTCCTTCCTGTTACGTATACATATTTAGGGTTATTGTATTTTTACCAGGTCTAAGCAGATTAAAAAAAAAAAGATCATCAAGAACTGTACTTCAGCTCCTCCTGGTATGGGGTTGAATCATGTATAGCAGATGTCTAGGGACTTCTTATTTATTTCTCTATTATTACACGTTACCATTGCCATTTACTCACTTATGTTAGGGTTAATATGAGTGAAGAAGTAAAGAGATTTTAATCATTTTAATTTTCTTTCAGATTGTAGCTCTAGTCATAACGATAATAGTGTTTCCATTATCTGCATATTTGGCTCTCATTGAAAGAAGATATTTGTTGCCTTCAGTCCCACCTAGAGGACATGGCTTCGTGCTTCTAGCGTTTTGGGCTATGATATTTGTTTCAGAGAACTTGTCATTCCTGAATTTAAATAAAGAGGGATGGTGGTGGCACTTGAAGAAGTAAGTTTGATTGGATTTGTATTTTTTCTATTTAAGGATAGTTAAATTAAGTAAAGGCTAAGTGTATAACTAAAAAGTGATAGTTCTAAGTAATTGTAAGTCTGTTTTGGGCATAGACTATGTATCACTTAAATTGAAAATGTGATTTCAGCCTTCAAGATCGCCTAGAAATGGCACTGTTTGTAGGCCGGTACATATCATGTATGATAATGTTTATATTAGGTATGAAAGCACCGGGAATTATGCACCAATTTGAATATTTAGAAGGTGATGATAGTAATAGACGAAATTTACTACCAAGGGTAAGTTCATCATGACTTTCATCATTTCTCATTCAGCTTCTCAGAAGTCTCTTGCAATTTCTTATTTAGTCAAATTTAAATACCATCTTTTTACAAATATCACGCAGCAAAAGGTTATTTTAAACATTTTACTGTTCACATTGTTTATTATTTTGAAAAAAAAAGATACACGTCGATTTATCATGCACGTAGTTCTTATCTATGTAATAAAAGATGTTAAATAACGTAGTAATTTCAAATCGTATGTAACAATGCACACAAAATAGAAAAGATAACATGATATTTATCTTATGCTGATTGATTTCGTTTTCCCCTATTATTTTTTTACTAGGGGCCAATCAAACATTTCGCGCCATTTTTTATTGCTTTGACATTGTCACAGACAACACTTTCTAGACTCGAAAAAAAAAAGTTTTCCCCCCCTGTCACCTCTGACGTTCTCTATAATGCTGTAGAATTTTCGTTACATTTATTTTTGAACTCCTTTAAATTAGTGTTAAGATGTCATGTCCATATCAAAATTATTTCGTTGCACCTGAGAAGCATTATTTCAAAAAGGTATTCATACATTTTTTGATAAAATATCCTATTGACTTAAATGCTTAAATTCTTTGTCTGCATATACCAAGAGACTATGGCTAGAGAATGTTAATACTTTATCCAGAACAGGTAGGACTTAAATATCAGAATACTATTTTATTTATTATATGTAGAAACATAAGATATACGTCTTAAGGTGTGTCTAAAACTTCTCGAGAAGAAATTATCGCGCTTATGTCTTAAAAATAGTGACAAAAGCAATATTAAAACCCACAACCAACCAAAACTTCATTGATTATCAACCTTTTTACATGCACAGGCGCAATGTAATTTTTTTTTATGTTTATAATCTGTTGTATAACACTAAAGATTTAAGCAATATTATCTTTCAGGAAGAGAACAGATCGACGTTCCGTAATGTATTTACGAAATTACGCACTCTATTGCCGTTCCTTTGGCCGAAGAAGAGTCTGTTACTACAGGTCTACGTGTTGATTTGCATATTGGCACTAATTGCTGGACGTATTATTAATTTATATGTTCCCATCTACAACAAGCTTATTGGTAAGTTGTATTTTAAATACTGTCAGTAATTTACGCGAGTACTCGTAACACAATATGGATGTCCCCGTGACCGCAAAGCAAAACATCTGAAATATCGAGCCGCAGTTAAAATAATTTTCAAATAAGTTTAACTAATATATATCGCGATTGTGGACATGAAAAATTTGTTGTATGGGGAAGCCGATAATAATAATATAGGATTATAATTTACTAGCACTAATGGGCATCGGAACTTGTTATTGAAAACTTCGTAATTTATAGTCAGTTATTATCAGTTAAACTGAATAGATAGACATAGTGTCGCGGACATTGTTTCATATCTTTGAAAGAGGAATCATTCTTTCATACATATTTTTCTGGTAACTGAACGGTGTACTGAATCGGAAACTCCCAAATTCAATTCGAAGCAATACTACCTGATATTAGCGCTTTCAAACAAACAAACTCTTTGGCTTTATATATATAGGTTTCTGATTTTTATTAAATTAGGTATGTTTTAGTTAATCAACGATGGGTATGTACTATATCTGTTTGTCTCTCCGGCATAATCATCTCCTAGAACCTGAACTGACCTTCAAATAAAGTAAGGAAACGGGATTTCTTATTTACGCTGTGTATATTTAGTGGAATAAGGTAATGCGGGAAGGCAGCAGTTATATTATCTCTTTCTACCAAATATGGATAAGCAGACAATATAAGCCGCCGCGCGCGCACTTGTTTTTCTGTATTGACGAATTGGTAAGATACGTAGAGACAACTCGCTTTTTGTGCTCAATAGAGCATTGATCTCGCCATCTTATAACTAATTGACAAACTCAAGGCCGAGCTTCGAACCTACACATATCTGTTTTGTGACCAGTTGCGCATCTTCGTTCAAAAGTTGACAAAGTTATTTCAAAGTCAAGTTTAACTTAAGTCCGTGCTTATAAGATCCCGTCTTTAATCATATTAATGGCGGGTTACGATTTTGAATGTAATTTCAAAGTTTTATTGCAAACAAGCTAAGTCAGCGACTTCGTCCGCGTAGAATAATTATTTTGGGCGTAAAAATTTGTTTTTGCAAAAACTGTTTAACCTTAGCTGTTACCCATTTTACCCGTCGTTCTTGCAAGTTAATCTTAAGAACGGCATATTATTGTGACGCGGATATTTTTTAGATCATTTCAAGAGAAATCATTTCTTGGTATATGTATCAAGAAGTTTTGTGCATCTTGAACCGTTTTCGCAGCGTGAGCAACGGAAACCTACAAGGATGAACCTTTTATTATGTCCTATTAGTCGCAGCATAATGTTATAGCCTGTTGCCTTCCTCGACAAATGTTCTAAACAACACAAAAAGCATTTTTCAATTCGAATTAGCAGCTCCTGAGATAAGCGCGTTCAGACAAACAAACTCTTCAGCTTTATAATTAGTATACATAAATTTTTAATTTTCCTGACCCACGTTAGATGTTTCTTTTGACAATCTGGATACTAAATGTGTGGTAGAATTATCGAGACCGTCCGAGTTAAAAAGCCAGGGTAAAGCCGTAAAGAGTTTTGAGAATGTCTCCCCGTGACCACGGCTGCTGCAAAGAATCCGAAACGTCGGGCCGAAGTTAAAAATCATTTTCAAATGAGTTTAACTAATATATCGCGTTTTAAACCGTTAAAGTGTCTTATTTAAATGCGTACTACTCGCGTAAACTATAGACAGTATTTAATTTCTTAATGTCGAAAGCTTAAATATGGCGACACGTCAATTTACCACTGCAGTATATCTTAATCGTAGAATTCAAATAACGACGATAGGTAACTGTTTTTGATCCGGCTTTTCAAAGGGTCATCGTGTTATCTAAACACTATCTGCACATGCGTTTAAATAATTTAGAAGTTGCCAGGGTCAGGTGTATATTTCGCTTACGATATATCGAATTATCATTATAGTACTTTGACCTTACGTCGAATGAACAAACGCGCTGCAAACGCGTTTCTGCACGTTAGTTGAATTAATTATGAGATAATAAGTTACGTAACTCTTGGCTTTTTTCAAAATTTTACGAATGTTATTCTGTCATCTTCTCTTTGTAGAGTAGCTTATAGTTTATCGTTGTTTTTCGGTGCGTTCGGCCGGCGTGAGCGAGAAGAGGTTCTCGACGTTTCGCCATCACCAGGGGACGGCATCATCAGGAGAATTATGATTATTAATTCTTCGAGCAATCGCTCACGTCGGCCGAACAATCCAAAAAATAAGGATAATCTTTCTCTTTATGTAGTATAAAAAATATATACAAACCGACATTTTTTCAATATCACACCAACTCCTGTTACTGAGAAAATACCTAAATATAGTCTATTATAACTTTATTTGCTAGTAATAATATAATCATAACTTTTCCCGGGTCAAGTAATTATATATAATACAACCACGAACATGGCTGAATTATCGTTATCTACATTGAATTACTCAATGAAAACCACATTGTTGTAACATACAAATGCTTTAGTTATGCTTAAGTCCGGTTTTTATTTGCATTTTATCATTATGTATGAACAAACATGTTCGTAACGCGCTAATATAGATAAGTGACGTTATCTATAAAACACTTTTAACGGATCGAAACGGCTCTGCATCCGAAACTTAAAAAATAAATTATATTATATATTCCAGAATTGAAGCCGTTAAAAGTGTTTTATTTAAATTTTTACTACTCGCAAATTTACGGGTAATAATACTTAAAAGATGTCTAACTTACTAGATTGTCTTGTTAGTATTATCTTTTATTTAATACTAGCTGTACCTCTGACTTCGTCCGCGTGGAATTGTTATTTTGGGTATCATATTTTTTTTAAACCTCCTTATTTTTATAAATCATACCTGTAACCCACGACGTCCGTAGCGTCCAGTCGTTCTTGCAAGTTACTCTTAAAATATAGACATAAACTGTCGCAGACATTTTTTTTATATTAAATAACTAGCTGTTCCAGCGACTTCGTTCGCGCCCCGTCGTTTTTGTAAATAAATTGTAAAATATGATATAATATATGCATTTTCTAATCATCTAAAAAGAAATGGATATTTCTACATATTTCTCTAGCCGTTTCAGAGAATACTTCGTGCGCCGTCCGACTCGCACTTGGCCGAAAATAAAAGTGGCCTGTTACTCCCTATTACATCAGTCAGTGACAGTTCCGTGAAAATTGGTCTAGCCGTTTCCGAGATTAGCCGGAAGACAGACAGACAATTTTTTTTTTAATGTTGTATTGTTATGCGTACCAAGACAACATTTAAAGTAGTAAAAAGCGGTTATTTTAATGTTACAAACAGACACTCCAATTTTATTTATTTGTATGTATAGAAGATTCTTTCATGCATATTTTTGTGTATATCAGAGATTAATTATATTGACGTACACAATACATGATACTGTCTATAGTTTACGCGAGTAGTACACATTTAAATAAAACACTTTAACGGTTTAAAACGCGATATATTAGTTTAACTTATTAGAATTTTTTTTTTAACTTCGCCCCGACGTTTCGGATGCTTTGCAGTAGCCGTGGTCACGGGGAGACGAAGTTAAAAATCATTTTCAAATAAGTTTCACTAATCGCGTTTTAAACCGTTAAAATTTTTTTGTTTAATTTAAAACTACATGATATTTTCCTGCTTTTACTTTCTACTGTTTCTTCGCTCTTTTTTGTCGCATCGCAATATTAGTTTTATAGCTTAGTCTTTCTCATAAATGCTCCAACCGACACAAAAATTACTTATCAACTCGACCCAGTACTTCCTGAGATTAGCGCGTTCAAACAAACAAGCCATTCAGCTTTATGTATTATGTAGTATTGTATAGATTGGGATTACAAAGAATCTTTTGTTCTTATATGTTTATATTATTTTTTTAAATATGCATGCAGGTTATTTAAAATGTAATTTTCTTATTACAGTTAACAGCCTATCCCTACCGCCACTGTACTTCAGATGGGACTTGGTAGTCATCTATGTGGTGTTCAAGTTTCTCCAAGGCGGTGGTACTGGCGGTATGGGACTTTTAAACAACATGCGATCTTTTCTCTGGATTAGGGTACAGCAGTATACAACTAGGGAATTACAGGTGAGGAAGTTTTATACACGTGTATTATTAATTAGAGGGTAATATAAAATTGTAGGTAACTTATACTACTACTAGCTGTGTCAGCGACTTCGTCCGCGGAGAATGGTTACTTTGGACATCAAATTTAATTTTTGCTTACCTCCTTTACAGCTGGTATGGATGACGTCTGTAGTATCCCGTCGTTCTTGCAGGTTAATCTTAAAAGAGAGACATATAGTGTTACGGACATTTTTTTAAATCATTCTTTCTTACATCTTGTTTGGGACATATTTTTTTATATCTTGAACCGTACGCAAGGGAAACCCACAAAGATGAATAATTTCCCCCGTTTGTTTTATATATTTCTCGCCGTTTCTTCGCTCCTATTAGCGCGTTGTTGGAGCCTTCACCAACAAATGCTCTAAGCAATACAAAAATAATTTTTCAATTCGAACCATTGCTTGAGATTAGCGTTTGCGTTCAAACAAACTCTTCAGCTTTATATTAGTATAGATAGCATTACAGATAAAATAAGCATTCGTTATCAACTAGAATAGTTTTAACAAACAGCTCTTGTGTCCTATCAGTGTATTGTTAGTTTGAACTGTATTCTTAGATTATTAGCAAATTATTTTATAGTCAATATTTGATTAACTTACAATATCATGAAAATATAAGTAGTGTTACTAGTATATTGATAGGCTCATGTGTAATGGTAGCTATGTATGGCTAATAATCAACGGGTCGTGGGTTCGTTCCCTACCGGGTCCAATATTTTCCAATTTTATTAATTTTGCTGAAACCTTTTGCGATTTCGTCTGGAAATCCGAATATTAAAAGGAATATCGAAATTCCATTCCTATTTTGGATATTCAGAAAACCACTACCTGAACCACCTGTTTCAGGTTGTGGTTTTTTGAATATCCAGAAAAGCTCGACAGCGCATCTTGTTTAGATAGTTAACATTCATTTTATTTCACCTACCATCAAGAGTTCTCTGTCACGTGAACATCCCGTTTTCCCCTCCGTGACAGGAGCGAACACATTTCTGTAGCTGTGTGTAACTGATATGCTACGTATATTACCTTTAGACCAGAGGCGGGACTCGAATCCATAATAAATCATGTGCTGATGTGTCAATTGATCTACAATTATTTTAAATTGAGTTACGTGGTTGAATTTGTAAGTATCGCCACCATCTTTGACCTCACCGTTCTACCGGCTTCTTCAAAGTATTTGGTACATCGAGTCGCAGTTAGATATCGCGTTTTAAACCGTTAAGTGTTTTATTTAATCTGTGCCAACTACAGACGGAAATTTATATATATTATAGGGTTAGAATCTTAAGAGATTAGTGTGTTTTAATCCAGTAATCGAGACTTAGATAGTTTAAGTCTAACGGAGGGATAAAATGAGTGGAATAGCTAGCAGATAATGTGGATTGACCGGCCTTCTATCGATATTTTCAATATAATAGGCCGGAGATTGAAGAAGACTTTGACGTTAATTATAATTTATAGAAGCGACAAACTGATTACTTCTAAGATTAAACCAGTGTAAACTTACCATGATATGCAAATGTAAGCGTGGACTTGACCATATTATTCACGAATCGGCATTAATCTTACAAAGTTGCTTCACTACTTACAATGTAGAAATTTACAACATTTAGTAAACAGACCAACTATTTAGCTTCATACATACAGATACGAAATTAAACATATTTTTTATCAGCTGCAAGAGTTTCATCTTTCTTTAATAAAGAATCTGTTTCAAGATATGATCCACTACCAAATTTAATAAAAAAACATTAAATATTGCGTTTAGTTTACGCGACTAGCACACATATCAATAAAACAGTTTTAACGGTTTAAAACGCGATATACATTAGTAAAACTTACATTTCAAACCGTTGAGTAAATATATATTTTTTAATTAACGTTTTAAAACACGAAATAATATATCCATTGATTTTTATCAATTTATTTGAACTATGGTCCAACGTTTTGAATACTTTGCGACCGTGGTCATGGGGGAACAACCATAGAAATGCCCCATTTTTACTTTCATTGTGCTTGAAATGAGATTAGGATGTATAAGTCCTTACATGAATCCTTAGACAAATATCGTGAAGTAAAATAAATTTGTATGGTATCGCCGTATTGGCAGAGCTGAGTATTTTATTACGAAAAAGTTTACGCCCTGAATTATTGAAGACTACCTATATTTTAATATTAGAGCAGGACGGACAAGCATTTAAGCTCCAGATTTCTAAGTCCAACATATTTTAGAATAAATTATTTTAGACAAATTGATTATCAACATATTGGACTACTTGGAGATCGAACCCCCTACCCGTTTATACATTACTACCAACGAGCCCACAGGGAACACAGTCTCGTCGCATTAGTTTAAAACTGCAACATCACCTTTGTTTCAGTTAGAGTTATTCAGGCACCTGCACGACCTGCCCCTAAAATGGCACCTCTCCAGGAAGACTGGTGAAGTCCTGAGGGTGATGGACAGAGGGACGGATTCCATAGACAACCTGTTGTCATACATACTCTTTTCAATCACACCGACATTGATTGATATTCTTGTCGCTGTTGTGTACTTTGTATCACAGTACAATGTATGGTTCGGTGTTATTGTCTTCTCTACAGCTATATCAGTAAGTAGTTGTTTTTAAAAATAATTGGGGATGCTGTTGTATATCAGTAAGTAGTTTGTTAAAAATTTGAGTCACACTTTTGAAAACTTTAAATATTTTGATGATGGCACTATATAAATTCAAAAACGATTTTAGACTGAAAAAAATTAATACGGCAGGAATTCTTCGATGGCACGGAACGCTATGTTGCCGGTCGGTTGATCGTGCGTATTTTCAAAATCTATAATTCCTATCAACACACGTTTTTAGAGTTTCACTAATCGACTTTATTGAGAAGAAAGTTTTTCAGACTTCCTTAGAACCTAGACTAACTTGTCCGATTTCGATAAAACTACTTACGGTTATAGTTAATAGCTTATAGTTTTCGACTAATGCATAACCTATATATGTATATCTACATACTGCATATAGCATTAATATATTTTATTATAATTTCATTTTTCAGTCGCAACGATAGCTGTAACGGAGTGGCGTACAAAATTCCAGCGGCGCATGAATCTGGCTGACAACGAACAGAAGGCCCGTTCCGTTGACTCGCTGCTAAACTATGAGACTGTCAAATACTATGGTGCTGAGGCTTACGAGGTCGTCTCCTATAGGGAGGCTATTCAACATTATCAGGTAAGTGTACTTATATTAGGTAAAATGTAAAATTTTGCTTCATTTACGAGTATGTGTGAAAGCCCGTTTCCCCTCGTGGGGCATGGGGCGAACACATTACGCAATGCTTGGCAATACGTTTAAGCATTTGGCTACAGAGGCGGATTTACGAGAAGTGTGAAAAATACAAATCTATTTCCATTGAAAACTTTTGTGACACGAGTGGGATTTGGACCGCTATCCGAAAGCAAACGCGTTGCTCTAACTAATACAGCTACCGTAACTCACGTACCGTAACGTACGTTCAGCATATCATTGTGGTTTGGGCTGTTCGGCCGACGTGAACGAGAAGAGGTTCTCGACGTTCGCCATCACATGGACGGCATCATCAGAAGATGTTAACACTCTTCGAAGAACTAATTCTTTAAGCAACTTCTTGATCACGTCCGCCGGACAGCCCGAAATACAATGATAAGTTATTAATGTTAGCAATTATTGTTATGATCAGTGGCACGGACACAAATTTTTTGGCCCCATGCCCCGAAAGGGGAAACTGGATTTCACTACTATTCCCAACAGAATTCACTTTATCTTAAAGATAATATTTTTTCCAGAAAGAAGAGTTCAAATCCCTTGTTACATTGAACATATTAAACACAATGCAGAATATTATCATTTGTACGGGTGAGTACAAAGTTGTTATCCAGTAATTACCTTTCTCGTATTAATTAATTGTATGATAAACGACCTTTTATCGTGTGTTATTTATTGTTTTGACACTTGTTAAACAATAAAGTCTTGGTTTTATTAATTATTATTTGATTAAAATTACGATTCATTGGTACATTTAATTAAAAAAGATAGTAATGTCTGTAGTTTACGCGAGTAGTAAACATTTAAATAAAACACTTAACGGTTTAAAACACGATAAATTTTAGTTAAACTTGTTTAAAAATTGTGTTTGGCCACGGCCCGACTTTTCGGATGCTTTGCAGCAGCCGTGATCACGGGTTCTGACACCGTCGATCGTGTTCCGACGTTCTCGCTGAATCTTGAAATATAGACATGCTTTTGCTGACATTTTTTCAGATCATTTAAATAGTATTAATTCTTTCGTACACATTTTTTGGGTATCTTGAACCGTTTTCGCAGCGCAGGCCACGATCTCTCAAAAATAAATAATTTTCCCCGCTTTCCACATTTCCCTCTGTTTCTTTGCGCATGCACCCTAATGTTATGTGCTCGAAAGCTTCCTCGATAAATAGTCCAACCAACACAAAAATATATCTTTGATTCGAACCCGTAGTTACGGAAATTAGCGCGTTCCAACAAACAAACTCTTCAGCTTTATAATATTCATATTTTGATTTTAATTACTACTTACACATTTCATCCATCAATGTTTGAATGACCTATAGTCTACTACTTGTAGTATTAGTGTTTGAGTTGAGATTATGTCATTTATAGATTATATATATCTTTATCTCAATTTATGTGAATAATACCGCATAATTTGACCGTTGACGTAAGTTTAATTTTTTTATAGGAAAATTCTAATGAAGTTTTCAAATTTATCGATAATATTCAGTCTACTAATAAACAAATGCTCTCCAATACATTTACATCTCATTTGAATATTGTAACGAACATTTTAGTCTGCCATTACCACGTGTCCAAGGTTATAGTATTATAGTATTTGTTATATCAAGTTTCGCGATGCATACATAAATATTTTAAAATGTTGTTTGAAATTTTAGAATCATATTTTTCTTACAATGAACGTAAAAATATATTTTATTGTAATAACTATGGTCTACAAAGCAGAAGACCACTACGAATTGTCGGCTCTTAGTTAAAAATCAAAATCAAGTCACGTATTCATGTAGATAACTAAGTTGACTCATGAATGTCAAAACAGTTAATACTAAAAATAAAGCAGTCTACAGATACTTTGAGTTAAAAACAAGTGCATAGAACGAAAGTCTATCTGGAAATCTGAATTTTAATATATTTAATCTCCTCAGGATACAGAGAACTTAATTTTTTTTTTAACTTTCCGCTATGTTATATAAAAATTAAATTTTGCTGCTTTTTAACAATTTTCCCTAACCATACTCTTTTTTAATTTTCAGGATTGCTTGCCGGTTCGTTGCTGGCTGTACACATGGTTGTGCATACTGCTGAACTGACTGTAGGTGACTACGTTCTGTTTGCCACCTATATTGTCCAGCTTTACGTGCCTTTAAATTGGTTCGGAACTTACTACAGGTCAGACGTTCCTTCATTTTGATTTATTTGCTGTCTTTTGAGCCTTTGTTACTTTCCCACGGCTGGGAACAGTGCGGCGTAGTGGGCTTTGTTGACTATTGCCAATAAATTATTATTATAAGAGATGATAAAGTCCTCTCTGGGAATTGTTGATAACTTCCACATAGTAACTCGAGATTGATACTAGAAATTTTCGTAAAAAACGTACTAATATCTAGACTTGGGATTCAAACCTCGAACGAGTTCACTAGAAAAATTAGGTACTAGATTTAACCTATTTATAAAAAAAAATAAAACTCTGTTAGGATTTAATTACATTATACAAAAATATATTAATCAAATTTTCTTATTTCTCGAACACCTTTCCCCTTATCACTATTACTTAGGTTTAAAAAAATTGGTTGACTCTGTTTATTCGTACTTAGCCTTCTATGATATGAACCCCATACTTAAATACTGTCTATAGTTTACGCGAGTAGTGCACATTTAAATAAAACACTTTAACTGTTTAAAACGCGATAATTTAAACTTATTTGAAAATGATTTTTAACTTCGGCCCGACGTTTCGGATGCTTAGCAGCTGCCGTGGTCACGGGGAGACTAATATATCGCGTTTTAAACCGTTAAAGTGTTTTATTTAAATGTGCACTACTCGCGTAAACTATAGACAGTATTTAAGTCCCATACTTGTCTGATCACATCTATAAAAACTTTTGAGCCATGACTGTGGCATTTGCGACCTAAGCATCTCTTAAAACGTTAGATAATCATTCCAGGGCCATCCAAAAGAATTTTGTAGACATGGAGAACATGTTTGACCTGATGCGAGTGGATAGCGATGTGAAGGACGCTGTGGGCGCGCCGGAACTCTTAGTGCGTCGTGGCGGTGTTGAGTTCAAGCATGTGTCGTTTGGTTATGGGCCAGAGCGACTGGTGTTGAATAACATCAGTTTCAAGGTTGCTCCGGGGTCCACTGTAGCGCTGGTGAGTTATTAGTGGTTTGTTTTATTTACTGATAATTACGGTTTAACAAACGTTTAGGTGAAAACCATATAATCTATACTAATATTATAAATGCGAAAGTAACTCTGTCTATCTAAGCGTCGAAACTACTGATGCGAATTAAATGAAATTTGGTACACAGATATTCTAGAGCCTGAGAAAGGACACTTTTACTGTCATTTTAATGCCAAAAAAGGCTTACTAGGGATTTTTTTTTAAGCTAGAACAATCAAACTTTCTTTGGCTGTTTGTGAATGGGGAATAGGAGTTAGAGTGGGAGTGATGTGAGGTGAGAGTGTTGCGGTAAAGTAGCACTTAGCTACCACATAGATTGGCTGCCTTAAATGCGCTCTTTTATAAATAAATATAAACAGCCTAAATAATTAAAAATTCTACCGAAGGCACTATTCCGCGCGCACGAAGTCGCGGGCACAGCTAGTCAATTTTATATTTTAGGGCGTTAGCCTAAAGACAACATTGTATGACTAATCAACGGATCATGCGTTCGATCACCGGGTTTATCATTTTAATCAGCATACAGTTTTCAAAGTTTGGAAATCTGGTTATTAAAAGGATGGTAGAGATATCAAAATTCCGTCCGCTCACGAACCATAGCCTATAGATGAAAAAGCCAGTAAATTATCGCGTTTTGGTTTCAGTCCGTGGATTTTTAAATATCCAGAGAAAAAATGGGTCGACAGCACAATCACCGAAATCCATTAAATTGCTATCTTACTACAGAAAAATTAAAATAACAACGGCGTATATAAGCCAGGCAGAGCACAAAATTCACATAATTTTCTGTAGAGTGATTGTTTGCGGGTTAAGTCTCTCATGTACGGAAAACTACTTTACTTTTCTTTTTTTGTAAGGTGGGACCGAGTGGTGCCGGGAAATCGACGATAATGCGTCTCTTGTTCCGGTTCTATGACGTGAACGAAGGCGCTGTTCTAGTTGACGGACAGGACGTGAGAACCGTCACGCAAGTGTCACTGCGGGCCAATATCGGTGTCGTGCCTCAAGACACAGTTTTATTCAATAATACTGTCAGGTAATGTCTAAATATAGAAAAATAAACTCCATATATCTTTTCAAGATAGATGTACTAATCATGGTAAACTTCTAACGGTTTTAAACCAATAATTATTTTGTTAAGTAAGTTAAGTATTGTCTGTCGTGTAGTGTATTGTGAACATATAGATAAAACACTTTCAGTAGTTTAACATACAAAATATATATTTTAACTACGACACCATGTTTAGGATGCCTTTCAGCAGCCGTAGTCATGGGAGCTAAGATCGAACGAATATAATGCGCGTTTTAAACCTTGTGTTTTGTTTAAATATATTTTTAACTACAACCCAACGACGACTACGACCTCATGTTATGAACTATTAAAAGTGTTTTATTACAAGTGCATTTTTTACTATGTTATGCAAAAAATAGTGAAAGATTCTAATAAAACTTACATAAATATATCTTGCCCAGCGATTTACTGACCTAGATCACGAAGCCTCTTGTCTTTGCTTCTCTAATCTTGATCCAGCTTTGTTAGTAGTTGTGCTAGTTTTTGCTTATTTCCTTTCGGCTGTTTCACTTTCGTAGCATAAAAACAGGTTTTAAATTAACTATTTTATTGACCTTCTTTCATAGGTACAATATTCAATATGGAAGATTGGAAGCGTCGTCCGCTGATGTGATAGCGGCCGCCAAGAACGCAGACATCCATGACAGAATTCTCACCTTCCCTGATGCTTATGACACTCAGGTACAATGAAAAAAGTCCAATAAAATAATCTTGCGCAGGGAAAACGGCTATCTATACCCAAAAAAAATTGCCTCGCATCGCATTAAGCGCGAGAGGTACTGTGTTCGAATCCCAGAGAAAAGGTACGTTGTTTACGGTCGGGCAGGGCACAGGGCACTGATGGTCGGAAGTCTGATGAAATATTGTCAGTAAAAGAACTGATCAGAGAAACGTTCGCCCCATACCCGACGGGATGTATATGTTAACGAATTTATATCCTGAAAGACGATATTTAACCTTAAAACTAATTGATTAGGAACTAAATTACCACAAAGTTGATTGTCATAATGTAATTGAAATAATTTACACGTGTTGAACAAGTGCTGCTAGTACTAGTTTTATTTGCCCAAGGGGATATAATTGTCTGATCCATTTTAATAATTAAATTCAGGTGGGAGAAAGAGGTCTGCGCTTGAGTGGAGGTGAAAAGCAAAGGATAGCGATAGCCCGCACTCTTCTCAAAGATCCAGCTATTGTTTTACTTGATGAGGCAACATCTGCTCTAGACACTAACACAGAGAGGAATATTCAGGTAACATCAGATAAATATTTCAATTAACACATAAATACTAAATTAATATACCAAGTAAATAGGAAAATTGGGTGACGCCCATTGACTTTATGTCCCTATTCTTCACCCTATAAAGAGGAGAGACATATAATAGTCATTGGAGAAAGAAACTCAATATTATTTAATCGAATTGTGTTTATTTAGTTTTAAATATTATATTATAGCAATTTTTATAAGCAGTTAAGTCGCCCGTTTTATTTGTCAAAAGAAAATAATTGTCTGTAGTTAACGCTGGTTCAAAGAAATGAGAAATAAATTGAAAGAAAAATAAATATATTTCGCGTTTTAAAACGTTATATATAAATTAAAGTTTTAGCTTTTAAAATTATCCTCAACTTAATTAACAATAGATTTAGCTTTTTCGTAGTGTTCAAATGTGTTTTTATTATTGCAGGCGGCTTTGTCCCGCGTATGCGCCAATCGTACGACACTCATAATAGCGCATAGACTGTCTACTATAATACACGCGGATGAAATTCTCGTTCTGAAAGAGGGAGAAATCATTGAAAGAGGAAAGTGAGTTGAACATATTTTACTATTTGAGAAGCACTTATAAATGTTTAGGCTATTTACTCGTCAATAGCCCATCGTAAATCAACCTGGTTTACGTTTGGTTATTGGGTCATTGGTTCAAGATCAGCTTTGATAAACCATACATATTGTCTGTCTCGAAGCTTTAGGAATAAATAGATGATACATATTTTTTGTGATAGGAGAGGACAGACAGCTTTGGGCTTTACTTGATGGACTGGCTATATATATTTGGAAATGTGACTGTAACCGAAATGCGCTTATACTTTACGAGTTTTAGAAATATTTTTAATTGGTTAAAAATATTTTGGACCCGGTGGGGATTGAATCCCGCGGTTCATTGATTGTTAGCCATACATTGCTATAATTAGACCTACTAATTCTCAAGAGTACATTATTAATTTTCAGCCACGAAATGCTATTAGCACAAAACGGTTTCTACGCGTCAATGTGGCAACAGCAGCTGGAAGCTCGCAACAACAACAATAACGCCAACAACAACGATAACAACGCAGAAGGCAACAACAACTCGAGGGCGCAACAACCTAATGGGTACAGTGCGATGAACCATGGTCACGGTCATGGACACGGTCACTAGGTAGACACAATGAATTAAATAATGGTTGCGTAAACGCTGTAGGCCGAATACAGCGTCACGCATTACGTTGCGTCATACGTCATCCGCGCAGGACGATTTGACAAACAAGGCTCTTATTTGACTTGTACTCAGCAATATTTTAAAATAACGTGGCGCACAGCGTTGATCATTTACCTCCCTGCTGGGTTTGTGTGAAAGAGACAACAGTACATTTCTATATTACAAAGCGGAAACGCGTGACGCTGTACACGACAAACGGTGCTTATAAGATACTTGGCGTTACGCTGACTTATTACAGCCAGTATAGCCTATGTCTACTGAAACAACCTCCTCGTATATCTGACTTTTTCATTACTATTCAATAAATAATAAGTAATGCTATCCTTGTCTAACACTCAATTAATGAAAGAGATAAATGTATGTGGTGGTCTAACTGCGTAACGCAATGGATGACTGGGGTATTAGAAACTTTATTAATGAATCTTGTCAAATGTGGATCAATGCAACGAAATCTGTGAATATAGACGATTGTGGGTAGTTGATAACAATGGACGTAATTACTCATGTATGTACATTTTTGAAGACTTACGCTGCTTTCGTTTTGTACGTAAGGAGACGTCATACAATACACATGTTTTTATTTAGGCTTCACTATATCCATATTTACCCATTGAGCATTCAGTTAAAAGTAAAATTCATAGGTATAATAATTTTCTTATAAACCATATTTGAACGATTTATAGTTAAGCGTATTAAGCAAAATTTTATTTCCTTATGAATTAATTTGAAATGCAATACCTGTAAAGTTCTATACTTTTGTATAGAAGTTTTTACACAAATCACATCTTTTAAAGAACTATTATTCTTTGACCTTACACATCTTGTATACTTATATACAATATCAAAAACGTCAATTTTAAAAGCTACGCGTTATCGCCATTACAGTTTTATTGGCGTCAATTTACAATTAATTGAAGAAATTGAGAATCTTAATATCTTAATGCTAAGAAAGATATTTTTATAGTGTTTGCTAGGTCTTTCGGTCTAGATTTGAGTCTATCTATCTACTATATTGGCAGTGTGTAATGATAGTTATGCATAATGACTGATTGTATATAGGGATGAATTTCGCTAATTTTATCAAATGCTCAGTTATACCCATCATGTACAATAGATAGCAGTGTAGATAAGAATTTTTCTAGTTGTTGGAATGAAATCTTGTATATTGGTATGTACGATTAGTGTGAAAATAAGATATAATATTCGCAGTCGTTATCGTTTCGTTTTTTTATTACCTTATTTTCACTTGGATCTTAGACAACAAAGTATATTAATCGGTTAGTAGTAAGTGTAAAATAAAATCAGGCTCTTTGACTATATACTACGTTCGTTGTCCTAACTAAACTTAGTAGACTAAAATGTTAGTCATAAGATTTGTAGTTAGTTAAAAGCTATATAATCTGTTTTAAAGTTTAATTTAAAAAAAAATATCGGATACGTGTCCGTACACGTTTGCGTACGTGTACGTGTGTATTTAGTGTCGCATATTTTCACACTAAGCGTACAGAGGTCGCTGTGATGATACCGAATCGTACCTTGTAGTATTAATATTGTAATGGGAAATTTTATGTGCAGTTTCTGTTATTAAATGTTTCTCGTTTTATTTTTGTTTTCATTCATAATGATATTGAATAATACTGTTGATTTTGTCTTCATTTTATTAAAAATGTAAAAAGTAAAGAGGTCTTTTTAATGTCTTGATTCAATTCTTCCGAAGAAACAGTTTATAAAAAAGGTGACTAGGCGAACCGCATTGATTGAGTTATATCCACTTCTGAATATAGAGGAGTATCACCAGGTAAACGCAGTCCGGGAGGCATTTTTCCTGAAAAATAATTTTCCAAGATGGTTGCGAAATTATTAATGAAGGTGACATCCGCCTTTGTAGCCAAAAGTTTCAACTCGGGGAAACAATAGATTTTTTTGGTTGGACAGGGCACAGAAGTCTGATCATACTTGCCTGTAAAAGAACCGTTCATTAAAAAAGACATGAGTTCGCGCCATGCCCCACGAGTGGTAATTCAATTTTATAAGGTCTCTTTCTATCTATGAAAAGTCTTATTTCCAGTACAATAACAAATACTAATATTACACAGCTATATTCGACCGAACCCTGATGAAAAGTTATGATGCCATTTCTCTAGAAGTCGAGGTAGTGCTTTCGTCCATTTTGGTGGTACCTAAGCTCCCATCGAACTCCGTTGCATCATTTCTTTTAATGAATATGGAGAAGTAATAAGACGATCTACCATAATCCTAGTTCCTATAATAATTGGACTTTGGTCTCTTGATAGGCCCGAATAAAGAAGAAAACCTTTTATGGCCAAAGTCAGCTTTTAGGCAGACATAGCGTCCTATATTATAGTTTTTCATCAGAAAGGATCTTAGTCAAATTCATAACTACAAAAAACCTTGGATTATATCTTGAAGACAACTTACCACTAACAACCTTCGAAACAAGTTTCGCCTTCAGCCTAGAGACACTCTTCAATTTCTCCTGGTACTCCTGGTTCTTCGCTTGATATTGAGAGACAGACATCGAGGGCCGGCTTTTAGCGAATTCCACGCTACGTATAGACGTCTCCAGTCTTTGCTCGGCTTGGTCAATAGATTTGACGTAATCAGATGATATTTTCCTTGCCAATTTCTTACTGTGCTGCAAGTTCAACATCTCGTCGTAGGATACCTTCTCTGCCGTTAGGGACTGTCTGAAATATTTCTCCCTTGTGTCTTCATCGCTTTTTATGCGTGAATTCGGTGAGCTGTACGTTAGCATCACGTTTTTGTGCTGCGATTCACCCGCAGGTCTGAGAAAATTAACGCTAATAATTAACCGGGCTATGTTTAACGACGGCACGAAGTTACGAGGGCTTTTATAGATGCAAAGCAGATTTTAAGGAAAATAACGGTTTTTAAATAACTTATTAAAGAGGAGTTCACTTGACAGTAGGAGAAATGACCCAGCCATATAACAACTTTACAAGATGCGCTAACGACGACTATTTTGGCTTTAGATATTCGAAAATCCGCAGACTGAACCGAAACGCGATTAAACTTGACGCCTTTTTAATCTGTGGAGATGGGTCGTGATCCGGACGGAAAATCGATATTCCTACCATTACCATACCATTTAATTTTTTGTTTGTTTTTCTTCTTTCATTTTTTTATAAATATTAGTTATTTTAGCTTAGGTACATTTGAGTTATTTATTCTGTCTTGTGAAATAAATGGTTTGAGTTTGATATATATTTCCAGACGAAGTCTAACATGTTTCAGAAAAATTATAAATTCATTAGAAAATGTTGGACCCGGTGGTTGGAATCCAGGACCCGTTGATTATAAGGATTACATTGTTACCATTACACCAAAAAGCCTGTAGATTTCACTTTTACCTGTATTCCTTTAGCGTAGGCCCTTCCTCGTCATCATCATTAGTGACGTTCTCATACAATCGTGTCAGAACAGATTGCCTGCGGACCTCCATGTCCGAGTCGGACATATCCAGAGTTGAAGGTCTGACGAAGCCAGTTGGTCTGCGGATCGGTCGCGTCCCGGTTTGAGCAGCGACCGCTGATGGAGATATTCGCACCTTCCTGAAACAAGGATTTTTAAGGATGTCATCCTATGTTTTAAACATGTAAATCAATGTTATAAAAATGTTTGTCCGACGAAATTCGATTTATTATTCTTTAATCTTAAAATAAAACTTATATTAAAGTTCAAAGCTGCCGCGACGCCCGGTAGAAGTTAAGTAGTCTGTAGTTTACGCGATTAGTATCTACGCATTTATGTAAAACACTTATAACGGTTTAAAATGCGAAATATACTAGTTACATTTAAATTTCACTACGGTCAAATGTTTTACATCAATTACAACAGCCGTAGCCAGGGACAGTAGTTACCAACACCTGATACTACATACACTTGATAAGGCCGTAACGCATTACGTAAATAAGAGGTTTTTCCTCACTTATAAGGAAGTTAGATAAAATTATCATTTTTAATGCATTTGTACGTCTCCTGACACTCAGCAGAAGTTATAACTTAAACTAGTAAATTGAACCAAACAGACTGGCGTCAAACGCGTTACGTTATAAAGGGTTACCCTCCCATAAGTTTTATTTCAAACATAATACTTAAAAAATGGCGTTAAACAACATATACAAAAATTACCGACTGCCCATCGGAGAGTCATCACTCAATTCATCGGAGCTGACCCTTTGTATAATGTGTATCTTCTCCAAATCTTCCATGCGCACAAAGCCGGTTTGCCGCCTTTTAATTTTACTGGGCTCTCTAACAGCCCAAGGTACGCTTATAGAAACTTTTCTTTAAAAAAATACATAAATTAAAAAAAAATGTTACGTTGTTTCATTTATAATATTGCCATATAATACATGTTTTACTTACTTTTCACTCATATCTCTAGACTTTCGGTCGACTGATGCTAATCTGTATCATTAATTTAAAAAAAAAATTAAATACATTTTGTTTTCTATATAAAATCCTACTGCAATAGGTACTTATACCGTCTGATACTATTGTTGTCCTTGTCTAATGTGTTAATATTCTTTATTTAGAAAGAGATACCAGCGTTTTACATGATCGTGGATCAACAACGAGGTGGATTCCGTTCAAAACACGCCACTATATTAAACTTACCGGAACCGTCTTAATTCCTCATCAGTTATCAATTCTGACCTACAATTGAAAATATTATCAGGTCATAGGTATGGCGAAAATAAAAGACACCGTATTATTTAATTACTTACTTCCTTTTGCCTTCAAATAGATTACATTTTCCAACACCCCGAGCGATATTTTTAATCACACCACCAGCGAAGCTCACGCGGTCTACATTCAACCTGGTAATCATTTGTTTATAAGTTCAGCAAATCTTAAGAGCATAGGATATAAAAAGGCAGGGGTCATCCACTTTTTTAAAAGAGATCCGCATGAAATTTCTAAATTCTCTAGCGGGCCAACATTGTTTGTTTCTCAGATTCAAATTATAATAATAAATTTACGAATTGGCAATTATTAATTGAGTTTTTTATTAGTCATTTTAAACCTTTTTGCGGCAAATTAATATCAATATCGCGTTTTTTAGTCGCAGATCGCCAATCCTTGCATTACGAGTAAGGGATAGTTTATTGATCTATTGATATATTTATCAAAAAATTGGGCCTTTTAAAACTTGAGCCAAACGTCGACCTTCAGGACTTTATTTTCACTGCATACTAGTTTTTGAAAATTACTTACTTTAGATATCGTCGTATTTCACGTTCGTCTTCAGACTCCAAAGACTTCACTAAAAAGAATTAAAATTTACTTAAATAAATACGACTGTATATATTTATAATTTAATTTAAAGTCGGTGCCAAATTAATGTTTAAACATTACCACAATGTCAAATTGCTAAGCACACACATTATCAAATTTATAATATACGTAAGTTATGCGCACACAAACTGACAAGCTATTCCTATACCTTCTATCTTGCTAGATAAACTTACGAGAGCCTTCGTCTGATTCATCCTCAAATTTAAACATATCAGACATGTATGACAATTGATGTTCAACAGCTTTTTTAGGTAGGTCCACTTCTAAATCACATTCCAGACAGTAATCGCCTTTGAAAAACCTATAGATATTAAGAAATTAATTGTAGATATCCTAGTATTCATAATGTTTTATCAACGAAAGTAATTTTGTACTTGACTTGATTATAGGCTGAATATTAATAGCATTAATAATGTGTCTTGAAACTTAAATCAAGAGATTTATGTATGTTAAATAAAAACTGCTAGGAAAGGGTTATTTTAGCGTACATAAATATTTGAATGATAAAATTGCTTGGCAGGAACCCGCTCTTAGGTACAAGAAAGAAGATTAAGTGCGTAAGGATAACAAAAACTTGACAATAAAAGGAGTGGCGGCGAGTTTCATGCCAGTTCTTTTCGTTCGTTCTATGCCCTTGAGAACTGGTACTAAATGTGAATTTAGAGTTTTAGATTTTTAACTGTTTTTACGTTCATATAGGTCGCGGCACTGATGTTTAGCGCTGAACAAAATGTAGAGGGAATAGTTACGTATTTGGTACAATCGCGCACGTAAATCATTGAAAAACGTGACTGTACTCGAGAAGCAAGCGCAGCATCGTTTGCCGTGTGCCGAGAAACAACAAGACATCAACGCTAGCGGCACACGACGTTCACTCGCCCCGCGCCCCGCTTCTGTCCATTCGATGCCTTATTATTAACTTCTGCGCAGGATTCGTTCAGCGCTAAAGATCCGTGCCGCTACTTATGCCTATCTACATAAATATTTTTTTATATATTACTTTTTCAAATCATATGTTGATTCCACTTCTTCCGGATCTGGGACGTCTGTAAGTGGTATATAAAATGGCTTCTCTGGCTTCACCTCAATACTGACTGTCCCAACTAAAGAGACATGCTGATATGAACTCTCTTCAGGTTCATACTCATACACTTCAACATCAAAGTCGTTATTTTCTTCTACTTCTCTCTCTGATGGTCTTCGAGGGTCCACGACAGACTGATTCCTTATTTGTTTATCGATTTCTTCCTTCTTGCGTATAAATCTATTAATAATACTTATTGTATACAAGTGCCTCGTCAAACCGGAAGATTTGAAGGGGATACAGTGAGAGTTGGATAACACAGTCCTCTGCAAGGAGGAAATGGAGAAATGCGTGAAATAGTCAGCGGATGATGTGGACTGATCACCCGCGCGTCTATGGGTGTCCCCCATAGAAAATTATAATAATAAATGCCTCGTTAGATTAACGGTTGACATATGAGGTCCAGGAACCACTAAGTAGAAGGAATTTCTGTGTCAGCTTGGTGTTTTGAAGTACAGGACTTGCTCACGCCCGTGCCTTAGAAGAACGTAAGCTGTCAGTCCCAATTATCATTGCTATCTATTTGGGGTGACGGTGGTCTTAATAAGACTCAAGAACTTATCAATCAAAAACTTTGATGTTTTATCTACGTTAAGAGAAACAGTTCATCACCTCTCGGTAGCTCTAATGTTCTTCTTATCCTCATCAATAGATTCCTCCGTTTCACCCTCCGCTTGTTCATGGCGTAACATTTCTCTAAACTGAATCTCCAAGAATAATTTACACATGAGTTCCTATTGAAAATATATATTAAACATATAAGTTAACTGATTTAAATACTGTCTATAGTTTACGCGAGTAGTACACATTTAAATAAAACATTTTAACCGTTTAAAACGCGATATATTAGTTAAACTTATTTGGAAATGATTTTTAACTTCGGCCCGACGTTTCGGATGCTTTGCAGCAGCCGTGGTCACAGGAAGAGAAAGCATTCGAAACGTCAAATATATCGCGTTTTAAACCGTTATAGTGTTTTATTTAAGTAAACTGATTTACGAAAAAAAGTTTTGAATTGATCTTTAACGGTTAGGGAACCAAAGTCGTATATACATATATATATATATATATATATGATTTTTTTTTATTTCATTTTTTTTATTAATTTATTTATTTAGGACAGACTAGCTGGAGTTCACTTGATGCTAGGTGAAATAGCCCAGACAAAATATAACATCTAAACAAGACGTGCTATCCACCTATTTTGGGATTGGATATTCGGTAACCCACAGACTTAAACCGAAACGCGATTGATGACCCGATATTCCTACCACCGATTGAATATCCAGATCTTCAGACGAAGGCCAACATGTTTAAGAAAAAATAGAAAAATGTTGGACTCGCTGGGGATGAAACCCACGGTCCGTTGATTATTATTAGCCATAAATTGTTACCACAAGACTAACGAGCCCGTCGAATGGTGTATGATTTTTTTATTCATAAGTAATTTATGTTATATGTTAAAACGTGAACTGCATGAGTTAATGTACATATTTCTGACTTTTTTACTTACAATTTAAAAATCGAAAATAAATTGAAAAATGTTTCGACTCGGGCAGGGCTTGAACCGGCATCGTCAGCGTTCCGTGCGGTTGCTTTACCAATTGAGCTACCGAGTCCTACACCTCATCGTCGAATATTTTCAACTTATTGATACATACACCTCTCGCGCAATGTAATTTCGACCTTAACACTTGCGTATTAAAGTTACGTCTTATGCTTTGCAGCTTAAGAAACCATTGTAGATGTAGATTAGTATAGATATGTACATTCACTAAGTATACTAACTTCTATCAAAACGTCTCCCAATGCGATCAAGTCTTCAATATGTGCATGAATGTATTCAGTAGTGCCTTTACTTATTATAATACCGTGGCATTCCATATTCAGTATACCAGTTTTGTGTATAACAATTTCGGACGTCGGTGATTCGTACCAAGTGGGCACTGCCTCGATTTTTTTCAGGACAGATTCGCCTTCGATTAACTGACCGATTGCGACATACTTGTGTTCCATCCAGGTAGCTGGTTGGAGTAATATGAAGAACTGGGTCGAACAATCCACGTTTCTAAAAAAATTACTATATAAAATATTAAAAGCAATTGACAGGTTTTAATTTAGTATCTTTCTCGTACTAGCTATGTCAGCGCCTACGTTTATAAATTTAAGACGACGTTGTCCGCATTCCGTAATTCTTGCAAGGTTATCTTATAAGATAGACATAAACTGTTTGATCTTTAAAAGACTCAGTCTTTCATAGATATTTTTTGGGTTTCTTTAAGGGCAAGCAACGGAAACCCTTAAAGATTAATAATTTTCCACTTTTCCCATTGTATTTTCGCTCCTATTGGACACATCGTAAACCTTCCTGGATAAATGCTTTAACTAACACAAAAATAATTTTCCAATCAACCAGTAGGTCCTGAGATTAGCACGTTTAAACAAACAAACTCTTCAGCTACATTTATAAATATAGATTAGGTTTTTAGATATTTTGGTTCAATTTGAATACAACAAGACCACATAAAAACATGATGTTTTATTGGTACACAGAACAATCGTACTCTTAGATGATGTTATAGGAAAATATACACTGGAAATTTCAGAAAATAACATCAAGAGGTGTAATACCTTCCATCATTAGCCATGCACAGTACGCCACGCCTATCATGAGGTATAATAAAATTTTCACAGTCCAGATCGACGCTCTTCAAGCCGAAACCACCACATTGTATCCAGCAATTCTTAACAATCCTATGTATGGGTGTTCCTGTGTAACCCCCTCTTGTAGTTTGACACAATCGGAGGAAATTGACACAGGTATTTGGGACAATGTCGGCATATAGCTATACAAAGAAACGTATGATTACTGGTACTGGTATTATTCAAATACTGTCTGTAGTTTTCGCAGTAGAACACATTTGAATAAAACACTTTGACGATTTAAAATGCGATATATATAAACTTATATCAAAAATTATTGTAACTAGGACCTGGCCTTTCAGATGCTTTGCAGGAGCCATCGTCACGCCGCTGTAGTTAAAGTAATTTTTGAAATAAGTTTAATTAATATATATTGCATTGTAACCGTTAGTGTTTTATTTAAATCTAACGCGGTTAAACACTGATTTTATGTTATATAGACAAACGCCCCGAAAGTGCACGGGCTCGTGGATCTAATGGTAGCAATGTTTTTACAATCATGGTCGTGAGTTTGATCCCCTTCGAGCCCAACATGTTTCTAACAAATTTATATTTCTTCTGAGACTTCGCCTGGAAATCTGGATATTACAAATATCGAAGTTTCGTCCTGGTCACGATCCATCATCCACGGGTAAGTCCAATAGGCTGACAGCACATAATATTGAGACGTTCAAAATCTGGGGTATTTCATATTCCACCATGTGAACCGGATGCTTGTCTGTCCGCCTTTATCATAAGAAGAGAGATTTATAGAAGAAACCCAGTACTAACCATAAAAATCATGGTGCCGATGTGTTCTGAATCAATTGATATATGCATATATGCACAAGGCCGCTGTAAAAGGCCCAACGATGACTTAATTGAATAGAAGTTAATAACACATAACTTTAAAAAGTACATACCCCAGATGCTCGTATATACTTAACAAATTGATCAACACCCTCCTTGTAGTAATCCAAAATTATATGGTAATAGTACTTAGCATTAATTATTTCTCTGAACTCTTTTTCGCCGCCCAGAAATTTATCGTTCAGGATAATCGCAACTGAACTATCCAAACAATATGCTAATACACCGTATTGTCTTTTCAAATCGTCCAATACTCGCGGCCATTCTACCGTTGTTACGCCTAAAAACGTTTAGAGATTGGTAAATGTTACTTTTTTATTGCGGATGTATAATATAATAGTGTATTTAATAACGTTAAAATATATAGATAGAGGAACGGTTCATTTTAAAACTTTATTTTTCTCCTTTTCTGTTATGCTTATCTCTTTTCAAAGATGATGATAGAAGGCCCTTAAGCTCCAGGATCCTGGTGGACCACTTGCCCTTAAGATAGCTACGGAACTGCCTATAACAGAAATCTAGAGCAAAAATTTACTCGAATGGAATAAATACTCAAAATGTAAATTCAAAACAAATCAAAAACTTTCATAAATGTGTAAGCAATCCTATATATATCACCTCTTATTATTGGAACATCAAATAGTGAAGATCGATACTTATACAATCCTTTCGCTATATTAATGCAATAGTTAAACTCCTTCGTGACCATGTCGCCAACGATAGTAAATTTCACCTTATCAACATTAGGTATTTTAACATCTTTTTTCGGATATTTGGAATTTTGAACTGAATTATGAGCATATTTTATTTTATTACGATAATGATCTTTGATCACGGATTCCCATGGATGACGTGATATTTCTTTACCCTTGTGACGAAATTTATAAAAGGACATTTATATAACAATTTTTCTATACTTCAAACGTCTGTTTACAAATGAAGAAAAATGAATTATTTTTAATGTTGTTTAAAATTAATTCCGTAATTTTTAACAGTCATTGTTGTCAATTATGTTTTGATTACAAATCATTTGACTAATATAAGCAAAGAGATTGTTTTAAACGTTTCGTAAAACAATTATTTATTTCAACAACTCCTTTGCTCGGTTTCAGATTTGTATACTGGCGGCTGTAAATCTCACTATGCAAGCTTTTTTTATTATATAGAAGGTCTATCTTGAAATAATACTTAAAATATATAAATTTAATTATAGTATCTAGAACACAATTCTAGTTTAGTTCTTTTATTATCAATTTATCATGAGAGGTGAAAAAAATGCGAATTTTTAAACTACAGACGTAAAACTATAAATTTTAAAGTTTATCTGTAGATTGATGACAACCATAGACCTGTCAAAGTCACTTTAATGCAATTTATAAGAGACAATAACACAAGATTATATCTGGATTTAGAAGTTATAAATTGTTTGCAATATCTTACGTTTTTTGAATTAAACCATGTGTTTTATTGATACTCAAGAATAAACTTCTACCATGACATTTCATATAAAGTTGAGTTTTGAATGGCAATAAACTGGAAGAGTAATTCAACAAAAATGAGTCACAAAAGTCCAGAGGAGTTCTCCGTAATTACAGAACAACTGTGTAATCATTTACAAAATAAGGATCAAAATACAGGAAGAATTAACTTTATAATTGATGAACTCAACGCAAAATTGTATAAAACGCAACTTTCTATTAGATTAAACGTAAGTTTTAGTGCACTATAACAATTAACTATACAAGTATAACTTAATTGTGATTTCCACTGTGGCTCAGTTATATGTTACATATTCCTTAATATATAGTATAAGTTACATAGCTACCTTAAATATTTTAAGGGGTTTAAATTTAGCTAGTTAGTGTAATAGTAGTTTCTTTTTAGATATCATATGTCACCTCTCAGCAAGTAATTCCCACATTTGTCTTATTTAAAAATATTTGGCATTGAGTGTTGCATTGTTTGTTTAATTATTTTACAAGTTTATCACTTTATCATATTATAGGATGCAGCCCTTCTACTAAGTACACTATGCACCCATATAAAACCCAGTGACGAAGCTCTATCAGCTAAAGCATCACATTTAATTAACAATATTACAACAAAACAAATAATTCCTCTTAGTAATGAATATATATGTCAAGTGCTGTTGTGGCACATTGATTATATGAAACGAGGTTCCGACATGATTTTACCAGATATCTTACATAATATGCAGTGCATTTTACAATCTAATACACAAAATGGACAGAAGGTATGACATTTTATTATTAGCAATCAGACCAAGAAGACCTTAGGCCATTGAAATTTTGGTTTATTATATTTGACATATACTCAAAGTCAGCGGTTGCCAAAGGTAGTTTTTATTAATCTCATGAACAATTACAGCAATTTTAGTAGCATTTTTAAATAGTTACTCTTCCTGAAATGAAAAAAATCTTTTGTATGTGAATGTTCTTTTAATCTTTAGGTTATGGACTAACAAACTACTTATTCGGAATGTTTCTTTTTTTTTCCTCAGTTTATCAATGAGTTAATTGGAAAACATGGAGTGCTATTAAAGTATATAGACACGGAAAATGGTCACACAACTTCACAAAACTCCCTGCAAACTTCTCTTGTAGTACTGAAAAGTATTGTGTGCTTGCTACCAACGGCAGATGAGCAAAATTACCAGAATAATTTGACAATAGAAATACAGGAAAATGTGACAAAACTTGTTGTAAAGTATTTAATGAAAAGTTCTTTAAAAGCTCAAGATGAATTTTTATACTGTAAGGTGAGAAAATAAATATTTCAACAATTTTTCAGTCAGACAGGAGTATGCATTACCTTTAATTCAAAACTATCAGTGAAAAAGTAAAAAATATTCTTTCATTTCTTTGATGGTTCATTGATCTTATGGTAGCAATGTATGGCTAATGATCAACGGGTTGTGGGTTTGCTCCCCACCAGGTCCAACATGTTTCTACTTTTTCAATTTATAATGTTTCTATAACATGCTAGATTTGTCTGGAAACCTGGATATTAAATGGGTGGTAGAAATATAGAAATTCCACGTCCAAAGATGAAATAGCCGTGAAGCTTAATGGCATTTCGTTTTCCAATCTAAAGCCAAATAGGCCGACAGCGCATCTTGTTTAGAGCATCTAAACAAGATTAGGCAGGAATATATCAACTACCATCAAATGAACATAGTCATAAAAAAAATCAATGATGTTCTGTTTCATAATCAAAATGTATGTTTCAGGTTGTAATTGCAGCGTTAAGAGTACTGTCACACATCTATTTCAACTGCTCTAGCATTGAAGTTCCATTGCCAGAATTAATGGGTATTTGTCAATATTTCATACTCTATGGCTTGGTTAAACAGAACAATAAGCTTGACAAAATTATGCCCTCACAACAGACTGTTGCAGCAACTCCTGTGAAGCCTAGTGTGAGAGGAGGCATGGTAAAATATGTATTTTTTTAACTAAGCTATGTAAAAAAGAAACGTTATCTGGAATGCGAAGATAAAAGTGCCAAGTTATTGTACAAGATGGCACTGTATAAATTAAATATCAAAAATGAATTGAAAAAACGGCCAATGGGCATTATTGTATGGACGCACCCCATACAATAATTGTAACATGTTGTGACTAGTTTAAACATATTCACTTAAGTTTTATTTATATAAATAATTCAAGTTTTTATTATAATTGTGTACAGGCAATATCCTTAGCAAGTAATGAGCCTACTTACATCTTGTTATAATATAACTGAAACACTGAACTCTGAAGTGAAGACTGTACTACTAACTCACCTTTTGGAAAGATTTTTTTTATAGAATTAAGTAGAAACTTATTTTTCAGAAACAAAAAGTGCGAAAGCATCGTAATAGCGCCATTGAAACGTTAAAGAAAGAGATTCCGGTCTCCGATAAGAGCTTGATGAGGGAGGTCGATAATTTTGAAAATAACTCCGCGTACAAACCAGCAAGTAAGAATTATTTGGAACCCGCGAAATCTAAGACATATTGGGCGCTAACTAGTGATTCAGATATGTCCGATATGGAGAATAGTCGTGAAGCAAAACTAGTCGCGTTGAAGTCTAGAGTGAGGCAAAGCGCTTCGAATCTATTTCTTGTTCTGTTTAAGGTGAGGTTATTTTAATACTTAAATCTTCATAGATGAATATGCATGATGAAAATATACTATTTTCACTACTTGTATATTTTGGTAGGCGCTGTCCCATTGATTACCTGAACCAGAACCAACAAACACACATTATAAACATGGTTTATACGGTCCCCTGTGACAATACTTGAACTTTAAAATGAAAATAAAACTACCTGGATTCCTTCTTTCAGATTTAATGTAGAATTATAATATGTAGAGATGGGCCGATACTGGTTGATACTCGGTATTCTGCGTACTCGGCCGAATAATTCGGTTATACTATATTATTTGATAACGAGTATACTTAGTTTAAGAAAAGCAATATATTTAGGTAGATATAATTATAACAACAGTGTTAATATCGATTAAAAAAATCAAAATTATTTGAATGAATAGTAATGAGACAAAATTACGAGAACAGTAAGTAAAAATAGCTAATATTAAAATCTAATAAAGGTAAGTTATGATGGGGGCAGCACAAGGCTCTCTGCACGTTCTGATAACAGCCTATTGTTCTTTTCTTCGTAGATAGAAATACTCTCTAATTAACTAAATCTCTTTTTTGTCAATACATTTCCTTCTAGAGAGCAATTTAATAAAGAGTACTCGGTTTAAAAAAAAATTGAGCCGAGTAAACTCGGTACTCGTTACTCGGCAAAAGTGTTACTTGGCGCATCTCTAATCATATGTATATCCGTCTTTTATTTCCTTCACCTATAAAGCACAGTTGTAAGAAGTCCGTTTAAACATATTTCTTTAAATTTACAGATAAAGGACAAGAGAGAAATATTTGGTTTCTGGTGGGCACTGTTTCCAGATAGCCCAGATGCAAACAATTGGTTGAGTGAAGGTAATGCGAAAAAGACCCTAGCCTATTGCGCCATTACAGATCCTATAGCCAGCTGCCGAGCAAATGCACTCAGTGTCACATTAGCTTTATTATCTGGATCTAAAATGTATTTAGGTCAGGCCGAAGTCAGGTATTTTGGAAAAAATATTAACACTTTTATATTATGCATTTATTACAATTAAAACGGCCAAAGCCACTGAGTTTAATTGAATAAATTGTAAAGAATTTAATAGTTATACTTAAAAAGTAGGAATAATATTTTTTTTAAGTTAGTATGTCTCAAAACCTATCGTGCCATTTTCCCAAAGTCAATAAATATTATATTAATATCTTTATTAAATTTATTTTTATATATCTTAATAAGAAATGAGAATTAGAATAAATGCTTAAATACGCTATGTAGTTCACGCGAGCAGTACACATTTAAATAGAATACTTTAACGGTTTAAAATGCGTTATTAATATAAAAATTACTTTAACTACGGCCCGTTGCTTTGCAGCAGCCTTGGTCGTGGGGAGACGTATGCGTAACGTCATTAAATTAAATTTCAAATAAGTTTAAGCAATATATATCGCGCGAAAGTGTTGTATTGAAATCCTTATATATTATATTATTTTACACGTGCAAATGATATCTTTATATGAAAAAGGAAACATAATGATTCAACATGAAACTATACGTAAGACACTTAACTTTTTAAATAGTTAAATATGATTTATATTCAAGTGTACTTTTTTTCTTTTTCAGCAAGAAATCAAATACGTCATTCATACCGTTTTCAGTGTCTCTCGGTTATATGATTACGTGTATGCATAAAGTTTTAGTCGATATTTTGGACAGCGAGAGAAGTAAGGCTGTGCTGCTAGTCGCACTGAAATGTTGCTCCGCCCTAGTTCAAGCCACCCCTTACCATAAAATGCAAGAAGGATTGATTTCTGATTTAGTTAGATCTACAAGGAAATTTCTGGTTCATAGAAGTAAGTTTTGCTAAACATTATTAAATCAAGTGGTCCAATCCAAGTGATATACATATAACTTCATAGTCTTCATATCTATTAGGTACTATGGCTAGCTATTAACCATACATATAAGTCAAACACTTTTAACGGCTTAAAACGTACTAGTAAATTCATTACTCATTAAGAATATATTTTAACTACGGCCCGACGTTTCGGATGCGAAGCACCGTGGTTGGTGACAGGAGGACTGAAGACGGAGCCTGTCCCTAATGTCAAAGTCAATCTGCTACGCTAGCGCCATCTCTGTCCTCGCGGTGGTTATTTTTAGAAAGCAGCTACTCACGGTGTCTGCGAAACGTCCGACCGTAGTTAAAATATATTTTGAATAAGTTAACTAATATAAATAAATTGTGTGAGGCTTTCACGGCCATCGTTCTGGAGGGCCAGGAGATATTAGCTCATCGATTGCTCGAAGTATTATGCCGTCCGCTCGTGATGGCGAAACGTCGAGAACTTCTTCTCGCTCACGTCGGCCGCCCGAAAAACAATGATATGCTTAATTAATATAACTCGCGTTTTAAATCGTTCAAAGTTTTCTGTTAAAATGTGTACTTCTCGCATAAACTTCAGACAATACTTTACTGTTCATTCATACCACGTGACCAGCTAGCCCGTCAAATATATATATTTATTATTTCAGATGTAACCCTACAAGTAGGTGCCCTTATAACAATGGGATGCGTTCTGTCGATAGACCCAAAAGTCAATGAAGTACTTAAAGCTATACAAAAGGATACAACGGTATCAAAATGTACTACGGACTCAGATAAAGAAAACAAATCCTGCAACGAAGGCTGTGATGACTTTGAAGAAGGTTATTCTGATGATGAAATGTTCTCCGTGGAATCCGTCGATAGGAATGATGATGTGCCCTATTTTAGTACATGGATACTGGACGTATGTTTCAAAAATATCGGATGGATGTTCCGAGGACAGGAGAAAATTGTTAGTATTATTTACGAATTATTAGTGTGATATGCTCCGATTAGCTAAGGCAGTTTTTCTATATGTACTAATGTGGAAAGCTGAAGAGTTTGTTTGTTCGTTCGTTTGAACGCGCTAATCTCAGGAACTACTGGTTCGAATTGTAAAATTATTTTGTATTGTGTAGAACATATATCGAGGAAGGCTATAAGCTATAAAACATCGCTGTGACTAATGGGAGCGAAGAAATAGCGGGAAATGTGGAAAAAACGGGGAAAATTTCGGCGAGGAGTACAGGTTCGAAGACCGTGACTCAAATTTTATATATTGATTTCATTTTTAAGATTAATTGCAATCCTCTATAACTATCTATCGGAGAATCGCTGACAAAGCTAGTGTATAGTTTATTTTAAATTCTGTAACCCTAGATATGCCAGTCATCAGTGATACCAGTAAAGCAGGAATCGTTACAAGTGCTATCAGCTATCGCCTTTCATCATTTGGGAGAAGTGCTGAAGCCACACTTAGTACTTCTGGCAGATATACTCGTCGAAGTTTTGCAGCACGAACACCAAGACGTCGTGTTTCAGGCTGTAAGACTCATCAGTATAATTGGAGATTCAATACAGAAATTGGGTATGTATTTTGGCAATTTAAATATAATTTTCAATATTTAAGTTAGTTTCCCTCCTACACGTTGTGTGTACTATTACTATGTACCTTTGCCTTTCTTTATTATTTCTTTCACCAACTAAACAAGTTACTTTCTATTTCTTTTCTCCTGTACTTTAGGTTACCTGGAAGAGATCGCTACTTAGCGTAAGGCCGTTGTTTATAAGCTAGTACGAGATTTTTCCTTTTGTATTTTCTGTTGTGTTTTATAAATACTAACTATAATAAATATACTTACGTTGATCTACTTGATCCGCTGCTTTCACAACAACGTCATAGCCCTGTTGCTAAAGACCTAAGTAGATTTTTTAAAACTACCCACAATTTTAATTACTTCCTGGACAGAGTATCGACGAAATAATATTCGTTATGTAATGCATATTCATTTAAATAAATGTCCCAAAACTAAACATTTCTGTTTAGAATGAAATACTTTATGACACGGGCGGGACTTGATCCTTAATACCGTATATGTTAAGGTTGAAATTAGATTGGGCAAGAGGTGCATATATAAAATGACATATAGGCTCGTTGGTGGATTGGTATGTATGGCAAAAATCAACGGGTCGTGGGTTCGATTTCCAGCGGGTGCAGCATGTTTCTAATCAATTTATAATGTCTCTGAGGCATGTTGGACTTCGTCTGGAAATTAAATGGGTGGTAGGAATATCTAAATTCCGTCCCTGCACGAACCACTGTTCACAGATAAAAATCCTCGGTTTCACTCTGTGTGATTTCTGAATGTCAAATCCAGATGTCGCGCATCTTTATTAGACATTATAGGAATGTAAGAACAAGAAATATTAATAATTAAATGTATTTACTATACTACTTCTACTACAGAAAAACATATATAAGGCTAACTAAACACAAAAAAAAACATAATTTAGTCTTAACTTGATATTAAAATTATAAAATAATGTTGTGTGCTGCTAGTAGAATAGGATCTCACTCAGTTTACATTTGACTAAACTGATTTTCACTAATGTTAATAACTATTTGTCATATTTCAGAACAACGAGATGAGGCGCCACCTTTAGCTCAATGCGTGTACTTCTGGGAGAAACTGTTAACGCCCCTCTCTAGTGTTTTACAATCTCAAGATAATTCACCAGTCAAAGTCATAGTATGCGATTGTATAGCAAATGTTGGTGAAAAGTCTTTCAAGGAATTGCCAGTAAGGTTTTCTCAGATACACTCTAATGATCTTAAATACTGTTTGTAAATCACTTAAAAATAAAAAAACTTTAACCGTTTAAAACGCGAAATGTATTTGTTAAACTTCGCGTCTATAAGACCACGGGGAGGTCACGGCTGCAGCAAATCATCCGAATTTTCGAGACGTAGGTAAAATATTTTGTAAATGAGATTAACTAATCTTGCGCGTTTTAAACCGTTAAACGTTCTTTAATGAAATTATCTTATTATTATTTGAGCTAACATTTTGAACTGTTTAAAAACGCATAATCTATTAGTTAACTGGTTTATAAACTTAATTATGATGATAAAATATTAACTAAGATCCAACTTTGCTTTCCAGCAGCTGTGGTCAGGGACGGACTACGTTAAATATATTTTGCGTTTTAAACCGTTTCAATAGTTTTATTTAAATATATACGACTTTATAAGATTTGTTGCAGTTGTTATTTCCCTTGAAGTCCATAGTTCAATAAAAAAATTTAGTAAAATTAACACATAATTTAAAAAAAAAACCGTTTTTGTCTTTAAACCCGTTAAGTGTTTTTTTTTTTATTATTTTACAGACTCGGACACAAGTCCTTTGCTGCGCGTTGCTAGTCGGTTCCTGTAGTGACGAGGAACCAAGCGTAAGGGCCGCCGCTGTTAGGGCCCTTGCTATGGCGGTCATGTATCGCACGCTTAGAGAGGTAATTCTACTAATCTCCTAACTGGATACTTGAAAAAAAAATCTATTTAGTCTGTAAAAATGGCAGGCAGGTTTTGAACTGGCGCCCACAGCGGTCCGTGCTGCTAGACAAACCAATTGATGTACTCAGTGAACGTAAAAATTGTAATGTATTGGTATTCTCAGTACTCTCGGTACTATCGGTACTCGGTACTATCGGTACTCGGTACTCTCCGTACTCGGTACTATACTACCACTTAGTATAGTACCGAGTACCGATAGATCAATATTAATATAAAATATCTATTTAAGCTTATAACCTCGTTTTAATGTAGGCATTTAAAACAAGAGAAGTGAATTTACTACTTTCGTCTTTTCTACCTCTAGGTCAGTTCATGCCTCCGGCAAAATTTTGATGTTCCTTCCACAGGTCTATTGGCCGAAGTTCTGGATGTTGAGACTAACAGGCTCCTAAGAATGTATTTTCAGACATACTGGAATCGAATCTACGAACAGTCGGTCATTAGACAACAGTCCGTTCTGACCTTTGGAGATTATTTATAAATTGAAGTTATTTTAAACAGTTTCTTTTGTCTCTCTCTCTCTCTCTTCTCTTCCTGTGCCGTCTCCAGTCCATCGCATTTACTCTTAAATACTGTCTATAATTTACGCAAATAAATAAAACACTTTAACGGTTTAAAAAGCGTTATATTAGTAAAAGTTTTTTTTTTAGTTATTTTAACAAGAATTTGCAGCAGCCGTGGTCACGGGGAGACATAACTAATATATATTGCGTTTTAAACCATTAAAGTGTTATATTTAAACATTTGCTTTTTTTAACAGGACATCTGCTTTGTCAGTGATTGCGGTGAAAATATCCTCAGAGCATTAGCTGAACCAACACTTGTTGTGAGGTTAAAAGCAGCCTGGGCCCTAGCTAACCTTAGCGATGCTTTAGTCCTTAATGTGTAAGTATTATTCAACTTTATATAACATAGTAAACAGGGCATTGTTTGTCACTTACGCTAGTTGACCCAAATGAAACACTTTTAACGGTTTAAAATGTGAAATTTATTCGTCAACTTATTTTCAACTACCAGCTAATAAGGTTTACTTCAACAATATAATATTTAGTAGTAGTTAAGAAAGAAAATAAAAAAGAAGAAATATTTATTATTAAAACTTACAATGGACAGACTAGCAATTTGGTACACTTGATGGTAGGTGAAATACCCCAGCCAAATGGCATCTAAAGAAGATGTGGTGTCGGCCTATTTTGACTTGGGATAAACGGAAATATACAGAAACCGAAATGCGATTGAGCTTTATAGCTTTTTTATCTGTACGCTCGTTACCCCGACGAAATTCCAATATTCCTACTAACCAATTTAATATACAGACTTCTAGACGAAGTCCATCATGTTTCAGAAAATAAATTGATTAGAGAGATGTTGGACCCGGTGGGGATCAAACATTCGACCGCTTTAAAACGCGATATGAATTAATTAGCTAAACTCATATACAAATTACTTTAACTACAGCCCGACGTTTCAGACGCTCTTCAGCAGCCGTGATCAAGAGGGGAAGTATATAAGTTTAAATGATACACTTCATGTTTTAAGTACCGTTCACCTGGGTAAGGTTCAGTCCAGCTCTCTTCTCTCAATCTCCCATCCGCATTGCAGCGGTCCAAGCCAAGAGCGACGCCCCCAACGGGGCACTTTTAAGGAGTCACGTAAACTACAAACAGTTTACGAGACAGTACATAAGTTTAAATGATACACTTCATGTTTTATACCGTTAAAAGTACTGTTCACCTGGGTAAGGTTCAGTCCAGCTCTCTTCTCTCAATCTCCCATCCGCATTGCAGCGGTCCAAGCCAAGAGCGACGCCCCCAACGGGGCACTTTTAAGGAGTCACGTAAACTACAAACAGTTTACGAGACAGTACATAAGTTTAAATGTTACACTTCATGTTTTATACCGTTAAAAGTACCGTTCACCTGGGTAAGGTTCAGTCCAGCTCTTCCCTCTCAATGTCCCATCCGCATTGCGGCGGTCCAAGCCGAGAGTGACGCCCCCCACGGGGCACCTTTAAGGAGTCACGTAAACTACACATAGTTTACGGTACTTCTTACTAGTTATTTAGTTTAAAAAAACCTTTCGTAAACACCGTAAAGTGATCAAATCTATTTAAAAAGTTGCGTTTATTATGAATCAGTTTAGATAACATTGCGTCTCAATTTACCTGACCCCGGAATGACGAAAACCCCCCATGTTTACAATACGATTGACGCATAACAAAAATGTTCCACTGTCAATTATTATATTTAGAATTGCGATCACGTGCAACTCGAGTGTATTTTTATATATCGCAATTGCTAAATTGGCCACTTGTCGTCTGCGTGATTTTGACGCCACAGACGCTGATACGAGAAACACGAAGGAGTTGTTTAAAATTTCGTCAAAACAATTACCATTTACGAAAATAAGTGGAATGTTTTTTGTACTGTTTTGTATGATAAGTCCATAAGTATTGTCTGGTTTACGCCAATAGAACACATAAAAAAAACAGAATTTAAAGACTCCGCGCCTTCTGCAAGCATTTAAAACGTCGGGTCGCAGCTAAATTGTAGAAAGCTGTGGAGGTTGTTTGCAAAAATGCAATGATATGATGCCCAAAATAACTATACTATGAGAACTATGTCGCGGGCACAAGTGTATGATTTAAGATAGGATATCTTATAGAAGTAACGTCACTTATTATTTTTATTATTAAAATTTTTACTAATTAAGGAGAGGAAATATTTATGTATTTGACGCTTTATTGTTATAAAATTAAACCATAGTGTTAATTTGAACTATGGATTAATTTACTTGTTTTAACTTTTTCAATATTAATTTGTTTTTTATATTAAAATTAAACCATATAATACTTTCAAACATTTTATATCCTCAGAGATGACCAGGAAATGGAGAGGATAGACGATGACCTGCTACTACGGCTGCTGGAGGTCAGCGTGCGCTGCGCTAACGACAACGATAAGGTAACTGCTTTGTTACTAAATATAGAATTTTTAAAAACACGCGGAATTAATAAACGTGATAGCAAATTAGTCTCGGATGGCCAAATTCTAGATAAGTCGATAGCACATCTTAATTATTAATGCTATTTGGCTTTATTTAGGGCATATATTATATACATATAAGTTTCTTTTTTTTATATTAGCAAAAAAATGTATGACACCGGCAGGTTTTGAACCGGGTCGTCATTTAAATAAAACACTTTAACGGTTTAATACGCGATATATTTTAGTTGAACCTGTTGCTGAGACTTATTTTTTACAACGGCTCCACGTTTCGGATGCTTTGCAGCAGCCGTGGTCACGGAGAGACTTTTGCAACTTTATCTAACATCGATTTCAATTGATTTATACTACCATGTGAAAATGTATTAAGGTTTTCAATCAGTTCACAGATGTACTTGTCCTTCGTACTTGATCAAGGAGTATTTTTTTTCCTTCAGATAAAAATGAACGCGACAAGAGCCCTAGGTAATATGCTAAGGTTGATCCGTGAGGAAGATCTCCAACGGTCGCAATTGAAACCTTTGTGCGAAGCGGCAATGTCCAAGTTGTTGGAGTGCGCTTGCAAAGTCAGCAATATGAAGGTTCGGTGGAACGCGTGTTATGCCCTGGGGAATGCTATGAAGAATGAGACCTTGTTCGCCTGCTTTAAGGGTTGGCAGGTAAGAACTGTAGGAGAGTATTAAAAAATATGATAGAGGAGAACAGGCAAGCAGGATCACTTGATGGTAGGTGGAATACTCCAGCCTATAGCATCTAAACGAGATGCGGTGTTTTGGCTTTGGATATTCGTAAATTCACAGGCTCAAACCGATCTGTGAACGGTGGTTTGTGACCCGGACGGAATTTCGATATTCCCACCACCCTTACTTAAATAATATATTTCCAAGAAGGTCCAACATTCCCACAAAAATTATTAGAAATATGTTGGACCCACGATCCATTATTATTAAATTATTAGCCATACCTACATAATATATAAGTAATAGTTTTATAATAACTTGTTTCAGAGCCAAGTATTTTTAAGTCTGTGCATTCTGTCGCAAGACTGTAAGAATCTCAAAGTGCGTATAAATGCAGCGGTCGCCTTGCGCGCGCCGACTGCGCGTGCGCAGTACGACGAACACTTTTCGCTGATCTGGCGGGGAGTTATGGAGGCTATGCAGAACGCAGCGAATGTGGATGACTTTTCAGAGTACAGACATAAGGACAATTTGATTGAACAGGTGCATAATTTATTAATTTCTGACCATAATACAAAGAATAATTTATTTTTAATTACTACTTGTAATATGTTTAACAGTACCCGTAACAGTTAATTTAGAAAACTTGAAAAAAAAAGTTAATTTACAAGATTAAGGTTTTTTAAGTTTGTTTGATATTGTTAAAGAACTTTTATATTAGATTTGGACGGATAAGACTTTATTTTAGTTTGAATTATGACTGTGGATGTACGCTTGATTTTAAAAACAATTGGTTTGTAAAAAAAAGTCCTGTCTAATGTAAGACAGAAATTGCACCCAAAGTCCCCATCATAGATATCTCTATTTAAGATTTGAAGATTGATAAATGATAATTATTACAATTTTCATTGCATTGACTAGAATTGCGTTAAACTTGAAAAATCCTGGTTTAGAATTCTAGAAGAACTATAGTTTCGGTCGAGTACTGTATGGAACTCTATTAGCGAAGACACAATAAATTTGACAGTTCAAATACATATCACTTTCGTATATCCTACTATAATTATATAGTGTAGATGGGTTTTTTTTTCCCCTTCCCCCCAAAAACCCCTGGGGGGTTTTTTTTTTATCCCCCCTTATATTTGGGTTAACCCCCAAAAAAACCCACGGCCCCAATTTTTTAAATAATTTGGGGGGGTCCCCCCCCCCCCCCCCTTTTTTGTGTTACCCGGCAAAAACCCCCGGGGGGGGGGGCCCCCCCCCCTCCCCCCCCCTTTTTTTTTTTTTTTTTTTGTTTGGGTTTTTTTTTTTTTTTTTTGTGGGGGTCCCCCCCCCCCCCCCCCCCCCCTTTTTGGGGGGGCCCGGGGGCCCCCCCCCTGTCAAATAAGCGTAAATATATTACATTATATATGACATATGGAATACATTTTCACACACATTTTCCTTTCAGTTATGCGTGACACTAGCGCACATGTGCTGTCTACTGAAACAATCTGACCTCACAGACATTCTGGACCCTCTGGTATTCCACTTTGACTGTGCCAAGTCTCTGTACGCCCAGCTGTACCAGAAACTCCCCCCGAGAACGCATCTTGTATGAAAATACTCCAAGCAGCGAAGTACGTGACTGTGGACTTAACAGCTCAGAACGGTGGACATTTGCAGTCTTTGAATATGTTACAGGAAATATTTATTTGGGATATGTAGTGTTTCCACCAATAAGGATTAATTTCCCTTGACGTCGCTTATGACTTTTACACCTAACATCACTTGTATAACGATTTGGGTAAATAATAGTAACAACTAATGTAAGTTATATTTATTGTTATTTATTGGAATATACAATTTGTTTGATATAGTAGTTTTATTGCTCTATGTAATTGATTTTTGATAAAAACAAAAACAATCTATATGTTCGCCATAGACCAGACGCATTTCTGTGTCCGATGTAATGACATACAGATAATGATACTTTTGTGCCCTACCCGACCGATGCTACTTATTCTGTGTCTCTGAGATTCGACTTTACGTCCTCTTGTACTAAAGGCATTGCAAGACACTAATCTATACTAATATATAAACCTGAAGAGTTTTTTTTTGTTATATATATATTTACTATATTGATATAGTTTTAATAACTATATACTTAGAAGATGTTAGAAAGACTTTCTCTATTCATAACAAAACTTTGGCAATGTCTTCTTAGATAATGAAAATTAAATATACACAGTACATTAAGTAATATTTCGTTACAGCTATGTCGCTATAGGCAACACGTTTCTGTGTCCGATGTAATGTCTGACACACAGATAATGATCCTTTTGTGCCCTACCCGACCGATGCTACTTATTCTGTGTCTCTGAGATTCGACTTTACGTCCTCTTGTACTAAAGGCATTGCAAGACACTAATCTATACTAATATATAAACCTGAAGAGTTTTTTTTTGTTATATATATATATTTACTATATTGATATAGTTTTAATAACTATATACTAGTAATAGAGACTATTAGAGAGATTTTTAATTGATTTATTTAACAGTTATCAATATATAATGTATCTTCATTGCGATGCATAAGTTAAGATATACGAAGATAAGAAAAATTTTACACAATATTATTAAATACTGTCTATAGTTTACGCGAGAACTTTACTTACACTTTTAAATAAAACACTTTAACGGTTTAAAACTAACTAATATATCGCGTTTTAAACCGTTAAAGTGTTTTATTTAAACAATATTATTATTAAGTGCCGGCTTATTAATAAACTAGCTGTGTCTGCGTCTTCGTCCACGTAGAATAGTTATTTTGGGCCACAAATTTTGTTTTTGCAAAGCTCCTGTTCAACTCTATAGATTTTAATTACTTAATTAATTTTACTTAAGCTGTGACCCACGACACGCGTCCCGTCATTCTTGCAAGTTTGTCTTAAAAGAGAGATATATAATGTAGTGGAGTTTTTTTTTTAGATCATTTAAAGAGAAATCATTATTTTGTACATATTTTTGGGTATCTTGAACCGTTTTCACGGCGCAAGCAACGGTAAACCTTAAATATGATCAACATTCCCCGTTTCTTCGACATTTCCTACTATATCTTCAAAGCCTTCCTAGATATATCCTCTAACCAACACAAAAAAAAATCAATTCGAACCAGTAGTTCCCGCGATTAGCGCGTTCAAACAAACAAACAAACTCTTCAGCTTTATATATTAGTATAGATATGGCTGGGGTATTTTGCCTTCCATCAAGTGTCCTTGCCTGTCCTCCTATTATAAGATAGTATATATTTTTAACTTTCATTAATTATCGCCATATGCTTACAAACGCATAACTTTCATATGCGTTTAAAAGGATATTTTTCCACACAATCGCAATAAACTTTGACACCACACTGATTGTTGTGTAAACTATGGCTAGCATTTCGCTTTCGTCTAGTAATAACCAGTAATAGACTGAATTGAGGCCGATAAGAACTAATAAGGTGTAGATCATTGACGTAAATTGAAGCTCACATAATTCAAAAGGTCACTTAGAAGATGTTAGAAAGACTTTCTTTATTCATAACAAAACTATGGCAATATCTTCTTACATAATGAAAATTAAATATACACAGTACATTAAGTAATATTTCGTTACAGCTATGTTCGCCATAGGCCAGACACATTTCTGTGTCCGATGTAATGCCTGGCACACAGGTAATGATACTTTTGTGCCCTACCCGACCGATACTACTTATTCTGTGTCTTTGAAATTCGAATTTATGTCTTCTTGTGCTAATGACGTAAGACGTATTTGGGCGCGAGATTTGCATATGGCTAATATATATGTTAGACTTCATCAAGAAATCTATATTGGTTGTAGAAATATCGAACCGCAGTCTTCAGATAAAAAAGCTGTGGACTTAAATCGCGTTTCAGCTTCAGTCTGTGAATCAGCGAATATAAAAAGGTCAAAATCAGTCGACAGTGCAGTCTGTTGAATTGTTATATGGCTAGGATATTTCGCATACCATCGAGTGAATGCCATCTGTCCCTCTCTATCATTAAAATGTATAAAAGATTTAATAATCAATTGAATGATCTTCAAGAATAAGCTAAGTGGTAAAAAGTCTTTAGATTAGATCTTCGGATATAAAGACATGTGTTATTAGAATTCTTCTTCATCTGTTCTCTATCTGCAGGTATGTATGTGTGTTCGCTGCACGTGCAAAACGATAAAGCGATTTTAAAGGAATTTGTGTCAATCTGGCACATTTTATTTCAAATGCCAACTGTTGTCCATAAGTTGCTGTCTGCATTAAACACAATAGAAAATAAAATTAAAAATAACAACTGTCTTAATTGTTTCTTCACCATACAATGTTTTGTTTACTATTATTTGACGATGTACCTTTGTTTTTCCGTTATCGTTATCTTATATTTGGGTCGAAAGGTTACAAATATTTGTAACGCAATATTAGGTTAAATCAACAAGAGGGATTTAAAATGAAATGAAGTGTTTTAATTCGTTATTGATTGAATTTCTAGCTATTGTTTTGATTTTGGTAGTATATATTTAGCATAACATTTGTATCATAGTGTTGTACTTTGGAGACCCGGTCTAGATTATGGCCACAATTTGACGGGGTCGTTGGTGTAATGGTAACCAATACTCGTATGGCTAATCAACGGGTCACTGTTCGATCCACCGGGTCTAACATTTTTCTAATCAATGTATAACTAAATACTGTCTATAGTTTACGCGAGTAGTACACATTTAAATAAAACACTTTAACGGTTTAAAACGCGATATATTAGTTAAATTTATTTCTGACCTGTCTCCCCATGACCACGGCTGCTGCAAAGCATCCGAAACGTCGGGCCGAAGTTAAAAATCATTTTCAAATAAGTTTAACTAATATATCGCGTTTTAAACCGTTAAAGTGTTTTATTTAAAAATATATAACTATTCTAAAGCATGTTGGACTTCATAAATTAAAAATCGATTATAGATTGAAAAATTTCACTAAACGGGCAGGGCTTGAACCGGCATTCCACAGCGTTCCATGTTATTGCTCAAACCAATTAGCTATCGTTTACCTCATTTGGTTGGCGTTGAGCTGTCGTGTAGCTTAGACAGCAACAGCACGGAACTCTATGGATGCTGGTTCATATCCTATATCGTAATTTTTTTGACACGGTATGCTATTGCTCTAAACAAATGAGCTAAGAGTACCTAACGTTTTCAAATGTTGGATTTCGTCTCGAAATTTCGATATTAGATAGGTGTTAGGAATAACGAAATACCATCCGGGTCACGAATCGTTCACAGATAATAAAAGCCGTGAAGTTTAATCGTGTTTCGTTTTCAATCGGTGAATTTCCGAATATCCAAAAAAATTGTTCGACAGCTCATCTTGCCTTGTTTAGCTATGGAGTAAGTACGTGAATTATTATAAATAGTAATATTTAATATACGTGAATAATTCGCATCTCAACTAAACTATACATTTTATAATATTGAAGTTATGGTTAACGACTTATCAATAGAGCGTGTCGGACAGTTGATTATTTCCATACAAGGCACGTGCAAAGTACGGTACGTATAGAATTCGTTTCAACCCGTTTCTGTCCCACTGGTGGGCGCAGGTATCGTTTCCCATTTCTCACTTGATGCTCAGTGACGTACCCCAGAAGAAACATCTAAAAATGTGTTGTCGACCTATTTTCGCTCTGAATATTAGTTGTCTTTGTATTACTTGATACATTTTATAATACTAGAAACATATTCACCTATACTGTGTTAATTTGTGAATAAGACAAACGCACCATAATTACGCAGGTGTTTTGAATCGTCTCAGCTCGAAGACTGAACTAAACTTTCTAGAACCTTATTCTCGCTAGTGCTAAACTGGTTAGTTTCCGGTCTTAAGCGCTTGGTTAATAGCGTTAAAGCCTACCTAAGACAAGATTTATTTTCACTTAATGTATAGATAGTTCAACATTGAAATATGCTTCATAAGGTCTAGCTTGGGGCGAACTTGTTAAATCCGTGTTTTGCATCGAAAAATTCACTATTGTAATCAAGGAAAAATCATTAATGTTGATCCCAATTATAAGGAGCCTGCGTCCCAGCTGTGGGAAATACTAACCAAGTTATAACTTGTATCGTAAAGCTATATCTGTACTAATATTATAAAGAAGAGATTGTTTGTTTGTTTGAACGCGCTAATCTCAGGAAGTACTGCTTCGAATTTGAAAATATCACCATTTATCGAGGAAGGTTATATACAACATTGCACTGCGATTAATACGAGCGAAGCAACTAAGGAAAAAAAGAGGAAAATTGTCCAACTTTGAGGACTTCTTTTATGTGTACAGTGAAAATGATTTAGCGAAACCAAAAAATATGTATAACATAATGATTTCTCTCATTTCTTCTCTCAAAAGAATGTCCGCGCCAATATATGTCTATCTTTTAAGATTAACTCGCAAGAGCGAGGGGACGTGACCGACGTCGTCGGTGACAGCTTAAATTTATAAAGCTGAAGAGATTTGCAATAACAAATTTGAGTGCCTAAAATAACCATTCTACGAAGCCACTGACACAGCTAGTA